ACTGTTATGGAGGCTGAATATCTCGGTCGTTTCTTGAAGCTGATCCTTGAAGACTTGTCACGTTGGCACAAGAACGCACCCGTACCTAATGAAAAGGACAAGTCAAAGGACCAGCCCAGGCTGGGTGCATATGACAAGGAAGGCAAAGGATCAAATGATCAGCCTCGTCTTGGATTTGCTCTAACTTTCGATGAGAATGGAAAGCCCTTGACTTTTGTGGAGCACGAAGAATTCCGCGATATGTTGTTCCGCTGGCATAAGAACCTCAACACTGCACTCCGTACTTGTCTGGAAGGTGCTGAATGGATGCACATTCGAAACGCCATTACCGTTCTGAAGGCGGTCCTTGACTTCTTTCCGGCGATTGACTTCATGGCTACAAAGTTTTCGTCGCTCCTTCAGACTATCACCAAACAAGAGTCTACTGCCAAATCAACACCGGATAGTGAAATCGGTGGACGTGTTGATCTGTCAGTTGCCGCACAGGGTGCAATGTCGGAACTTCAAAGAAGGAAATCTAAATGGGTAATGGTACAGGCTTTCCGGCCTGGCGGTGTAAGTGCCCTGAACCGATCTTCTGTGACTTTACTGATGCATTTTAGCCTGGGCCTGCTCAAACCGAACCAGAGAAGGCCAATAATCTGCGGGCGACGGCGCCAGAATTTAAACCAGGCCAATCCAGGTATGTCCCTCGTCTGTTCGGTCATTTTCAAGTCTAACATCAACAGGCCATCCCGAGGAAAACAGACTACAGCCGAAGAGGAAGATGGCGAGGTCAAGGATGGCAAAGACTCCAAGAGTTCAGGAGCCGATTCCGCAAAGCCTACAGGTCCTGCAAAGGACTTGCTACCCGCTAAGCCCGGGTCGTCTCGAGAGTCTAATTCTACTAAACGTGACCAAACACCTTCAGGGCCTCGCGCAGCGAATACAAATGCAGGACATGGCTCGGCTGCAAAGCACGATTCTCGACCTAACACCCTGCCTGAACGTCCTCCTCATACACTTCCCAGTCGACCCGATGTGCCTATCCCCGCGCATTATGCCTCTGATCGGTTTAACCAATCCAGAGGTCACGAGCGCCGTGATGGTAAGGAACCGCGAGACGCACGATCTAGGGATTCACGTGAGTCTAGAGAGCCCCGTGATACTAGGGATCAGCGAGAGTCTCGGGAAGTTCGTGAGCCCCGGGACCAACGGGATTCACGAAACTTCGATCCTGCTCGCCCAGACCGTCCTCGCGACTTCCCTGATCGACGAGCACAAGAACACGGTCGGGAACCCGCTCGATCTGATGGATCAGGACGTCGTGGCGAACATGAACGGGAACGGCCCAGGGATGCTAAGAGCAGCAGAGGCCACGATCATGGCCGTTTGAATGAAACACCGGCCTCCGCTCCCACTGCGCCTGCCGCTGCTGCCGAGGCACCCGAACCTCATATCAATCCAGAGAGAGCTGCTCTATTTGCTCAGGACAACAAGCAAAGCCGGGCACCTGACTCTGACCGTTCCGGTAGGGGTCGTAAGACTGCCCCTGTCGAGCCAGCGGATACTATCAACCCAGAGAGAGCTGCATTGATAGGCAACAGAGATGGCACACCATCCCGCGCTCCTAGAAATGAAGTACGGGACCACAACTCTCGTGTGCAATCACCTCGTCGGGGTGGTCGCTACGGGCATGAGACTGGCCAGCCGGAGAGTGGTCGCGAAGACCGACATGATCGCAACTATCCTACAGAACACCGACCCGCTGGGAGGGATCCTCGAGAACATTCGCCATTCAGGCCGACGGACCGCGATAGTGAGCGACCTACCGCACCCAAAGGTCGTGACGCTGCTGGCTTTCACGGAACTCCAACTCGTGCGCCAGAGCCTGACCACAAGCCGTCGCCCCACCAAGACGATACATATGGACGACTCAATACCATCCAGAACGTGACAGATATTCCATATGGTCCCAAGGCTCGTGGACGAGGTTCAACCAGAGGTCATAATGGGCCACAAGCTGTTCCAGGTCGACTTGACGGCCGATTTGCTGGTCCCGAGGCCGAACGCCCAGCCACCCCGGATAGACCTCCCCCTACAGGCCCGTCCTCAGGAAGGGGGCGAAGAGGTGGTTATGAGCAGAACACTGGTCCGGCCACTCCTTCCACCACACCTGCAGGCCCTGGGGGCAGACTTAGAAATGCTGGCCCTGGCCAGAACATGCCTTCTCCTGCATCAACTACGGCAACTCCTACGGGTGTTCATCCAGAACGTCTTGCTCAGATTGGTGCTAACAGTGGTGGTAACTCACTGCCTCCCCCTCCTCCACCTGGACAACCACCCCATGGGCCCAGTAACAGTCATGGACATGGCCGACAGTCTATGGGTGGAACCAACACGCCCGACCGGGGTCCCAATGCAGGTCCACGACAAACACCTGGAGGTTATACTGGTTCACCAGCCACCGACGCCAACGTGCCAACCGGCCCAGCCTCTAGCGAACGTCGCAACGGCGGTCGAAGGCAGCTCGCAGGCATCAACAGCACGTTGCAACAAGCACAGGCCAACATGCCCGATACAAGTCGAAGCAACAGCGGAAGGAGGGGTCAGGCACGCCAAACCCTCGGTGGCGGTTCGGATGCTCAGGTCTTAACTGGGGGTTCGCCCGCCGCCACACCAGTGCAGGAACGACAAGACCCGGTCAGGAACGAATCTTCTAGCCGGGCGCCTGCCAATGGAGAAGAAAGCTCAGGCCGTGGTGAGCATGATCGAAGCCGACGTGATCGCGAAAGTCGGTCAAATAGGCCTTCGCGCCGAGGAAGCCGCGATCGCGAACGTGACCGCAGTCCAGGTCGAGAACGAGATAGTAAAGAACATCGTGAACACCGTGACCGTCGCTCGGGAGTTGGAGAGAGTGGTAGGGAAGAGCGTGATTCGAGACGCTCCAATAGAGACCAAAGCGGCGCTGCACGCGAGCCGATGGGGCCTCCTCCTACAGCTGGAAGAGATGTGCATGGTCGTGAAGGCCGACATAGAGGTGATAGTCAAAGTGGCCGCGGTGGTGAAGACTGGGCAAACAGTGGTAGGGGAGGACGAGGGCAACGTGAAGGGGGGCTACGACCGGAGGATCGCGAAAGCCGAGGACGAAAGAGGAGAAGCGAAGAAGGAGGAGGGCTACAGAGTGATCGCGAGAAGCGACCTCGACGATAAAAGATAATTTGAAGGAACGAAAGTCGGAACGGCATGTTTTGAGTACGAAAGAACGAAAAGAAAATGGAGGGTTTTGAAGTCTGGTCATGAAATACAACCCGCGCAGAAGAGGATTTCAAACACGGCAAAGCAAGCAGTCTGGTCAAGAACAGATCACAAGACGAGTCGCATTTTCGGGGCGTTTATCAGGACTTTTTTGTCGGCATTATGCTCCATTCGACCTTGCTTTACAGTATCACTTCTCCTTTACTACGTTACTACAATTATACTGCTTTTTTACACACACAATTGTCCCATTGGAGACTACACTTGGTCTCATCAGCATACTTGCATCGCGTCTCGCGAAATATTGAAGGAGGGCACAACACAGCAGAGTTGAACCCTTGAGATTTTATGGGTTGGCAAGGCGTTCGGTTGGCAAGGCGTACACGGATTGCAGATACCCTTTGGGCAGCGATTACATCTCTTCTTTCTCGGTGATATAATGATATAAACTATCTAGACTAAACGGCACTTGGCTTTTTCAGTAGAAGACATCAAGGTATTGTAGCATTGCTCGAGTTGGGGTATTGTCAGGCAGTCTTGGATGGTCATGATGAATATTACGAGACTATTGACTAGCCATCATTTGGCTACTGCTCATACTATCTTGCAACAATTGAGCTTGGATGTTGCCAACTTTGTAGTCCTCTTAAGACTTGTAATTTGTAAGATGTCGCTCAGATTCCATGCCCATGACGGGAGTCACTCACGCCTTAGAGCAACAAGACTAAGACCATCGTAAATCCAATTTTCACCTTGACCTGTCCCAGACTAGTTAATCTCAAGTTATTGGACGGGAACAGTATGTCATAATGTAAACAGGCAGTCATTGGGGAATTGTAGAATAGATTATGACCGAGCAGTTCATTCATGCATATCGCGAGTTACACGGCAATTCATGTTATGGGCGAGTCACCTTGGCGACGATGAACTAACACATACAAGGTCTAGGAACAAAGTGCACATTCCATCCGTTATATCCTCAGTGGCTATGTTCAGTCTCACATGGTGATGCAAGTCAGTCCAAGATGCGTAGGTTAAAATCACAATCGCAAATCAGACACGGATATAGCTGTGGATGTGGTACCAAACCAGTCAGGTTGAATTGTACTATCAAATACCTCGGGAATCGCTCACCAGGCAACGTCCTGATATCTTCCCAGACCAAGAAAATAAGTATACTTTTGGTCGCTGTTCCACCCATCACCCTGCGCATTTTATGCTAACTCTATGTACTAGAAACTAACCCCCAAACTGACAACGACGTCCTGCTTATTATATCCAGACTTTGAAGCCAACACTAATGCACGTACAGATTGTTCAAACTAGAATTCACCGCGACTATTGCAGCCGCGGCTCATCCATCATTCCATCATACCAAGATTGTTTAGTCGAGGCCGCCGTTGTCGTAATGCAGTAAAATATAAGATCGAATCGAAGAGTAAGCAGTCGGCTCGTGTCCTCATGACCATACCGATAGCGCTGTGCAAAGCAACAGCCGCTCAGCCCGCTTGTGTATGTACCCATACCATACCATGACCCCGCCAACCATTGGGAGGCGTTCTGTCCTTGTGCCGTTGTGTATGTGTTCCTCCATGTAAAATGCCAACGCCTTCCTGGTATCTCGAAATGCAAGTAAAACCCCTTTAGGTTGTGAAAATGTGAGCCGGAGAAAGTGAGATTCGTGTGCTTCATGGGCCAGCTTTGGCCTTTTGTCCTCTCGTGTGGAACATGTTTCATTAATCCATTGCCGAAACCCTTTCGGCTCAGGGTTCCGGCGTTGGATCGGGGTTGGTTGCACGAAGCACTTTGGGTGCTTGGATTCTCCTTGAGTAATCGTGGTCGTCTCGAAGGGTGTTGATACTCTCATGACTGGCACTTCGGACATACAGGCCCTGCTTGAACGGGTCCATTCGCGGATCGACTTGCAGAGTACTGTTGCGACTGCCTGCGGCGGCTGACGCAATCGGCGAACCAGCGGTTGTGCTCATATCAGGTCGTTGAGCAATACCCGAGGAACTATCTCGGATGCTGGGGTCGTCCTGATAAGCCTCCTGCTCGTTCTGTTGCTTCTTGCGGCGGAACCATAGGAACAGGGCGAAGCCTGCAGCAAATATGACTGCAGCGATAACACCCACCACAATGCCAACAACCTGGCCAGTGCCAAGTCCGCTCTTCTCAGTGGAGTCATCAGATGTGTTTTCGTTTGCTGGTACTCCAGCTGTTTGCTGAGTCGGTGCAACAGTTACTGTCCTGATGGTACCTCCAGCAGTAACTGTTTGCACAATGGACGAAGGCTCCTCCGTCTCAGTGGCTGAGGTCGCTTCTTCTTCCTCGGTCGAAGTGGCCTTGGTCGCGGAGGCTGAGGTAGATTCTTCTTTTTCGGTCTAGAGTATGGTTAGTCTCAGTCCAAAGCCGATTGATCACATCACCAGATTCCCGCGCTGGAATAACATGCGTGTTAAGACAAGGCATACAGTTGAGCTTTCGGAAGTCGTGGATGTTGTCGATGTGGAAGTGGATTTGGATGTAGGCGTAAATGTCACTGTCACTCTGGACACGGTGGTGGTAGTTGGTTTTGCCTGAGTGTTACCTGTTAAGCCGTGGAATCTTACCAAACCCAAGGGATTCAGAATGGATTAAGATTATACAGGTGGAAAGCTGGTGGGCAGACACTCGTCCGATCACAACGTGCGCGGCAATCACAACACAAAGCATAATCATATCACAGGATTGAACTTACTTTAGTTGATGAGGGAGATGGTCCCCGAGATCCAGATGGCTTCACATTGCCAAGATCGACGTATCCATATACACCATCACCACCGCAGACCTCTTTAGGCCACGCGGGACAAGGGGTATTGCAGTCTGAGTTGCTCTCCTGGACCGATTTGACAGGAGCGTAGTTTGAACACCAGCATAGCTTGCCTTGCGTGATGGCATAAGCGTAGTCGTCGAAGCAGAAATCATGGCAGAGGCCATTGGTCTGATATATGCTGTAATCTGCATTCAGGTTAGATGCTGCCAAGATAGGTATTCAGATTGGAGGGTTCCATACTGCTAGGGGTTTCGCCAGTGTTGAAACTGGCACAATACTGAATGTCCAAAGCGTTGGCTAAGGGTGACCATGCCGATGCTAATAACAAGAGAAGACCCGCGGACGGGGCGTTCCTACCAAGAGGAAACATGTTGATTATTATGAGTTTGGTCGAAGACTAAATCGAGTTCAAGGTTAGAGTTTGCTGGGTTGAGGGGAACGAGTATGGCCCGACAAGGAAAGGGACAAACTCGTGATCCAATGTGACACACCTTTACCAATGAAGTTGGCAGTAAAAGAGCATGTGAGGTCGGGTACAACAGAGATGAAGCAGGTCAATCACGACATAACACGGTCGCAGTAAACTCTTAGATGGTCGAAGCCATACCACGTCGGACGTCGAGGGTGCAGTGGTACCGGTGCGATCTTCGCGTGGGTAATTGTCTTTCGGAGCAAAACAACCGGTATCGTCAATCGTGATCCGAGCGAGCAAGGTAGCACAATTAAGTGACCTAGCTAGGTTGAAAGGCGAGCGAGTGGTCGATAGCTTCTCGAAGATGGGTCCCAGGTTCGATGGCGATATCCGTATGATATCTCGGTTCCGTCAACGGTGTTGATGTCGAAATACAGTTGCGATAGTCGGTAGCAGTGCTAAATCAAGAGCTTCGTTCTGATGCTCTCGTGTTTGTCGATATCCAGCAATCCTCGTAAATCCCAATCAAACGATACGATAGAATAACGATCCCAAAAAGTTCAACAATGCCAATCAATGATCGTCCCAAGAAAAACCCAACAATCCAAAATCACCACGAGCGGGTAACAAAAAAAGAAGAAGGAAGCTCCAGCCAGGGAAATGTAAATCGTGGGGAGATTTGAGAGGGGAGGCTGGGGGAGAAAGGTAGAGTTATTGGGATGCGTGACTGCAGTTCAGTTGAGGTCGAGTCGAGTCGAGGAAGGAGAGACTCTGGTACTGGGAGGGAAAAAGGTGTGAAGGAAGTAGCGACTAGCGTGAACAGATCAGGTAAGAGCCTTGTAGGTATCTGTACCTAGCACGGTAGTCCCGGGCTCTAGTGGAGGGGCGGCGGCAGCAGCGACCGGGATGGGAAACAAGGAAGGAAGAACGAAGACGAGGATAAATCTTCTAACCAGATCTGGCCAGACTTGAGAGAGCTCGGGAATAGCGGGCGGAGGGAGCAGTCGATATTATCGAGTCGTTGATTCCTGTTGATAGCAATATTCGTATCCTTGAGATGGGGGATATTGTCGATGGTCTGTCAATGGCTTCTCCCTCGATGGGATGAGTTTGAGTTTGCTTGATCCCTTGTTCCTGTAGAGAAATAACCTGGAATAGAGTTGCACTGAAAGACTGTAATACGACCTGGCAGCGAAAGCCCTCGCTCGGTACGTACCGTGCCCGCAGTGTATTGATTGTGCAGTGCAGGGGGCGTGGGACCAAAAAGGCAAGGTCCAACACTCTCAGCTCGAAAGCCAAGGCTGGGCAGACAAAGGAGGCTCCACGTATGAAAAGAACCAAAGAGAGGAGTCCAAAGTGGACGGGAAGAACGCGATCCGAGGCCAAACAGCTTTCCGTTTGAGCGCGTTCAAAGATGGTGGTGGCAGGTAAAAGCTAGTATCTCGGCGTAAAGTGGCCGTTTGTTTTTTTGTTGTCTTTTTTTTGTTTTTGGCTGGTGGTGGTGGTGGTGGCAGAAGGAGTGTGATGATAAAATGAAGCTGTAAGGATCGTTGATGAAAGGAACGTGTTGAAAGGAATGAGAGACAAATCAATTGTGCACCAAAGATTAAGAGTAGAGGAACAAAAAGATAATAGAGGAAAGGAACTTGAAAAGAAATTGATTGAGCCAGAAGAAACAGAACTGATCGACTCGAGATGAGATGGAGACTGGAGACTCGAGTACAGTAAGCAATTCTCGCGTTGTTGCTGGCCAACAGTATCTAGTGAAGCTGTCTACGCAATATGACTAAGTCCGAGTCACTGTGACGAACCCTTGACAGAATTGGGCTTCTAGATTAAATAGCAATGAGTATTTGCTTCTGATTTTCATCTGATCTGATTACAGTACAGTACCTCTACACTGCTAATATTAACAGACTGGCAGGCAGAAAGTTATGAACGGTGCAAAGAAAATAAAATAAAATAAAGATGGACCCCTCGTTTCGCTATCCTCCCCTATCCATACCAAGAAACTAAAACACGCGGCGCCTGCAGCGACCCAAACACAGGGAAGCCAATGTCGTCACCAGCGCTGAGTAGCTGTTGTTTCCAGCGCGCGTTGTAGGGAGTGACAGGCGCTGTTCCCCTGTAAGTTCTATTGACGGTGGGATGAGATGAAAGGGGGCGTGTCGTGTCATGGATGTCGTGTCGAGGGAGTGGGATCTACATGGGGCCCTGGACAAGGGTGCAAACGGCGATCTTGATTGAGAAATGTAGAGGTACCTAATTACCGGATTTGTTAGGTACGGAACGGACTGTTGCCAAAGCTCCCGTCCGACAATCGCAATTCAAGATGCAATTGTGGTGAGATGGGATAACTGATCCTTGTATAGACTACAGAGTACCATCGTCTCTGCCTCTCGTCTTCAATCAATTCATTTATTTATTTAATGATTCTCTGTTCCTGACACCAACTTATCGACCTAGACCTGAAGCCGACTTGATGGGCTTGGCTTTCGTCTTTGGGTCTGACTATGGCTTGCCGCTACTTGCTTGGAAAGATGGAAATTGAAATTGGATACAGAAAAGTCCACCATCCATTTCAAGCTCTCCTCGGCAACTCATTATCCGGAGCTTGAGCACTTGGCACTCTGATCACGGGCTAGAGAGTCTCTTATTCTTCCGTCGCATCGCAATTGTTTCTGCTGCTCTCTACATTTTCCTCATGAGGCTATTCTTGCATGACGACTCGACTATGAACAAAAAGAAAAGATGATGAAACTCGAAAGACCCCCCTACGATTCATGACGCCTTGTTACTGTAGGTACCTATTGTACGGATACCAGGAATTAATTACAAGGTGCGACGCTAGAACAAGATTATTGAAACACCTCAGGACTAGGTCTAGGAGTAGGAGTAGGACCTCGGCGTTTTTGCTGGTCGCTGTTGAAGCCGCAACTAGTATAATTCGCGCTCAATCCACGATCTGATCTTAACAGTCACTGGAGCCTGAAGATGGGACAGAGAGGACAGACACACAGACAGAATTAGACATTCGCTTGATGGATGCCTGTTATTCTGTAAACCCCATCCTCCCATCCTCCATCATCTTGTTTTGACTCCACCCGTTCCCACTCACCCAGGCCAGCCGCGCGATAAGTTAAGTTGAGAAGAGTTAGAAGCGATACGATGTGATGTTTATGAGGCTAGCGGCTGTCCGTTGGATGGCACCATTCCTCATCTTGGACTGAACTGTTTTGTTGTGCTGTGCTGTTTCTGTCAAAGACGACAGAATGAGGACATTACATTGCCGTTCATCCCGCTTTCATTACAGCTTGACTTGTATTTGTCTAGAGCCCGAGCTCAAGCTACTGTGAGTTTAGTGATTAGTCGGTCCCTGGGTTCGACGCCGCGCCGTTGAACCTGTTCGGGAAACGCTCACCTACTACAACGGGCCAATTCCGGCCCCTTTCTTCAGTCTTGGGATCTTGACTTTGACCGATCGAAAGATTCAAAAAGGTGGTGGGTGAGAATTATTAGAAGAGTCTTGTATAGCATGGATCTTGGATGGTTTGTTTGATCGACATTAAACTTGGATTTTACCCAGACCGTTGATAAGTCGCGAGAATTTCTGGGATACTCCAGGTCCACTTTCCCAGACGAACGGACATCCAGCAGGTTGATGCTCGCCAGTCGAGGACCAAGCAAATCCTTGTCTATTGTTTCAGTCATTCTGGAGCTGGTCCCGCGGAAGGGAGGAGGGAACATGGGTCTTGCACTTGCAGATGGACAGGAATCGCACATGATATTGCTGTGCGATCGGGTATCAAGCAACAGTCCCCGGGACAGATTCAAGCATTTCATCACGTTGATTAGAAACAGTGAGTGACTACTAACTGACATGGATACTCTCAGTGGAATGGCCCTTATCTTTCTCAGCCTTGCCCTTGTAAACTTAGACCATCAAAACGAGACGAGTTGACGGTCTCCCCGCTCTCGTATAGATCCATCATATGATGACCCTTGACAATTTAATAAAAGAAACTCACTACTCGTCTCTCCCTTGCAACTCTCGACGTCACTGACAAGATTGAATTGATTCTCGTCTGATTGGAATTTCTCCATCTTTAATCTTTTGGCCAGGTAACGATCTAACCAACTCCTCCCTCTTACCCAGCCTTCTAGTACCGATTCAAGATTACAGTTACAATTTAACTTGAGAGGAAAACCTTCTCTGTAGCATTCACTTCTATAAACTTTGGTACAAAGTCAATGACCCACCCAAGTCAACTCAAAAACTTCGCCTGAGCCGACTTGAGACGACGCTGCAGTGGGATAGCAATGGCACGATAATGCTCATGCGCATGCTCATGAGATTGTACAGTAACTTATTCTTATCCGTGGAAAGAAAAGAACCTTGAAATGGAATCTGGGGCAGTCATGCATAATCCCTGCTAGAAACCACCAGAATTTCTGCAAAAAAAAGTTGGCATCGATCGATTATCACAGAAACTCCTCTCTTGTACATCTTCGCGTACCAATAGATTTTGTACCTTGTAATAGACACCATCTTTTGTCAACTTCAACACCATCACCAAAACCAACACGAACTCTCAAGTCTCTTAACTGCCGCCAAGTGCATTCACTTTGAACTGCACTGCTACCTCGTCTATGCGAACCACTACACCCTCTTTCTTAACCCGTGAATTGTCCAATGGTGTAGCTGGCTTCTAACTGCGTAATCGTATTGATCTCTGGTGAACCCTTTTTTTGTGTTTTGAGCTCGGGCATGAGTTGAACTGAACACGGACGTGGCAAAAATGTCGCTTCGTAATGTCTCAATCTGCGACGCTATTCTCTCTCTTCCCCTCCTCTCGGCTGTGTGCTTGTGCTGCCATTGACCAGCGTGGGGGTTTGTTTCTGCAGGTTGGAGGCTGGGAGGTATTAATGTTTTTGTGGTTTGGTTTCTTGTTGTTTTGTTTATTATTGTTTTCAGCCTCTTGCATTTGTTATCGGTAAGTAACACATCCCGTGCCGTCAACTGAGGCTGTCACTATTCACTCAGTCATACAAGCTGTCGCCCTGCTTTCAGACTTCCCTTCTGACCGCCATCATGACTGCTACTGTATCACTCTGTGTAGTTGAGGCTCCGTCTGTTAAACCTTAATGGTAACTTTCGTGATATTCGCACATGTCAGTCACCGGCTGGAAGCATCTCGTTTCGAGGCGGTGTTACCAAGCACCACTGAAGGCGGCCCACGAACCTTGATGTACTGTACTGTACTGTACTTACTCGAGTCGAGGTTTACGTGGACAGCCTCTTCCTTCAAGCTGTCAAAAACTTTGACGGGCTAATCACAAGCTTGACCATCAGCCGGGAGAATGCAAGTTCAGGGTCCGCCATCCTTCTCATCTGCAAGCCGCCCGCCACCTGCGGCAATCGGTTGATGTGCATCGCATCGTGAGGGTGTAGAGGAATCGAATTCTTCCGTTTAGTGGTGTCCAGCATTTTCTATGACAATCTTTGAGAACATTGAACTTTGTCCGGACCGAAGTTACCGATCATGTTGCGAATGGTACCAGTATCTGTACTTTTACCACTTGTTTCTTACAAGTGAACGTTTATCCATTACTCTTCTCTCTCCACAGTCGAATATCGGCTTGTGGGAGACATTCTTTCGTCTTTCCTGCATCGGCAAGACATTCTCTTACACACAAGTAAGCTCTGTTGAGCAGCCTAATTGAACTTGTTGGGCCTTCCCGTGTCATCCAAACACGTCTCCCAAGCGTCATTGCTTACACACAACTTGCATTGAGTTCTAACCGACCCAAAGCTAGGTTGATCTAGTCGATTTGAGCAAGCAACCGAGATCTTAGTGATCCGTAGTCGATGGGGCAGAGCCTCACAAGTCGAGTTACTGTAGGAACAAGCCGTTTCAGAATACTAGCCCTTTGCCTAGTCAAGACTTGATCGAAGCTATTCCTTTTGCTTAAAGTGCTATCAATCAGAGTTTTCCTGATGTGTGCAGCTTACAATCTCCAAGAGTTGTAGAGCTTTGGATTCGAATTATTGAAGGTCTAGGGTAGCCGTAATGGCTGGAATGCTTTGTCATGTCTTATCTGGGGTAAATGCTTGCTTCCTCGACTCTGTTTCAAATTGACCACTCACAGCTCTCGAATCTCGCAGGTGCTATCGCTAAAGCGCCCAAGCTCCCCCCAGTCCGCCTATGTCATATCGCCTTGGCTGAATCCCCCATGAAGCTTGCATCATCAGCCTTGTCAACATCAACATTAACATCAACACAGTTTCTTGGATATACATTCTGCACTTGATACAACAAAGAGTGTATCAAAGTCGCGACTTGATAATCCTTTCAAGTCTTCGGCGAATATTTCGATGTGACTAGCCGACCAAAAGAACCCCTCCGGCCTCTCCGGCTTCGACCTTCGTCATCAGCCTTCAGCCATGATCGCGAAACCAGGCTTCCGCAGTCTCTCTAGCCCCGTCAACCGATCTCGACGCCTCCCAGTCACAGTTGGAGCCATCGCCTTCTTCATAATGTGTCTCTTTTATCTCTTGTTGTCAATCGCGCCCTGTATAGTTTACGGCAACTGTTATCGCGGTTACTCCAGTGCTTACAGCTTCGATGCTGACTTGGCTTACAACCCGGCATGGATGGCCGATATCCCCGACGATGTGTACCTCTCGAGTCTCAGCATACCAGGAACGCACGATACTATGACCTATGAGATAGGAACAGAGGTTCTTCAATGCCAGAACTGGAATCTTACAATGCAGTTGGAGGCGGGCCTTCGCTACTTTGATATCCGCGCTCGTGTGCGCGATGATGAACTGCACATTTATCATGCCAACGGCTACACTGGTTTCAGCTTTGAGGATGTCATTGGCTATATGAATGATTTTTTGGATGAGAATCCCTCTGAGACTATTGTTATGCGCCTCAAGCAGGAAGGTGGGCGCATTGGAGACAACAACACCCTATCGTTTGAAGATGCCTTCAACCAGTACCCCCTGGGAGATCGTCTCTACAACTACAGCGCTACCGCACCTCTGCCGAAACTGGGTGATCTGCGCTCCAAGATCTTCGTGCTTGAGAACTTCCCAGCCAGGCGCGGAGGTCCTTACGGTCCCAAGTGGGAAGGTCCTCAGATGGTGCTGGAAGACAAGTGGATTATTCCAGACATTTATCACTTATCTGATAAATGGACTGCAATTCGAGACGCTCTCGAGCTGGCGGCAACAGCACCTCTCGACAACGAGATTCTCTATCTCGCTCACATCTCAGCCTCTGTGGGTGTTCTGCCCATCGAAGCTGCGGCTGGACCAATGAACCGCACCGTCACTGGGATGAACGACATGACAGGCCAATGGATCAAGGATTTCGAAGATAACCCAGACACAAGCCGCACCGGAATTGTCATCATCGACTTCCCAGGTCGGAAGTTCATTGAGGCCATCCTCCGGTGGAACAACTCATTAAAGAAACAAGCATAAGGATACCGATACCCCCGGGCTAGCAAGTGCAGTGCAGGAAGAAACGCGGAATTATGGTATCTGTACGCGTAAGAGAAGAGAAGGCTTTAGCGGAATAGATCTTCCATCGACCAAGAAACAAGCATAAACATAACCAGATCATCGCTCACTCTATCATCATCAAGCTTTCTCAGCTAAGACTGGCGTCTTACTTATACCCCACACCCAATACGTGTACAATAAGTCAACTAGCAACATCATATAATTTCCCAGCCCGTCAGCAAAGCATAGCGAATCAGAGAATTATTAAATGACTGCATGGCTTCAAATATTGCACTCTCCAAAATGAAGATTTTCCTTCTCGTCCCTCCCTTTTCCGCTGATCAGTTTTTATTAATTAGTGACCCCCTGCATTTTTTATGGTACGTGGATACTGTGGCGTCCGAATGCGTTTCACCAAGTACTGGTTCATGATAAGATCGTCAGGGACAGAATCAAGGCAGCGCCAACCAACCACAATGTATACGTACGCATTCAGCACTTTGTACCCTGTTCCGATTTCTGCTTTTGTTTCGAATCTCGTTTGTTCCGGACACGGTGAGTTGCCTTGCCTTGAATGCGTTGTCCTGTGCGTCGATTGTTTGGGAGATGACGTTGAGGATGTTTGGTCTTGAGATCGACATGGTCTGATAGGTGGTGAGGATGTTGATAGAGTAACACAGATGATAGAATGGGCAACTCGAATCACATGTGCATAACGGGTCTACGCTAGTTGAACTGCAAGTTTCATGTGAAAGATAATATGCATATGCTCGTTTACATCAACGGCTATCTAGGGTAAGTGTCGAGCTGTTGGCAACGGAGACGTTATACAAGAAACAACAATCACATTATGTCGAGTACAATCACGTTCAATCAGAAACTTAGATAGCAAGACCATTTATACAGTTCCAAAACCTCATTTCATCTATTCGTATGTACATCTCCCATCAAGACATTCCAAAATCTTCCAAAAGTGCTAAAGCAATGGCCAAAACAATAGCACATGATATGTCCCAAATCCTACACCCAAACACCCTGCAAACCCAAATAATCATTCCAAAAATGCGTCTTTCGTAAAAGATTCTTCTCATGCCTCCTCCGTAGCAAATATTCAGCCCCCCTTTTCAACTAAAAACCTCCTATTGGAATCGTGTGGGACTCGGGCTGTTCTCACGGCTTAGATTCTCAAAGCTATCCACCATAGCCAAGACGCGCGTCCTAGCTCGTTCTCTTGTTATCGGAACAGCTTGTGCTTCCATGACGACTCCAGAAGAGCGATTTGTTGAGTGTGAGAAACGATGGTCTCGTGGTGTGAACTCAGGGAGGAGGAAGTCGTCCGTTGAGTTGTTTGAGTCCTTGCGCCCCTGGCGTTGAGACTGGAAGCTTGGGCGGTTGAGAGATGGCGAGGGGGAAGGGGATGGCGATGGTGAGCCGGAAGGAGACTGCCGTTGGAAGAGAGGATGGGGCTGGAGATGTGAGGGTTTTGGTTGTTGTATTGTTGATGTCGGTTGTTCGGGTGGTGGAGGTTGATGTGATAGTTTTCTCTTCGTAGGCTCTTCTTCCATCTGCTGTGCTTGGAGAGCCTCCTCTTCAGCAGCTCGCTTCTCCTCGGCACGCTTCTCATCAAGAAGTTGTTGCTTCTCTTCGTAGCGTTGTTTCTCATTTAATCGTTCTTCCTCCTCAAATCGTTCTTCCTCCTCACCCTGCATAAGCCCTTGCTTCTCAGCCATAGCATCGTCCATCTCATCCTTCTCCTGTCTTCGGGGTTCTTCCACAGTCCGTAGAGCGGGATGGTCATATGAAGCTTCCCTTTGTTTCTCTCTGATACTGTCGCCTCTTGACAGATCAGTCTCATCATCTGGATCGACCAATTCGGCTGCTTGTGGTCTCATCAAGTCCTCGTCTTCACGATCACTTCCCTCTTCGTTGCCGTTAACAACGCGTAATCGTTCTCGAGGAACAGTGAACATGACCTGAACCAGTCGCTGCTCCACAGCCCTCTCAATGTCCCAGTCAGATTCAGTTCCAGGCTCTGGCCCTGCACCCCCAGACATCATAGCACCTCGAGGTATGGGATCAAGACCCTCCCAGTCCTGTCGTCCCTGCTTCCGCCTAAGAAGCTCGCCACGCAGACCGACAAGGCCGGGCTCATAATCTCCGGTCACAGGCTCTTGATCAAATGAACGTCGCACGCCAGACATGTCTTCGCGGGAGGATGTAGGGGTACTAGCCCCTGAAAACATTCTCCTGAAAGAACCCAACCATCCTCGACGTGGTTTTGACTTGGATGGCGAGGAAGGCTCGTCATCGTCGTATCGCTGCTGGCCTCGATCCCCCATAAGGAGCGAAGGTCCTTCGGCTTGAAGAGCATGGAACGACGAGCGAGCAGTGTTATAGCTATCGGAAGACGAACTGCCAGGCTTGGGATGTTCAGCACCAGCTGCTAATAATACAGGAGCCATGGGGTTGAGCTGTCGTGCTTTGGCCTTGATACTCTCCGCGGCACTTCTCGCCGAATCAGACAAGTTAGATCCGCTTCGTGATTCATCATCTCGTAGAGCAGCTGAGCGATTTGAGTTATGCCGCGATGGTGAAGTACGACCTTGGCTATGACCGAAGCTTCCCTGATTCTGGCTTCGACGGCTATTCATACGCGCAACATGTCCTTCTACACCCTCGACATTCTGGGTATTTTGGTGTTGGCTTCGTCGACTGTTCATGCGTGCGAGGAGTCCCTCCGCAGCATCAACCTCGGTCACCCAATCTTGAACCTCAGGATCATGGCGTGGGTTTTCAGGGCTGGGTGTAGCTGATGCTCGGTTGCCTCCTCCAGGAGTGAGGCAAATAGGGTGTGGAATGCCATTTGGACCTGTACCTGTGACAGGAGTCTGGAAAGGGTCCGAATAGACATCTGACGTGGGTGTCGCGGCGTGATCGTATAGCCCTCGGTTTTGGTAGCTTTCTTCTTCTTCGTCTTCATAAATCGGGTGAATAGGTCCCGGGAAGCTTCCCGGCCGAGGTCCTGTGGGCACATAGCCTCCACGAGACGGTCTTGGCATAGATTTGTGTGGGATATGAAGTCCAGGCATGCCACTTCGAGCGCCTCTCATCGACTCATAGCCGAGTGATCGCTCTCCAGCAGAATAGGGGTCACCACGACCATACCAAGCACTGTTATCGAGTCCCCAAGGGTCGTTCTCCGCCATCTCAGGGTATTCATGGTTGTAGTAGTTGGTATCTTGTGATAGCGCTCGGACAGCTTCGTCTCGGTTGTTGATGTGTTTTCTGCGTCTCTTGTACCAGCATAAAGCACCGATGACGATGCCAATTAAAGCAGCGATGCCAAAGCCCAAGCCAAGACCAAGACCAACCCGCTTCGAGCTTGATCCCTTGTCATCATCTGTTGGAGCATTGTTCTCCTGATCGGAAGAAGACCCAGAAGAGGGGTTCGTATAGCTAGATCCCCACGATCCGGAGGTAATGTTGTAGAAGCGAGGTGAACCTGCTGAAGCCTGGCGCTTGATCCGACTTGAAGAACCGGATGTCTCCCATCCACCGTAAACCATCAGCATATTTCCTGGCAACACTGCAGCGCCATGACCGTAGATGCCGGAAAATTCGGGCTGCTTTTCCGGAACCTTCCACTGCCATCCGCTATAGATCTCGCTCATCTCGAGGATAGCAAGCTGAGGCTCTGCGGGAGTGTTGACATCACCTACCCAACCTCCAATAACGATAATCGAGCTTCCGTCTTCGCTCAATGTCGCAGTGTGTCCAGAACGACTGTAGACATTATCTGCCGTGCTTTGTCGCTTCGACTGAGAGCTAGTGTCCTTGACAGCAAGATCCGACTTTGGAAAGCCACCGTCTGGAGCTTGGATATTCACATAACTCCACGTTTCGGCAGGCAAGTTCCATACGGCGACTGTGCTCATGTTGATAAAGGCCGTCTTCGTATGTCCTCCCAACAACACATAACTCATCTGCTGCGTCACGGTGCCAGACTTATTGGTCATCGAGGGCGTCAGTCCAGTTAGTGTAAAGCCGGCAATTGGTGTTCGTGGTCCACCGCTGGATGCCACGCTCATTTTATACGATGTGTAAGTGTCTCCGTCATTCGGCGCTACCCTCAGCATCGTCTTGGTGTAGTTGGCATTGCTCTGCCAGTTCGTCGTAGAGGACTGGGGTGTCTCACACATGCCGCCGTAGGTATAGAGAGTAGGCTGGTCCATATCGGGAGCCAGACTAGAAGAGAAGGCAACCGTACCGCCGAGGAAGTAAGGCGCACGACGCTCGTTGCCATTCTTGAGACCTCGTCGATACCAATCACCTCCATCTTCGTAGTCAAAGCTCCATACATCGCTGACACCAGTTTTGCAGTCGCCTGCATACACCAGAAGTGAACCGTTCGCCGTTCTCGCAGCGCCAAATGCTGTGCTCTTAGGCTCGTCGTCAAGAAAGGGCAGTGTCGTGCTGCCCGCGGGTCGGTCGAGGCTGATATCGTCTGCATCGACACTGGCAGAGAAGTTGAGGGATCGAAATTCGACCTTGCCTGAGGCTGTTTGCCGGAAGACAAATGCTAGATCTGAAGCACTGCATGGTACGCTGCCGTCGACACATGTAGGATCGGGCATGAGGATCTCTGTAGGAACGTATGGAAAAGATTGCCCAGCGACAGGCGATGCAAAAGGAAGAATCGCAGAGAAAAGCGATAGGATGAGAGTCGTTGTGCTGGCCATCGTGGGCCTTTGTGGTTGCGCAGACCGGAGACTGCCGGAGGTGAACGTTGAAGCCATTGCGAATTTTGGTTGTGCTGAGCAGGTTCGCCGACTCAAGGCAGATGTGATTGTTGCTACGGCTTCGGAGCCTGGAAAAGTCGCCAACGTATTTACTGGGCTCTCATACCATGGTCATCGCCTCGTAGCTCGAGAGCTGAAAAAAGATTCTCGTTGATGTTTCCCAACTCCCTCCCAACTTTGACTTTCCTTTGCACTGAATGTGTTTGTGCAGAGTGAACAAGCACCAGCAAGTGTCGTAGGCAGTCTGGTCTGCACTCTTCGCCTGGGGAATGCAATGTCCAAGGGTCTCTGCGTAGATGTCTCGGGCCGCTATGCGACACACCTGTCCAAGCTTTCGATATTGGTTGATCTGCTATAATGCTAATTCAGAGGGCCTCGAGAATAGGCCACTGATGGGGTCGTGTCCAGGTTTAGATTGGATATGTTAAGGGAGAGCAGAAATAAGATCAGGAAGAAAGTAACAGAGCCGCGCAAGCACAATGGAAAGAGACCAGGAAGAAGAAAGTGGTAAGTATGTACGAGCAGGGATGAGTGATCTTCTTACTGGGGAACACCTGGACTCTAAACCGTCCAGTATGGGACCATCACACCACCAAGGAAAGTTTACGATTAGTCCCAACCTGTCAATAGTCGGGCCAATATCAAGATTCTATTCGCACAAGCGAGAATGACTTGCCGCTTTCTGCTGGGCCAGACTCGATAATGCGATTGTTTACCGTCGTTGGCAGAGCGACGAATGGTGGGGTATCCTTGATCAGTTGAACGGGAACAAGCCCGGACAAGGACCAGGATAGGTTAGAAAACGATAAAGACTATCACATGCGGAAGACGCCACAACTAAAGAATAATGCACATCCAACTGCTGCATTGTACTGAAGAGGCAGTATGTTTTTCAATCTCATCCAATCGTTGAACAATCATAAACAAAAACATCCGACCGCCTGCATACGGATTACATGGAGACGTTCAACGACAATAGCGGTTGAGGCTTGAACTGTGGCTGCCGCTATCCGCTTCCCGGTAAGTTCAGTTGACTTGGTTCCCTGTCAGTCAACCAAGGCAAGGCAGCCAGGCCTGTTTACTCACCCCAACAACCGCCTTCCCTTCTCTCTCAACGATAATACTCTGTAACTATCACCGAGTCCACTCCCTTCATTATACGCTTTGTTCCATGTCCCAGGTCATCACAGATAGTTTAATCTTCTACAAAAACTATCACACATAACCCTACTGCTGATTACCAGGAAGAAACGTCAAAGTGGTACCGGTGGAGAGAAAAGAAGCTGGGGCGATCGTACTAATGTACCTAAATCTTACCGAACCCGATCAGTTGCCCAATCAACTATCGCAAAACCTTAATTGACATCCATTGATAGAAGACAGATCGGACTGAGTCGAGACCATCGCATCAAAAGACGGTATAAGTTTGTGAAGGCTTCAGTTCCGAGACCGCTCTTGGCATGCATTTCGACATAAGTATCAGTAACAGAAATTGTTCTCGCTAGACAGACAGAAACATCACGATCACATTGGCAAGACAAATGTTTGGGAGATAGTTGATCATGAGCATTAGGATTCATTGGCTTATAAGCTATAACTATTTGATTTAAAACCACACAAGACGCCTCAAAGCCGATGTGGCCACAAAGCATCGTAGCACGATCTCATAAAACATCCTCATCCACCACCATATCATGTTTCCAAGCTCTAGACACCACCTTCCCACTGTCTCTCACACTCTTATCAAAACGACACAGCCTGATAGCCGGCTTGTGTTTGGGTATCGCACAGACAAAATCATCTCCTTTAGTAGTAAATCTTCTCAGTCCAGATAGGAGGTCGTGCTCCTTCAGTGTCCCACTCGATGTGGTTCTTGTCGTTCAATGTGCAACCCTCGTCTGAGATGGGGATCACCTTGCTCGTGTGGAACACCTCCTGCTTCGAGACACCAGCAGGATCAGCGGGGATCCACAAGATGGGAGTCTGACTGGTGACCGAAGGTGGGAAGTAAGCATCGCGCTCAACCTCCTCAGTGTAGTCAAGCCCCATGTGACTCTCATGGGGGACGAGCTGACGCATGGTGGCATAGTCGGCGTAGATCCAGGGCTTGAGCCACTTTGAGAAGAAGTTACCCTTCTTCTGAACACCGGCAGTACCACCAGGCGCAAACTTGTTCATAACATTGGCCTTGCTGTTGCCATTCTGGTGATCACCATTATGGGCGGCACCATTGCCATTCTGGACATGTCCATCCTCCAGCTCAGAGCCCTGGTTGCTTCGCTGAATCTGCTCCTCCTCAACCTCGAGAGAGCGAGGCAAGTTGTAGAGGAGAGGGTTGAGGGCCTTGGCCATAGTAACGTGGAACAAAACGGTGAAGATGAGGAAGATGACCATCAAAACAGCAGGGCCTGCAGCCTTGGAGACGATGAACATTCCGATGAGGCAGATCTCGGCAAGATAAACACCGACGAAAAGCTGCTTCAAAGCTCGGGGGTAGATGAGACCTCTAGTGTCGATCTTGGTCTCGGTGACAAACAGGATGTTGTAACGGTAGGCAAGATAGAAGAGAGCCATACCAAGAGTCGACCAGAAGAGCATGAGAGGGGCAATGACAGCGTAGACAATGCCTAAGAGAGGTTAGCAAGGGACAGCTATACAATTAAAGTGGTATCTTACTGATAACAGCAATGTTGGTGTAAACGGGCATCAGGCTGCCCCAAGTAAGAGCACTGAGTGTGGTCCACTTGTTGTACATGGCTCGAGGGGTGCTGGCAAGGAACTTGTACAGCAGATTGAAGATGATGCAGCCGACAACCTGAGTCAGTACGCTGGTGGCAATACCGAGACCCTGAACGATGAAGTAGGAGATGTAGAAGTTGGATGCAGTAGGGATCGAGGAAGACAACATAGTAAAGACTTGGCTGGGGTCCTGGACGATCGTGACGATGGAAGAAACGAAACTGTTGGCCAGTGTCTGGACGAGGAAGACCTGGAGGACGAGGAAGACGAAGTATGTGTTTTGCGTGTAAAGCTCAGCCTGGGAGATGGAGACACAACCGGCCTGCTTAGCACAGAGACGCATGAAAATGGGCACCATAGCCATGAGGATAGAGAGAGCGATAGAAGGCAGAAGACCAGAAACGACACCAAGGATGACGCTGGGAATGCTCTCGATCCAAGTAAGACCAGGGAGAGACTTGATGGTGTTAACTTGAGCGATAACACCGACAATAGCAACAGGAATGGCCCAGAAGATGATGAGAATAGCGATGATGGCGGCGATGAGATATCGGCGAATGACGATCTGCCACCAAGTGTACTTGAGGCTCTTCCAGACGACCTCGTCGGGCTTGACGCCAATGTGTCGAGGTGCCATGTGGAGAGCATGGTGATGAGTGGTAGTCTGGAAAGCAGCCTGGGCATCGGATTGTGTGTAGAACTCGACGAAAACAGCAGAGTGCTTCTCGTAGTTACCAGCGAGCCAGTTGGCCTGGGCCTCGTCAGCCTTGGGGACGAGTTCCTTGAGCTGCTCACGACCCCATTCGATGGTGTCAACCTTCTTGCCAATAAGCCCAAGGGGGCCAGTGCGGTGGGTAGGTCGCTTCTTCTGAGGAATCCAGCGGGCGGCAGCGTCGCCAGACTCGGGGTCAGTGGGGCCAGAATTCTGCTTCTCGGCCTCTGCACCGCCCTTCTTCATGGAGTTGATGCGCTCCTTGTTGCAAAGCTTGAGCAGCTTGACCTCGCCCTTCTCGAGCTTCATGGCGACTTCATCGCGCTCCTCAACGATCTCATCAACCTCCTTGGTCTCACCAGGGATCCAAACGTTCTTGACAGAGTCGTTGAAAAGAGTGCGAATGCGAGCCTCGTCGAGATAATCCTTAGGCACGGAAGTGAAGAGAACAGTGCGAGACGAGATACGCTTGGCGTACTGGGGAGTGAGCAAGAAAGCCTGTCGCACACTGACGTAGAAAAGGCACTCGCGCAGGATGGTGTACATGACGAAGCCATAGACGATCCATGCGATGAAGCAGTGAGCGTACAGTCTGTTCCTCTGGGTGGAGTTCTCGATGTTGATGTTGCTGTAAGAGAGCAACTCAAGCTCTGTCTTTCCGTTGCCGCCAGTGGCATTGACGGGGAAGAGGACAGGCCATGTGATGCAAAGACTCACAAAGCAGATAGTGCAGCAAATGCGAAGGAATCGGATGAAGAGGTAGGCGTCGAGACTCTGGTGCTGTAAGGCGTAGGCATCGGGGATCTTCCAAAAGGTACCAAACCAGCCAAACCAACCATCTGGCAGCGCAGGACTTCGTTCACTGTGAGGCTGTTAGACATGTCGTTCTCAAGGTTTAGATAACCGGTTGAAACTTACTTCTCTCGCAGAGAACCCAGATAAGTTCTAGGCGCATAGAAACGCCTATTGGATTTACGCAGTATGAGGAAAATAATCATGTATGCCGCCGTCGCAACAAGGACGGGGACAAGAGTCGAGACCATGCCTGCGATGTGTTAGTCGTGCGTCGCATTTCCCATAACTTGATATAAAGCCAACGTACTCGACACGGACTTGGGCTGAGGTCCTCGAGCTTCGCCCGCATTGCCCTTGGTCGTTTGAGGGTCGGGGAGGTTGTCCTCCAACCAACTGATGAATTGACCCATGATGACGACCCGGCAGTATCTTTCTTTAAACTACGTCGAGGTCGAAGCCCTGGGTATGGGCGATTAGAGATCGGATTCGATTATTTCGATTATATGCGACGCCGATAGTTGAGATAAATTGGAGGTGGATAAAAGGTGGGAAAGGTAAACAATTAAGAAGAAATTGAGATTTGGAAGAATTAGATTAAGGTCGACTTTGTTAGTATTCCTCCCTTCTGCTGGCGGGGCGGGTGGCAGATAGATTAAGATGAGACTGGACGGGAGGTACGAAAAGGTAGTCGCGTTCCGAAGTTGCGATTAGTGGCAGGTCCAGTGCAACAGCGAACCCAAAGCAAGAGCCCACAGACGGTGACAGCGACAATGCTTAGCTGCAACCAAACCAGTCTGGGAACGAAAAGGCTTGCGAAAATAGGACGTTAAAACAAAGAGTGGACGGGGGAGGCTGGTCTAAGGTATATGTAATTAAAGTGTATTTTTTCTTGAAAGCTGGTTTTAGATTCAGTATGGTTGAGGTAACCCAGCCTTGGTACGGCACTCACGCTCAGCTTAGGTGGTCGTCAGGGGTGTAGCCAGAGGGAGTGGAGACTGCCACACAGACCCACGGAAGCTTAGCTCAAAGATAGACCCCTTAATCAAGGTGAAGTCATGTCTCAGCCCATTCAGTTCCTCTGTTCCTGTGATTTCATACAAGAAGCAAAGTCAGTCAGTGAGTTAGCAGTTATTGTCTTTATCATGTCTGCCCCTATCAATAAAAAAAAAATACAATGAAATGCAATCTTGGGAATAAGTCGGTACCTAGGTGGTGCCATTCAACGTCAGTCAGTGACAATCAAGACAAGGTGCTGATGGCGACGTCACAGTGTAGCCGCCAAGTCCCTGAAGCTCTTCTGTCCATCTAGGAAACATCCGTGGAAATCCTGGTTTGGGTCTAGATCGATTCAAGCCAATCACTTGTTGTGCGCTCATCAGCGGTAATTGAATCGAATTGGGTGGGTGACCCCCCTGTAGCCCAAGCCTACGCTTTCAAGCACAGCTGTCCATGGATTGACCATCAACTGCACATCAATCAAGTCAGAGCGGTATGGATGCAAGTGATCCCAGGTGATAACACGGTAACGATAATTGGAAATGAAACCAGAAAACCGGTCAAGTATGCTTTTGACATGAACCGCCAAGCATAGGGAAGAGAGAATTGGGAAATAATACTCCCAAAACAAGACCCTGTCAATCCCAAAAGAAAAATATCGTTACTTTAACTTTAAATTCTCAGTCTTCAAATCATCAGATTGAAAAATGAGGGTCTGCAAATCCTTCTTCATTTCGGCTGTTGAAAGCTTGGCGACGAGACCCAACTTCTGCTACGACGTAGACGTGGACATCCATTGTGAATGCTGCGCTACTGTAAATAGTGTCACTCACTAAATGCGGTGCATGCCTCAGTTGAAGGACGGTCAGACGGAGACAGGACAGGGGCAAAGAGATTGAGTCGCTGTGCACTGTCAAATTGCATCTCTGAAACTTGAACGAGTCTAGACCAGGCCATTCACTCATTGTGGCTCTTTTAAAGTATCACGCCTTCATTCTCGGCCTTCAAACGTCTCTATCGATTCAGCTTGTGTCGTCGGTTTTGCAATGATCGAAGGAGCGGCACAGCACAGCCACGGATGCTCTCCCGTCGAACGACAGACCCGAGACCCAACTTGCAGCTTGACAGGGATGCCTTTTTTCTCTCTTAGGGTGTGTGATGTCAGAGATGCTTTCATGCAACCATCTTGAGTCTCTCTCATCGATACTGTATCAACACTACGATAGAGACTAAACTGACCATCACAAAGCACAGGCATTATCCGTACAGTAAAGAAAGTCATGACCAGATAGATCATTGAATTAACCCCCAGAACCTAGTCGGAGATCATGATCGGAATGTTAATCGTCTCCCCTTTTAGGAGGCCTGCCAAGCCTCATCTCTTGGTTTTCCCTTTGAAACCATCCAAGCTCATTCCGTGGCGCTTCACTTCAATCACTCATCGCTTCTCCCCTTGTTTTTCGGAACCTTTCGTCCCGTGCAAGACGGCACCTCTTGACGCCAATGACATCAACTACTGCCTCTCCCCCAGTAACCACTACGGTAGCTTCATGCCGATCTGGTCTGTGGGCTAATGCTAGAGCCTAGTTGTGACTGTCATAATAAATCTGGGACCTGGACTTTGTTTATTCGCTCTTGATAATCGTATTCATGTGCTGGTCTACAGATCATAGGACGGGAGAAGAAGCTCCAGACAAACATCCCATCCATCATTCTACTAAATCTCTGCCGTGATTTAGACCATCTTTAATCCTTGAACCTATCCAACTTTGACTCTCCTCATCAATGCTGTCTAGTGCCTGACCGACATCATGACGCTCCTCGCTCGACTGCTCTAAATTGAGGCCTAAAGACTGAAGCGTTGACTGAGTGAGCGAGAGGACTCCTACTGCGCTATGCAACCTCAAAGAACCCCCAGTCCATTCCCCATTCCAAAGGCTAGACCCTCTGGATCGTCCCCCAAGGTGCACGCGCCAGTCCGCCCTCGGCATTAGCGCCTCGAAATGATGCTGGTTCAGCTGAGATGAACTGGCGTTGAGGTCACTCTCTTACTGGCTGCGTGTTCGACCGAGGCATCATGTCAAGTAACTGAACCAATGATGTATTGGCGGTGATGAATTGATTGAATTCCCACAAAAAAAGTAAAGACTCTGTCACTCACAGCGTGGCCGTTACCTGCAAACGTCGCCTAACAAAGTATGTACGCCCGGCTTCAATTAACTGAAATCTACGGCCGTTTCCATTAAACTGCGTCACAATTACAGAACTAGACTACCTGCCCAAGTTGATCTAGAGTGTTTGCTGCAACCGGTTTTTGTACCAGGGTAACTCTGAAACTCCGTCATGGCACAGACGGGCCTCTCAATTACACAGTCATTCATTGTTTAACTTGAAAGCAATCACGTGCGTTTTACAGCATCGGCTGTCTACTCTTAATTTTGACATCTTGTGTTTCACTTTGTGTTGGTTTGGTCAAACATTCCTGATTCTAATGGCATTGTTGCCTCTCTTTGCCCCTGTGTACGTGGCAGTGCTGAAGTCGAGGAGTAATGGACACTCGCCAAGACAAAAATGCTAAAGGTCAATATGGAACTCGACTTGATGCCTCGAATATGGGTTTGTGACCTGGCCAGGATTCCCTCGATGATGCATGCATTCCCTTGGCGAGTCTAGTCTAAGCAAGGGACTTGCACAAGACGAGGCGAGCTCTTAGCGTACACAAACTCGTGATGCCTTCTCACGTACCACGATGAAATGTTTGTGTTTTGTTAGAGGACTGCAGCAACATTTAATTAACTGTAGCGGTTTTGAAAACGTGTTACTGCAAGGGATGGCGGTACACTGCGTTGATTGGAACACGCGCGGCATTCATTGTGATGATGGACAAACCCATCTTCCTTACATAGAGACCAGGGACTGGAGTCTGGTATGCCGTCAGTCAGATGTAAGTTGATTCCATGTAAGAAAAGGAAAGACATGAAATTTCGCGGCGTCTATATACGCTTGCGATAATGCCAAACAACGGCACGCAACGTCTCAATGCAAGAGCAATCTACAGTGAAGCAGAGAGAATTAGTTCAGAGTTCAATCATTGGAGTTGCCATGTCGGTACTTCCGACCATCTTCTTTGACCTGAGACACAAAGAAATCATGAGTCCAGCCTATAATCTCTGGAAACAATGTCTATGCGCCCACCATATTTCGGATGTGAGCATAGACAACAAAGAACCTCCTTTGTTCTTTGAATAGCATCACATTCATGAGAAGCCTTGCAAAGATGAATATAGAAGGCTTTTTGACCAGATTTAAAGATAGATATAGCCACCCATCAAAGAGAACCATTTCTTGTTCTGCTATCCATTCTCCTAACTTGTGACTTTCGACTCAACAACTTTGTGTGAATCGTGAGCATCGCAATGGCATCGTCTGCAGCACCCGATACAGAGATGGAGGGCACTCAGCCCCTTTACATCCCCTCAACCCAATGGGCAACATCCTACAAGTCCACCTACACGATCCCAGACGCCGGCATCCTCGACGATCAAGATCTCGTCCTTCTGCAGCATCTCAACTGCTCATACTTCTCTTCCGGTCGTCCTCCCACTCTTGTCGCCCTGAAGCAACACGCCCATTCCCTCGTCAATCTCATCCGCAAACTCGCTCTGACGACCAACACTCGCCCAGTTGGGCACGACGGGATACATGAAAGGAGCTATAAATTTGAGGAGCATGAAGCCTTTGACTGGTTGAATGATCTTGATACGCCTTATGAGAATGATGATCCGGCGCATCATGATCCCCTCTGGGCTTTGCATAATACTGTCCAGTCGGAGTCGGAGACGGGGGGTATTGAACATCGTTGTCCTTTGACGCGGGTTGAGGATAGTGGTCCTTCTTCTAAGAAAGGGGACATTCATCGTCCGTACATGACACACCACGATCTAGTCATGCACGCCAATGAATGCCTAGAGATTCTTGATCACGAATACTCTGCTACAGGTGGTCTTCTTTCTATTCTTCCAACTGGCTTCGAAGCCCCCGAAGATCTTAAAAAAGCTCAGGTTATGTCAGAAAGACAAATGGAAGGCGCACGCAACTGTCTTCTTGGCCAATGGCTCTTGAATCACCAGCATCTTGTCGGTCGAATGCACGAGCTCGAGATCAGTTATGCCAACGCTCTCGATACCCTCGCAGGCGAAGCTCTCGTCCCGCAGCAAATTATAGGCCTTACTGGTCCCGATGGCGTTTCAGGCGGTCGAGAGATCGTGTATCCTCAAGACAGATTCATTCTGGTCAATGCGGGCGATGATATCACGAGCTACATCCACCGTCAACTCGATGTTGCCGAGGCACAGATTGAACAGAAGGAAAATATCTGGAAGGCGAGCGGCGCTGTTGGTGAGAGAATTTGGAACGAAGAACGAGGAGGAAAGGTCTATGCTAAGGGCATTGTGCCAATCGACATCCCCTCTCGCTTCTACCGTATCAAGGGCAAAGGACATCGGTCCCCTCTATTCATGATCCCAGCATCAGATCAGCATCCAGGTGTCTCGCAAACACGCATTATCGAGAATAGGCCAACCCTGGTATCTGTCGTGACCCCGACCTGGCCAGAGAGAGTGACCGCCATAGAGGCCCGGAACAAGGAACGTCTGGATCAAGCAGCAAAGCTTGAGGTGGACAACCGAGCGCTCCTCCGTGAGAAGGCTGGGTTGCTGGACGAGATTGCTTTGAAGGCTGCCGAGAACAGACAAATGAGTGAGCAGTTGGCTTGGTACGAAAAGCACGCTGAAGTCGTTGACGAATGAAGAGGCAATGGTCTGCAGGTCTGAAAGTTGGAGTGCAGACTGGACAAGACATGATCATGTAGGATTGATGGACAGGAGTAATCGATATGGGACCATCTGCGGAGGGTCCTTCTGGATAGAGAGAGTGAATTATCTATTGTCAATGCTAGCCCTTTGCTTTCGATTTATAGCATGTTGCTTTCATAGGAACGAGACCTCAGCCAAACTGCATCCCCTATATCCCTACGGTCGTCCCGCCAGACTATACGGCCTCTATCAGTTTGAGCGACGTCAATGTTCTAATTGCTGGACAATAATGTTACCTCTTATATGGCAGAATATGAACCATTTCGTGACTTCGAATCCCAATGACACGAGGCACAACACCACATTATATTATATCAAACAACAGTGTGTCTTTGCCTTTTTGTTTTCTGGTATGTTACAACGAGACAGCCATGTTCAGCCTTTTCTATACGAGGTCGGCTAGAAGTTACTGCCAACCAACATGTCTCATTGTCCTGGAGGTGGGAGTAAGCCACCAAAGGTCGGAAGGCTGTTGGCACCACTCCTTATAGAGCAAGGTTTAGCGAGGCTATCAAATATGGTTCGTTAATGACGCAAAATGTCACAAGTTCTGGAACAATAGATGATACTTCCAAGCGGTCAGTAGAGCTTCTAAGTGGTTAGCATATGATGCTGAGTAGATATCTGTTGGGTATTCGAGGGGCGCTCTGCGATAGCCAAGCCAGTGATGCTATCAAGAAAAATATAGTCATGTGCGCAACATTCAACTTGTTCTCTGCAACTTCAAACGATTCTGAGGAAGTACATCCCGACGCTGTTAAGATGAATATGATCAGTGAGATGTGTCAGAGGGTATCTTGAGGAGTGAAGTTGAATTAGTGTGGAGCAGAATGATCCTCTCTTGTGATGAGATGCAAAACATCCACAATGAATTCTCACAGTTCCTGAAACTATGAATTCTTTCAATTGAGGCAGCTTGTTAACTCTAAGAAGTTTTGGTTGTTCCTTCATTTGCTGGGTCCTGTTTGATGTGATAGATTGCCCGACCCTGGGTCTCCGCAGGAAAGGAATTAGCATCTCTTCTTGTAATTACCTAGCATTCGACCTGAAATGGGATCAATGGAAGGTCCAATATCTTCTCATTTGAATATCTCGAATGTTCGGGAAGGTCTTGCCCAGGCCATGGCAGGTTCCCTGGTAACATGCGTCAATATATGACTAAGCCACCTTTAAAGATCCCCTCCTCAACACCAATCACTGCAACACAATTGTCACCATCCATCATGAACACTCGATATCAACCATGATGCTACCACTAAGACGATATGCTTCAACTCTCCATAAAACTGCTTTCATAGTTCCCAAGACATTCACTCGTTCTCTCCATCTCGCTCCTCCGTTCCTTCTTGATGACTATGTCCCACGATACATGACCCTCAGCTCTCGAGATGCAGCCAAGAAACGTTCTTTGGCATACGCTCACCTTCGAAACTGTAACCTGTGTCCAAGAGAATGTGGCGTAAACCGGTTCGAGAAAACCGGCATGTGCCTTATCGGCGAGAAGGCAAAAGTCAATACGATTGCTCCCCACTTTGGAGAAGGTCAGTGACAATCAGCTCTGCCCCAAGCTTCCTGCATACGATTATTCCTTGCATTTAAGCTTCTTAGCTCGAGGCCTGATCATGAACTGTATTGTTCTATTCATCTTCTGACTTGATATCCAGAACCTTGTATACAGGGGCATAATGGTAGCGGCTCCGTGTTTATGAGCGGGTGTAACATGAGATGCATCTTCTGCCAGAACTGGGACATATCTCATCAACGTAACGGTATGGACCTGTCACCTGAAGAACTTGGTGATTGGTACATCAAGTTGCAAGAGGTTGGCAAAGTCCACAATATCAACGTTGTTACGCCGGAGCATGTTGTGCCGCAGGTGGCGTTGAGTATCCTCCATGCCAGGGACCATGGCCTGACCGTTCCTATCGTGTACAACACCTCGAGCTTTGACTCTCTTGCATCCCTCGAGCTGATGGACGGATTGGTTGATATCTACCTGGCCGACTTTAAGGTGTGGAAACCAAGTACTTCTAAAAGGCTACTTAAAGCGGATGACTATGCCGCCACAGCGAAGGAGAGCGTCAAGGCCATGCACGCCCAAGTCGGTGACCTGTGCTTTACGGGAGATGGAATAGCCAAGAAAGGTCTCTTGATCCGTCATCTTGTCATGCCAGGTAAAGAGGATGAGGGAGCTGAGATAATGAAGTTCCTTGCGAATGAAGTTTCTACGGATTGCTTCGTCAATATCATGGAGCAGTACCATCCAGATGCCCACGTCGGAAAGCCCGAACGAGCGAAATCTAATGCCAAAGAAGACAACAAGGAAGTCCGATATGCGGAGATGAATCGAGCCGTCAGCAATCAAGAGGTCTCTTGGATCCGAAAAGCCGCAGAGGAACATGGACTGTGGAGGTTCAACGACCCACCAAAACATGAAGGCTTCGCTATCTGATGTTACAAACTGCCTATCATTCGGCCGCTGGCTTGCAGTTCTATTGAGCTATGCCATGAAGCTGCAATTCCAAGCCAACAGCGGGTACTAACAGCGCCACCACCTGGCCAGGACAAGCCATTGGCGTGGGCGGTTTCATTCAATCAACATGGCAAACCCAACCAGGGTTGATCAGCTGTTCTAGACTTGGGATATGTCTTCCAGGTTCCTGGTGGCCAACGGGACTCAACAGCACCTTCAACGCCAAGCCCAACCACTTCTTATTGACAGTTTAATGAGCCAAGTGTGGCAACCAGGCACGGATTCCCTAAGAACAACCAACTGTTCATACACTAGGAAAGTCACTTCCAAAGGAACACTAGGACAGATCCCGGAACTCGCTGTTTCGCTTTGTTCCAGAGCGAATTTGGCAACAAAGCGTCCATGCTCCCCATGCCAAATATGGCCTTCCTCACAGTTGTCTTTGTTCGTGTGCGAGATGGCAAGGAAGGCGAGAAGAATTAATACCTGGCAGATATGCGTGCTGTTTCTCTTGAGTTGTTTCCTCTGCTATCAGCAACAAATATCAAGAATCACAAATTATTTCAAGATGAATACTACTTTTCCACAGATTCATGGCATGGTTCAACTACCACCTATGGATGCAAGGATCACTCCACCTCCAGAGGACTTGAAAATCGTTTTACCCAAACTGCAAACAAGCCCTGTCTTCCCACCTTCACCCAAATCCCTTCCGGATACACTATACCCAGATACTCCGTCCAGTACAGGCTCTTCCTCTAGAAAGAGACAGCGCCGACGCTCCTCGAGCTCTCGGTCTCGTCAGTCAAGATCAAACGCCAATCAACAGGCCCATGGCAGTTCTCGCCTTCTCTTCGAACCTCGGGCCTTTGAGGAGCTCTACATAGAAAGAGCTTACCTTGACCAAAAGCTTCGAGAACATTCCTGTCGAGCTTCAGATCTTATGAGACGTTACTGCGGAGTCGAGCAGCAACTTCAAACTCTCGATGGCGACCGTGGACGACGCAAACTGCGAAAGCATTTGAGTTTGCTAAAGTCCAAGATCAACCAGGCTGCTGAGCAGGAAAGGGCCATCTTTTCACGTCTTGGCGACCTGTACGTCGAGATACAGAGTCGCGAGACGTGGGCTCAAGCATGGATTGTCGACAGCCCCAGTGTTGCGTCGTCTATTTGCTTTAGCCCTGCGTCCTCTGGCTTTCCTACTCCCACTGCCCCTTTCGTTGGCTCATCGATGGACTTTGCCCCCACAGGCTATTTCAACAACTTCTACCAAGCTGCTGGACCTTGCTACTCCTATGCCCCTTCAGAGTCTGCAGTGTACGGCTTGGAGACTGTTGACGAAGCCACTGAGGATCTTCTGTGCGTTCCTGACTCGGCCTCTGTGAGCGTTGAGTCAGAGACGACACCAACTACACCAGCAACTTCTGTTGCTACAGATGTTCACCCTTGTGATGAGAAGAACGACTGTGGCTCGGAGACTGGAGACGCTTTGGACGATGTCCGCTTTTCGGTGGCTAGGGAGAGGCGAATGAGTCTTCCTTGCCTCCGTCACACTTGGCCTGAGGCCTAAGCTAATAAGCATAACAGCGGTGTTGCCGGACAGCGTGTTGATTTTGAGGTTATCGTAATGACTTATCGAGCAAGGACACTGTTGTGTCATCGTAAAAAGAACATGTCGTATCATTAATAGCATATCAATCTGGCGTTTAGTCCTTAGCAAGTCTTTAGTTTAGTGTATATGTACTATGTTTTCCGAAATCATATCGCTAATGCACCGGTGTATCCAATGACCCTTACGCAAACTCTCCAAATTGCCCATCGTCGAATCCAAGATCCTTGGCCGACTGCTTCTGCTGCTTCACGTCGTTTGCACTTGGTGGAGGTGGTAATGAGAAGCCACCAGAAGAGCTTGGGCCAGCAGGAGGTGGCGGTAGAGCGAAAGATTGAAGATCTCCTCCAGCTCCAGAGTTTCCTGCATTCGAACTTCCTTGCTGCTTCCTTCTTCCAAACTTGGACCCGCCAAAGCTCACTGTGATAGTCTCGCCGTCCTTGAGGCTGTAATCTTTGTGCTCTTCCTTTTCTTTCGCTGCAGCCGGCTTGCTCTGCTCGCCCTCCCAGCCCAATGCCTTCCTCGCCTCCTGCAGCGCAATGCTCAGATCAAACGCCTCGCTCCTCTCCTCAAAGCCAATGCCCAGAATAGCCTTTCGTCCCTGAGGATCGCGCACCGTCAGAGCGAAGAAGCGACTGCTGTCAAGAACTGGCTCTACAACGCCAGGAGTGGTATACGGCGCCGCGGCGAAAAGCTGGCCTGTTGAAGCATCCTCTAGTACAGCGTCAACTTTGAGCTGGTTGGTTGATGAGGCCGATTCGTATGCTGTCTCGAGAACGCGCAGACGAGCAGTGAAGATATGGCGCTGAGGATCGGTGGTCCATGTGCTAGCATTGTAGCCCTTTGTCGAGGTCAGGGGAGGAATGTTGTAGACGTGGACGGCATTAGCGACGAAGAGAATGCGCTGGATAGCGTCGTTAGGGAGGGCGGCGCCCGTTGCGGGATCGAGAAGCTCCATTGGTGGATAGAGTTGAGGAATTGTAGCTTGTGATAATTGCGCAGCTAGATACAGATCTGGTTTGTCGTAGTTGAGATGAGTATGTGTTCGGGAATGGAAGCTACTTTCGTGTATAAGATGAAGGTGGAGAGCGACATCTTAAAGTTCGGGAAGGGGGCGGTAGCTGGAGGGGCAGCGCGGGGCACTTTTGATTGCGGAATGCAGGGTAGTCAGCTTCATCATGGGGTCGAGACACGTTATAGAATGAAAGAACATCACTGGTCGAGTTTGTACGAGTGATATCACCCGTTACGTTATAATACTATGTTAAATGAAATACATGTGAAAAGATTGTTTTTTGCGTTCGTGCTCTGTAGAGTCAAATGAGATGATGGCATCCTGTCTTCTAAATTACAAGGGACTCACTCACTGAAGATGCCCTGCAAGTAAGTGCCGTCATCTCGGCCCCACTCTCCACCGGGTACAGAATTCACCCCGCCAAACCACCACAAAGACGCCTGACTCACCAGCATCGGATCAAAAATTCCCCTCCATCAGAATCTCGACTTGGGAATAGTATCATCTTAACCTCCCAACCACACCGACCTAACCTATCGCACACCCTTCACCATGGCGACAATCGATACATCGGGTAATTTTCTATAGTACCATATTTTCTCTACTATACTGACCCTTTGAAAAGTCGCTGCTCCGGCAGATGTTGAGCAACCCCAGGCTCCCAAAAACGCCGATTTCGAGTCCGTCCCCCACGTTCACCTTTCTATGCTACTCTAACGCCCTTCTAGCATTGTAGAGACATACCGCGGCCTTATTGCTTCAGACCCCGATCTTACAAAACCCGTCGCTGCCATCGAATCCCTCATCGCCCTCCTCAACGCCCACCCTTCAACCACAGTCTTCGAGATCCTCGACACAGTCAAAGTCCACTCCGACCGCCTTAAGGCCTCCGTCTCGAACCCCGTCCCGCTCTCCGCCGGAACAGATCTCTTCCTCCAATATCTCGTTTCCTCTCTTCGCCAACAAGACGGCAGCTTCGACGCCGTGAGACAACATCTCCTACGAAACGGACGTCTTTTTGCTCAGCGTGCTAATGCCGCGCGAGAGGGCATTGCGGATGCAGGATGGAGACTTATCCGTGAGGGCCAGTGCATTCTGACACACGGTGCTTCGCGATCGGTTGTTGGAATTCTAGAGCGTGCTGTGCAGAACCTCGGTGCGGGCAAGTTCAAGGTTATCTACGTGCGCGAGGAGACCCGAGTTGAGGAGAGTGATCGCATAGTTCGCGAACTCCGCTCAAAGGGTATTCCTGTTGCCGAGATCGCAGAGGCTTCGGTGGCGTATGTTATGGGCCTGCTGCGCCAGGTCAACATGGTGCTTGTTGGTGCTGAGGCGGTCACATCCAACGGAGGTATCATCTCTCGTATGGGTACCCTGCAGCTCTCCAAGCTGGCGGCACAAGCCAACCTTCCTTTCTACGTCGCTGCTGAGACACACAAGTTTGCGCGCAAGTTTGTGATGGACCAGCGAGATATTGGGTTTAAGCAGGATATTCTCGACTTTAGTGTCGACACAAAGAGCAAGGATACTGTTGATGCTGTTGACTTCACTGTATGTTTCCCAAGTTCTTAAGCCCCGACCAAGTTACTGACATTTGTAACAGCCCCCAGATTTCATCTCCAAGCTCATTACAGAGAATGGGATTAAGCTTCCCTGTTACGTCTTTGAGCAACTGCTCGATATCTACGGCAGTCTCAACGGTTGAGAGGACAATTCCGCATGTTTTGACAAAATCACGCCCATCCCGCTACTTGTTGAGCAGGATATGCTTGGCTCGTTTAAATCTCTTCCATCGGCAAAGGTTTGCCGAGTATCAAGATACTCATCAAAATGTTCGCTTATGGCGTTTTGGAGGCTAGCTGAAAGCCAATGACTAGGGCCAACGTCATAAATACTGTCTGCAAACTTGGGATGCATACACCATGACGATTGATGTCTGTTGGAAGGGCACTTTATACCATCACATATATATAAATATCTTTGGTTTGGTAAGGCGTTTAAAATACAAAGGTGCATAGAGACGGATATGAAAGATACATTTGCTTTCTCAGGGAGTGACTATCCTCCTCTTCATCCCGCTTATGGCAATTTGGGGCCTTAGAAACGACAGAACTCCAACAATAAAACGTTACAACTCATCAACTCGTTTGCGCTAAGAGATCATTCGTAGGCATGAGAATAACAACACGGCAGTTTAAATGTCCCGCACCAGTCTGGCTCCTACCCAGGCGTAAGGGTAGTTTCTCTGGTACCAGTTCACGAAACTCGCCCGTCCTGCGATACGTGGGTGCGTTGCCCACGAACCACCGAGAACAACATTGTGCTTGCCGTCGAAAAAGTCGGCTGTATACAGAGGATACAGAGACATGGGCTCAAAGCCTTCGTGGCGCTCGAGAGTCGAGCTTGTCCACTCCCAGACGCCGCCCATCTCGGCTTGGCCAGCAAGTTTGTTGCCCCGAGAGGTAACTGGCATAGGATGCCAGTGACGGAAACCGACATTGGCGTCGGTTAGGTCAAAGAATAGCTCAGAGGAGCTATCCTTGACCGAAACTGAAGAGTCGGATGGTGGGGTCTCCTCAACGCCGTCGTTGACAAGGTGCCTGCCAAATGTTAGTAAGAACCACAGTTTCTTCTAGAACTATGCTCACCCATTGACAGCGGGAACCGTCTTGGACAGAATACGTTCAGCCTCTGCCTTCTTCTGCTTGTTTACATGCGCATAGATGCTCTTTGCCTCTTCGAAGGAGGGGATTCGACCACCCATCCATGCAGCACAACCAGCAAGCTCATCGTATGAAGCGAATACAGGCCAGTCAAGTGCATACTTGAGAGGAACTAAACCATACATGGTTCTAACGAACTTGCCGTCAATGAACGAGTCGGGAACTTGGTTTGCGTGGTAGCCGTTTCCATTTCCGTTGGAGTAACCATTTGTATGTCCGTTAGTGTGATGACCGTTGGTAGCACCATCTTGTTTGCCAGAAGCAACCAAGGACCACGAAACTGGGATCTTATCGATCTTGGAGTTGTACAAGTACTGAGCATACTGTATATTGGTTAGAAATTGGTGAATATCAGCGGTAAACATCACATACCTCTTCATTGGTAATAGCTCTGCCTTGAGCTTGGAATGCATGGACCTTCGCTTGTCGTGCAGGCTTCTCGTTATCCCTTTAGAGTCAGGTCAGTTCATATTCGTCCCATTCAAGTAAGAAATGTGACGTACCAGCCAAAATGGCGTGAGGGGTCGGTACCATCCTCGGGATCATCCAATCCCAAAGTAATCGTCTGCTCTGGGACATCAAACCACTGATTCGGGACTCTAGCTTCGTACGATTGCTGAGCCAATTTTGCAAAATCAGGCTGTACTGTGTGAGGGGGAGGAAGTGTCTTGTCACTCTGAAGCATCATGTAGAGCAAAGTCTCAATGTGCATCAGCTCGTGCTCAAAACCAACCCAGATAGCCCGGCCGATATCTCGAGGAATCTTGTCTTGGCCATTCTGGTAAAGCTTTTGCAGACGAGATCGAACCCTGTCTTGGTATGCGGTAATTTCTTGAACAGGAGGCCACTCGTCAGGAATCTCAGAGTGAGTATGGCACTGCTCAGGGTTATCAACATCAGGATCGATTCCTCTCTCGAAGATGGAGTAGTAGGACGAGGGATCGGTTGGTAGTTGACCGGTAGTCTTGGTCAACTGGATATCGAGGAAGGTCGGGATATGACCAAGGTAAAAGATGCAGGCGTTTCGCAATTTGATGGGCTTTTCCTGAAGCTCCTCGTCGGCAATCATATCCTTGGTCACAACATCCCATGCCTTCCAAAGTGCCTTCCAGTCTTGGACCGTTGGCAGAGGTTTGGCGGCGTAGAGAGAGGGGATCAAACTGAACGGCATACTCGACTTCTGTAAAAGGTGAAGTCCTACACGATTGTTAGTCTCCTCTTGGCTAGCTTTCATGCACACTCTTGATATATCTCCAGCCTCAGTCATGCACCCCCACGTCATCCTGGAGATTGGCCTATCCTGGACACATGCTGCCGGTCGAGCTGGAAAAGGAAACACCCCTTTGCCGCGATTCGCGGGGTAGTCCGGGGGTGCATGACCACAAGGCATCAAATCGCATGTTTCTGGGGTGGGATATGCATCGTGAGGGAATTTGACCTACCATACTCATCTCCCCGAGTCCAGCGACCCATCTCGGTCAGACCTGCCAGTTTCCAAAGCTTTGTCTTTTCTTCCTCGGAATACTTGAGACTTTGTTCGATCCATACCCGCTCGTGGGGCATGATCTTTGAACCGAGAACATCCGTGGGTCGTGTCGGAGCGAGAAACGCCTGATGTCGCCCGCCTTCACTATCGTAGACGTACTCACCAATAACCTTCCACTCGCTAGTGTTGAAGACTTGTTCGCCGAGAATCTCATTGGCGTTATCAAGGCCATTTAGAATAAATCTGTATGATGTCAGTCCGTAGAACTCATTAGGAGTATAAGTCAGCTTACTTATGGGTTACCCCTTGGGAGTCTGCATTCAAGAACTGCGGCATTAACATCGACATATCTAAGCGCACTTAGAGACTACGTACCGTTGTATGCATGGCTACGGAATTGTTAGTATTGCTGACAACCAAGTGGCGGTTGTGACTTACTAAACACTGGATGGGTTGCTGCAAGAGTCAACCGCAACGATCATGGAATCAGTTGGCGTGAGGACCTCTGCGAACCCTCCCAAAAAGTCGGCTGCTTCATCTCGTGTGAAATTTCCTATAGTTGCCTTGTTAGCATCATGAGAATGAACTTGGGAGGAGTAACGCACCAATGCTGGAACCGAGGTGAATGATGCACTTGGAGCGGCTCGTGAGAGAAGGATGCTTAAGCCATTCCCGTCCATCGTCGTATGTACCAAGCAGGCCATGGCAGGAGACATATTTGAAGTCGGGTACTTGAGCCAAAGTACGCTCAAGCTCTTTAAGAGATAGATCCAGAGCGAAGTATTGGATTGGCTTCTTAGCCTTCTCAAATTCTTGTAGAAGCAAGCAAATCTTGCGGAGGTTTCTTCTGATTGTTAGTGACCAATGTCTCATACTGCGAGGGGATAGACCAACCCGCTCCCCAATTCAATGACCATAGAACCCTCAGGGATCTGACTGGCAATCTCGGCCGAGTTCTTCTTCAGAATCTCAATCTCATAATTTGTCAAGTAATACTCATCCAAGTATGTGATCTGGGGTTTATGAGTGAATGTAAGAGGGGTCTCGGCAGAATCAACATACTTCCTCAAAGAGCTGCAGCCCTTTCTCGTTGTATAGTAGAAGGGTAGGAAGCTTTCGTGGACCATCTTCAGGGTTAAAAGATGTGGCGATCTCATCTTTGAGGTTCATCTCGACAATTTCACCACGAATATCAATAATGCTAGGCACAGCAGGCATCGATGTGTTGCCATTCTGCTTTACCCTTTGAGGGGCAGCAGCAGCGGCTGGAGACGCTGTGAGGGAAGGCATGATAAAGCAAACGCAGATAGAACAAAACAGCGTAGGACTTCAACTCGGAATGTGCTGCTTCATGGAGACAAATTGACGGGGACAACTATGGTTTATAGATTATAACAGGAGTCGTCTCGAAGGGCGTGGCCTTCATTACTGATCCTCCCACCATCCCAATAGGTCCGAGGTACCTGAACATGTTTACCTCCTCAGTGGAGAATAGCTCAGACGACTCCTCGTGTCTTGATCAAGCTGGGCAGGCATCACAGCCAAACAACGCGGGGGACGGTACACTATTCTTAGTTCATCAGGGAATCGTCATTATGCCGAATGGGCGAGTAACGAGACTACGCGCCAGGAACACGGCTTGTATGATCCACTTGGATGTCGCAAAAGGGAAACCGGCTGTGCCTCAACAAAAGTGAATGGCCCCGATCGACAGCCTTCGGTCTGGTGGAAGTACTGTACATGGCTCTCGAGCCCTGCTGCTCGCCGTATGTGAACGATTCTGAAATAAGTTTGTCATGGTCTGCACTCTCAGAGTTGCAGCATCAGCACTTGTGGAGTGAAAGTGGGAGAGGTTGATGATAACTGGCAAATCAATCACAATGAGCCCGCCCCACGCCCCACGCGCGTGGGATAGCTCACCAGGTCAGGTCTGAGCTTGGAGCTGTGGCAGAGTGAAGCTCGACCATGTGTGAAGGGAGCTTTGGCAGTAGCTCGAGTCGTCGACATTGGGGCCCTATATATCCATCAAGGAGCCCGATTCCCTGCATAGTCCTTCGAAATTTCAGCCTTGTCTTGCGTGATCATAAAGCTTGCCCTGAATCTTTTGAAGTCATGGAGATCAGTACATTAGAGCATCTCTAAAGTCGACCGTCTCCTACCAGAAGCATTTCCCTGCAGAAACCTCGGTATTGCTTCGAACCGCAAGCGGCGTAGGTACATGTCCCTGCTTTAGGAAACCGGTTTGTACGGGTCATCGATTTGTCTGTTGTCGAATGTATAAGAGACAGGATTCGTCGATCTCAGAGATAAGATGGGACTTGTGAAGCTACCCTGACCAGGTCGTGAAGAACCCCGCGAAGCTTCCGGAAATGCCAGCTCTAAGCCCCTCCATGGTACCTGTGCCGCCCACTAAGACATGGCCATTTGGAGGTCTTTAGCAAGGGGTGAGCACTAGGTGCAGTGACTTGCATATGACGGTCTTGGCGATCCAGTTGTGACTTGATCTGAACGTCATGCGACAGGTAAGCTCCAGGCTTGCAGCTCACTGAGCTCAAACTCCCCGAGCCTGAGCTTTTGATGAATGATCAAATCCGACGCCGCGGAAGCTGAATAAGAATCTGATTACTCAGTCGGTAACGTCACTTTCTTTTACCGACCGTACGCGATTCGGGCCGGCATCGAACCACTCGAGATTTGTTGATTAACCGAATCTTTTTGGTTGTATTGAAAGAGGAGGAATCTAATCCTTCCGCAAAAGAAGGCCAACAGAGTTGTCAGTGCCTGCGCGGAAAGTGGAAGGTGCCAGGCAAAAACAGGCTGATTTTTTTCTTCTTTACAAGTGGTAAGAACTCAAGCACGGTGCTTCCTTCCGATTTACACAACCAGGCAGAGCCTATCAAAAATTCAGCATGTGCACGGAGGCAATATTGATGACATATCGTTAAGGCTTCACGGCTTACTTTGGTATATAACTATGGAGCCCGCTGACCTAGAATCCACGATCTCTAATCAAATTCGCTTATTAAGGACTAATTACTCTCCAAATGCTACTCGCAATCGACCTGCGCCTGAAAACGATTCCAAATCATTCAAGACTTCGTTTATCCGTTTTGACCCCAATGCTTCAATGTTCCCATTTAGGAAATCTGGATTGCCTGATTCCCAAGACCCCTCGTCAATTCCAGGCAACGAGAGATGGCTTTTGGATGTTGAAGGAGTAGGTTTGGGCGGCTCGTCCAGCGTCGCTTGCATACTCTTTGTGGATGAGAATGTTGGACTCATGCTATGGCGATGTGTGCTGTCCATTCTCTGCATACGATCTTGTGGACCTTCCACCGAATGGCGGATCTCTCGGCTTGGACTAACAGGATTTCTGGCCTGCGAAAAGTATCGGTTCGTGGCCCCAAGGTTGTCCAAATAGCTTTGTGCAGCAGGTAAGTACGCCGTCGCTCTTCGCAATGCCTGACAGGCCGTTCCCACCATCTCCTCCTCGAGTATACTCGACATGTCCACCGAATCAACGACATGCTGGCTTGTCACTTTCTGCTTCAGGTCCATATGGGGGAAATGTCGGGCATAAACCGCCATGAAACCTGCCAACCAGATGGAGAATGTGGAGAGTGATGATAGAGGCAGCTTGTCCTTGCAAAGTTCCGTCAAGTCGATGACATTACGAGAAGCTCGGAAGACTTCCTCTGCACTCTCTTCCCAGAATCCATCTGGGGCATGATCAAGCATGGGTTGTGTTCCGTCAAGAGCACCCTGTGGTCCATGACAGCGAAGGGGCAGGAATGGTAAGTACTCTCGGTTGAGAACAATTTGGCAGATAGAAGCCAGCATGTGTAACGAGACGTAGGTATTGGTAGCTTGGTGATTGTCGTGACGATAATAGTTTTGTCGTGATAAGGCAAATGTATCAGGTAATTCGTCGTAGAATGTCTCCAGGTCGACTCTCAGCTCGAAGAACCTCGATCTACTATTCCATGGAGGGAAGTCCTCTTGCAAACGGCCACCTCTCGAGCTATACGCTGAGATATCGCCCCAAATCTCGATCAGCTTGGTAAACTGGCTCAAAGTGCTATCATCGTTGATTTGAGGTTGGAGGAAACCTTCAGGTACTCGTAAAAACCCAGTGTAGACATCGAGGGACAGATCAAAAGCCATCTCAGAGCACGGCAGTTGTATTCTTAGACTCTCAGCTGGAGTACTAAGGGCTCGGTAACTCCCACAGCTCATCAAGCGATCGAGAATGAAGCAGCTGTACATTGTTCGTCGTCGAGTCTCTCTCACGATGGCGACCTCGGCTGGCCTTGTTCGAAACTGTCGTTGCGTAGATGTCTGGGTATCCAACAAGCCCATGCGTTGGTCATCAAGCTCGAGCTTCATGATTTTGGCCATCCGGATTGCAATACCGACATACATCCAAGCCGACTCATGTCCCTGACTCCACTCGAATAAACCAAGCATTAAGAATGCCTGAACTCGCTCCACGGTGATGGTATCCATGGCTGTCCGTAGGGGGCCGAGGGCTGTCGTTAAGGCAGTAGCAAAGAAGTCAGATGTAGCAACTGGGTTCGACTTGGTTTGTGGTGTGCGCATTCGATTGCTTCCATGCTGAGAATTTTGCAGATGTGTCACGTATCGCACCAAATCTGGGTGGAATCGAGATGTGAGTGTCAAGATACCGAGTAGTACCATATTCAGCTCTGATGAAGAGTCTTGCTTTTGTCCAACTCCGCTGCTCATCTTCTCCTTGAGAGAAGGCAGGTGTATGAAGGGAAGTTCCGTAGCATAATGCTGTTTGTAGATGTTGAGTAACTGACTCCAGAGTTCAGTTGTCAAGAAGGGATATGCGAGAATCTCTGCTGCATAGGCTGCTGATCTCTCGCTGTTGCGACCAGGTATATCGTCCAGCTTTTTTGTTCTCTTCTTTTCCTGGTGAGGCTCTTTCTCTGGTTTACTCGTCGGTGGAGGATCATTTCGTTTCGTTGGGGCAGGAGCTGGCTCGGGATATTGACATTGATGTCCTCCTTTGATGCAAGTGTCGCAAGGACTATTTCCTCCATCATTATCGCATTTGATCTTTGATCTCCTACATCGCACACATGCAATGCTAGATCTCATCGGCGGTTTCCCCCTTGAGTTCCTCCTCCCAGCTCTCTCATCAGAGTTGGATGGTGTCTGTATCCATGTTAGGCCATTGTCACCGGCGTCAGGTCTGGGCTGTTCATTACGATGAACAAGCCATGTTGACGCCGGTAACGCGCCCTCTTGGGCACGGGATACTTCTTCGAGTTTTCGTTTAGAATTTGGTAAAGGATGTGAAGTTATCTCTAGAGGCTTGCTGCCCTCGGGTTCTATGGGCGAGAGTATAGACTGGATGCGAAGTTGAGAAGCGATTTTGGCGGTTGGTGCTCTTGCGAGCCTGTGTTGTAGTGTATGGTTTAGTCTTGGCGAGTTGATGATCACCTTGTCAGCCCCGAGTCAAGTTGTGATATAGAGCCGGCTTTTGGAAGTTGTTCTAGTATAGAGAAAAGGAGACAGTCAAGTCTGGGTATTTTACAAACAAATAGCAATGTGCCAAAAGGTTTATCACCGACTCAAGGGGCACAAAACTATTTATACTAGCTAGGGCTCTCAGACATGAACAATTTTCAATTTGTCACGAGCGACATCGCGACATTGGATCCATAGCAATAGAAGCAAATGAAACACCGGGCCGACCTTGAAGTTTCCCAAGCCGACTTACAAGATGCCATCAACGGCCCACGCAGACCGAGTCACTAGTCCATAGACGGCAATATACAGGCCAGACGTGCATAAATTCTGGGTACATAGTAAGGATGGACATGGATCCTTGTTGCTCTCTTTTGTACTGAAGATGTACTGCAAGGGCGTCAAAGCTAAAAGATGGGACCTTGTTGTCGGAAGTGCGTCCGTCGAAAGATGCCAGAAGGTAAAAAAGACTAATTAAATTAGTGTGCCGCTGGTTCGCCGACAGAGCCTCATGACTTGATCAACGTCAGTTACCGCTTAGGAAAGAATTCCCGACCCGAGGGATTCATTGACTAATACCTTGATATCTTCTATAAAACTGATTGCAGAAGCATCATATTCATGACTCTATTATTCATGTCTTTCATACTTGCTTCAACTTACCAGATCATTTTAATAATCTAAGAAGATATTCTGTTCATTATTACCATTGATGTTGCCTGCAGTATTTTCTCTCTCAATGTTTAACCCCATACCCCATAAAGAATGTTCAGCCATTGTGGGAACTCCATATGGGGTTCATAATACGCGGGATCAAAATGATACGTAATGATGGGGTAAAATAACATGATAAAAAGATGTAAACGAATGATTGCGGGTTTTGTCCGGCAATGTCTTTTCTTTCTCAGCGCCTGATCCTGGGGGGTTACAGTCCAGAGTTCAGAATACAATATCAAATAACACCAGCACTTCCATAGAGAATCAACTGCTCTGAGCACTCTAGGTCGAAACAGGGTATGAGTCAATTGATGCCCTACAATAACCAGATTAGGCATCTGGTGAGAGAGACAACAAAGATATTATACTCGGATCAGTGTCGGTAGCGTCGGCCGAATCAATAGCGTAAAGCTGAACTGTAAGTAGCAGTAGAAATGAGAGCAATTGGTAATACCAGGCCCAGATCGGAAGACCAGACCGAGACTTGAAGAGAAACCCACGGGGCCGGTTCACGGAGACGGGAGACACTGCAAGCCGTTTTAACTTGGCCTGAAGTGGGTTATGGAATGGCTGTGGGCACGGGAGCGGCTTCGGTAGAGGCTCTGTAAGAACCATAATAAAGAAGGTGAAAAGAGAGCTGGATGGGCCCTTTTTCTTGGTGAGAATCCACTGTAGTAATTAATTAGTTGGCGAATTACCTAATGTCTTGCCTCAACTTTTGGCATAGGTCTTGAAGAATCTAGATCTTCGGCTCAATGTATACCCGCCATTGCGCCTCATTGTCTGCGTGGACATTCAAGCTGCCTCCCTAGGTCATTAGTATTGTACAGTGAGAGGTTAGTGTTTTACAGTATCATGTTACCTCCAAGTATCAAGTCAAGCTCTTGAAACTCACCAATAACTGTCGACTCATATGATCATCCTTGTCATGTCGATACACTACAGTATAATGCCAAGCTGGGCTAGCCTTCAACGGACCCTCTGAAGTAAAGTCCCGGAGCTTTAAGCTTAAACTGCCAGACTGCTTCGCCCATTTGCATACGCAATCTTAGAATTATTTCTCCCATACAATACTTGATGGCAAATACCCCAACAATTAAAGGTTTCTTCCTCTTTACTTGTTTTGTTCCAATTGGTGTTTTCAAAGAAGCCACACCAAACCAGACCAACTAAGTGGCGATAGCAGGGGGCATGTGTTCCTTGATGGACGCCAACCAATTGAATGACGTCGCTCGCCTTCTCAGAGGCCTCACAAGCTTCAAAGCTTCACAATGAATGAATTTAAGCGCCGACAGACGCCCTCCTCTTTTGATGAGAATGGGGTCACTTTGCAGCCAACGTCAAATCAATCCCTTGCAACAAGCGCCCAACATACAAACATTTCAAAGGATTGCATTGCATTGACGCGCATCGCGCCTGTCTTGCCTATAGTTGGTGGATCAAGGGTGCTGTCATAACCTGAGGTGACCCCTCCATCTTTTGACTCTGCGACTTTCCAAGTTCCAAGATTCCAACATATCTCTCCTATTCTCGCCTTCTACTCGTTGACCTAAACTTATTCCTCTTTTTCTCTTGCATTTGACATCCCTGGAATCGCATCTTTCTCTATCAACCAAACATCACATTCTAGCAAATATGTCTAATGTAAGCCAAGACATGCCTCGAGCGCATCATGGCAGCTGCTCTGCCCAGCCCATGACGTCCGTTTTTTGCGCCTCAACCATGCTAACAAACCTTCCAACAGGATCCCAAGCTTCTCTATGCTGTAGAGGGCATCAACGCTTACCATATCACCAATGGCAAAGAGCAGTCCCTCACTCCTTCGGGGCCCCAGACCCTGTCGCTCCTAATGGTCCCGACCTCCTCTGGCTTCGTTGAACCTTCAGGAACTGGCTCCGATGGCGAGGAGGACTTCTACCTTCACCTGCATCTCCCTCCTGAGCTCGACCTTCCTCTTCCTGCCACGACTCAGATTTACCACCAGCCACCTACAAGCTATCTGATTCCCCGCTGGGATCTTGGCCCCGACAGCGGTGCTTTTACCCGCATCGAATTCCCTCCTGCCAACTCTCGAGCTGGTGTTCAGGAAGACGTCGACACTTTTGAGACCATTCTCGCCCAGTGCACCGCATTCCTTGAACGCTCAGCTCCCCCTCATCCACCTCGACCTTCCGAGAAGGCGCAGGCCAAGGCGCGAGAGGCCGCTGGAGAGCAGCTCCCCGCGTACAATCCCGCTGACTATACCCCTGGCGAAGGTTATGCTCAGGGCAGCCAGAGTGCACAGAATGGGGGCCGAATCGTGCTTATTGACGAGGAGGACGGCAGTGTCCTGGGAGAGCTGACAGATAGCTACCAGGTGGTGGAAGACGAGAAGATCAAGCCTGGTTCCAAAGGTTTGTACTAGCAAATGTCCATGTGCCGCTTTGATTTGCTAATACACACGCAGACCCCGTCGAGATCTCTCTTCCCGCCGATGGCGGCCAGAATATCTCTGTACAGCCTGTTTCGCAGCCATGGACTGAGATGGAAATGCACCCGTCTTACAAAAAGTCAACCCTTGTGAGCAGCGCAACCAAGGCGTCTCGACTCATTGTCACAACCTCCGACGTTGTCTCCAGAACGCTTCAAGGCCAAGCCGATAACTTTACCCAGAAAACAAAGCCTAACGCCAAGCCTGTCACGTTCGCCCCTACTACACATGCACATATTCGCCGGATCAATACCTTCTCGACCAAGGCAGCTACCTTCTCTGCTAACACGGTCGGCACCATTGGTAACATCGCGCAGAACGTTGGTGCAACCGTCACTCGTCGTAAGGATGGACGGGCTAGAGGTTATGACAAGGACGGTCAGGCCATTGATACCTATAAGCCGGGTGTGCTCAATAAGAGCTTGATGGCTTTCAACACTGTTGTCGATGGTATTGAACAAGCTGGTCGGAACCTGCTTACGGGCACATCATCCAGTGTGACAACTGTTGTTGGTCACCGCTGGGGTCCTGAAGCTGGTGAGGTGTCACGCAACCTTGGTGGCGGTGTCAAGAACGTTGGACTTGTCTACATTGATGTCACAGGTGTGTCCCGACGTGCAATTCTCAAGAGTGTTGCAAAGGGCATGGTTGTCGGAAAAGTTAAGGGCGGTGGCGAGATCATTGTTGGGGCTACAGACAACGGAGGTTACGAGACAAGACCAGACAATGGTCAACGAGCGCAAAGCACATATGGTGACAATGTCAGCATTGCAAGTGGCCCTGATCCTAATGGAAAGAAGCCTGCCAAGGGACAGTACTGAGCTGGTAAGATGAAAGATATCGAATTAGCGGTTATGACTTGATTCTGGTGCGGTTCTTTTGAGCTTTCTGTTGGGCGGCAATACGGATTCTATTGATGATTCATTTTGAAAAGCCATTGTATCACCTAAGTAGTAAACCTTTGAAATCTAAGCTTTACTGATTTAATGACCCAAAGAAAACCGAAGATGAAGATCGTCTAGTCGTGTAAGTGAATCAGCGGTACAGTATGAAGTCATGTTGATTAGTACGGTGTGATCGCGGGGCAGTAGCTGCCATCGCGTCGCGCCCAAAGAGCTTCGCTTTAAAGGTTACCAAAAATACATATTGTTGACGGCGCGCAATGTCAACGGCCAAATCGTTCCAAGACCACGATATCGCAGCCGTCGCATTGTCTGAGCTCGGCTGAATATCGCCCATTGGCTGAGATAGAGCTCGGATACGAGATCTTTGCAGTGTGCATCAAGCAAACCTCCCTCCATAATAATCTACAGCCAAACGGCCAAGTGACTGGTTCATGTGCCGTTTCGAGCTCATTGGCGTTATTATAATTATTCTTCGTGATTTCGGCGATTCAATCAAGTCCAGGAAAGCTAAGACTCAGTGTGTTTCTACCATCCCTATCCTGTGATGCATCACCGCTAATTGTATGTTCAAGATCTTCCGAATCATGCTCCACGAAATCCTCCTCTCCCTCTCGGGACATCCATCCCCTCTCCTCCGAACCGACACCACTCAGCCGCATGCACTATCCGGAATCTCGCCCGCTGAGCGACAACTCCTCGCCTCAGCCGCCCACCTTAGCGAAGTCCACATCAAACTCATCAGTTACACGGCCCAAGTAGCGAACTCACACCCATCGACCATCTGCCGAGCCGTTGCGACAGCCATAGACTCGATCCATCTAGCCGCCTTCCAGCGAAAAGTACTCGATGTCGAGGAGAGCATACTACAAGATGACCCGGAGCTGGTTGGTGCGTACAATATTGTGCCTCTGACGGCTGTCATGGGCGAGTTTAAGGATTGGACTAGGAGAATGGACTGGCTATGGGAGATGGTGCAGTTTATGCTGGCCAAGGATAAGAAGGGCAATGATTGCCATGGCGCGCAGCTTATGGACCGCCTACGGCTTGAGCTACAGAGTGGTTATAGGGATGTTCAAGAGACGGCTTTGAGTCTGGTCGCAGTCGCCGAGACTGCTTGGCTGAAGCAGGTTTCTGCGTGGATCTTATACGGCAGACTTCCAAGTTTTGGAAGTGAAGACTTCTTCGTTCAAAAAGTGGAAGAGTCCGAAGAGGTTAGTCTGAGGACAGATCCTTACAGAGCATTGCTAATGGAAGCAGGAATATATATCACGGTCGAGTCTGTTGCCTGCCTTCGTGACGCCAGGCACAGCTTCTTCCATGCTCTTCATCGGCAAGTCGCTAAATCACATCAGAGTAAAGAGCAATATCGACTCGGGACTTCGTGGTCTGGATCACTTGTCATCCAAACTACAAGAGCTTTCAAGTCTTTCCTTTCCGCTGAAGAGTACCAGCTTTTCTAGAGCCATCATTGCCGTGCGAATATCTCTGTCTGAGAACACACTTCAGAAACTCCTTCCGCTGTCCAAGGTGACGGAAATGCTACAGTTACTCAGAGACTTTTTCCTGCTGGGTCGTGGTGAATTTGCCATGCAGTTGACTCACGAGGCAGACGAGAAGATTCGCAGTCGATGGAGGAGAGCGGATAACTTGGCATATGAGAAGGGCGATGGTTTGAAAAATGTGACGGTCAAAGAGGGTGAGGTTGCTGCAGTTCTTGCTAGAACATGGGCTGTTCTGGCATCTATGCAGGGCCAGCACGCTGAGGAAGACGAGCAACTTGAGCTTGCTCGAGATCTTCTGCGACTCAACCTTACGAAGAGCAAGACGACGACGCCATTGGGATCTGGTTCTGGCCTCAGCCGAGAAGCTGCGAACTTGTTGTCTGAATCACCATTCCGAAACCTTTTATTCTCTGTCCCCTCTTTACTATCTATCCAGATACCTGCACCACTGGATATGGTACTGTCACCATCAGATGTTCAGATTTACTCATGCATCAACGCCTACCTACTATCAATGCGCAGAGCGCACATCCGACTTACCGATCTATGGAAGATCACATCGTTACGACGTCATCACCCAACATCAAGAGGCGATCGGGACCAGATTATTCTTCTTCGAAAGAGATGGACAGCACGATCCTCGTCGATGCGTAGCTCATGGACCACAGCCAGCGCTGCCATTTTCTTCCTTGCCGAAACGGAAGCCTACCTACAGACAGAAATTGTAGCTGGACTGTGGGAGGGTTTTCACGAGTGGTTGACAGCCAACGATCCCAAGCATGGTAGGTCTAGGGCGCCAACGCCTACCAAGTTTCAAGATGAGGATGGTGGTATTGATGAAGAGGATGACGATGAAGATGATTTGTGGCTAAGCAGCGAGAATGATAAAGCTGCAACTCAGAACGATACTTCCAAATCATCGGATTCGACTCCCCCACAAGATCCTCAAACTCTCTCTACAGCACATCGCCTGTACCTACGTACTCTCATTCACCGTCTACTCCTTACTCAACCAACCTTTACACAACCCCTCTACAATCTCCTCATTCACATCGATCATCTCGTTGCTCACTTACACCGGTTACATGCTATCTACACTTCTATCGACTTGGAACAAGACGCCGGTGTAGTCGACGCCTTTGTCGATCTCGAATCCGAAGAGCGCGATGTTAAACGCCGTCTCCACGATATCGAGTCTCGTGTCCGCTCCGGCATAGAAGATGTCGTCGCCGCACTGCGCGCGCTCGAGTCCGATCCAATCTTCACAGCAGAATGGGAGGGCGACACAGCTCCCGCCACTGCAACTGAGGAGGATGACGAGGAAGAGGAGCGACGGGGCAGAGCACGGGACACAGATGACGCAGAGGAACGTGGTGGCTTTACGGCTGCTCGGGTCGGCGGTATCAATCGCCTGCTCATGAAGCTTGATTTTGGCACATGGTTTGGCACGACGGACGGGACACAATGATGTCGAGCAGCAGTAAAATCAACGGCTTCTGACGTCTTCACGATATGCCGCCGTATAGAAAGCACCTAGAGCGAAACTAGTTGGCCAGACCTGCATGGATCTCAATAAAAGACTGCAGAGTGCCAAATCAAGGCACGTCTGCAGCTATGAAAAGCAAAGAAAAGCAAAGAAAAAGAGCCGGACGTTTCCCCCGCGTCTGTGGCGTTACAGTGGCACGATTTCCACGTCCCCAGGTGCATCTAGAGCTGGTTTGACAAGGGTTACATAGGTAGGGAATGCATGAGGGTTTTTTCTGATGGATGGAGGTCCAGGGCCAATGATTGACCTATACCAATGAATAGTTCAGATAGACATGCATCTGTCCAAAGATTTTACACAATACAAAAAGGATTGATTCATTTCGCCGCTCATGTCAGCTCATGATGATATATTATTGTATGCACTTATTAGCCTGATCTGGAGTATCAGGCACTTTTATGCATGTGTCTAGTTCGGTCTAATATTTCGAAGCGATTCAATTCATTCTGAGCCATACCCATTTTCATATCTGGGGTCAGAGGCGTAGTCCAATCCGGGGTAAATCGAGACACCGGGCAGTGTACCAAGCCAAGCCAGATCATTAATCCTAGGGTTTCTCATTTCTCATGGTCCTGTCCCAAAACTCCGAAGCGCCTTACATGCTGATGCCATAGGGATGAGATTTCCAATCCCTCCAGTGCCTATCCATACCTCGCAGCCCTGTCAGTCTGTGACGGGCGTGGGCAAAATAAAACAAAGAAATATCCAATATATACACAACCGTTCTAAACGGAGGAAACAAGAATTGTTAAAACAAAAAGGTAGAAGATGAAAGTTGTTGTCTTGCAGATAATGATGAAGCATGCATGACCTTGTTTTGTGTAGCAAAAACGACCACGATCTGATTGAGACGCTCGGAATGGATGCCAGTTGCAGGTGATCAAAGCTGCTGTTGCCTATCAATATGCAGCGACAGGCTTGCGACCAAATCTTAATGAGCCGCGGCTCGACGAGTGCTCTTCAGAATGGCGACGATGAAAGAAGCTTGGCATGAAAGAGCGGGGATTGGAGTGTACATTGCCAGTGTCCCTTCGAATGGCACGGTGTGAAGGCTTCTTGACTTGCCACCGCTCCTTGATGCAGTCATCAACGAGGGAAATGAGGCCAGTGGAAATAATTACACTAAAATCATGTTAGAACAAATCATCACGAAAGGGGCAAGAAACTACTTACTCAGCCACGTCTGTAATTGCATCAATAATGCTGCTGTCGCTAATCCATATATAGCAAGGAGTGACCCAAGCACCGGCTATTTCGTCGTCGAGGACTTGGTTGGGACTGCGCATCTCAGGAACGATATGAGCCACAGGTGCACCATGACCATCTCGAACAAGATGGAATGAGACGACATTGAGATTCTTGTCAATCACACGCTTCCAGGCGTATGTGTGACCCCACCACTCAAACTCATATCGTTTGTTTGTGCGCCCACCCCGTCGTGCAATGTCTACACGGGCATAGTTGCTGAACTCGAGCTTGATGCGGTTGGTGGGGACCATTCGTGCCTTGGGTTTGGAAGTTTGTGAATCCGACTTCTCTGTGTGATGAGAGCCAGACCAGACGGAAGCGTTGTCAGAATGTGTCAAGGCGCTGGCGGTATTGCTGTTTTTGAAAACAGAAGAGCTGCTGGAGGTCGGTCGGTGAAATGGGGTTGTCATTGTACGCATGGCTGAGCTCATCGATCGCTGAAGCGCTGGGCGTGCTGCAGCAACGGTGTTGATAGGTGCTGGGGCATACTCTCGCTTGGAATTACAGACCTCTCGTCCAGAATCACGGCAATAACGGCGGACTGAGAACTCTCGGCGAGCAAGGTCGTGCATTCGAAGATGGAATAGCTGGACAGCAAGTGTCCGTCGAGTATGTCCGAAGGGGACAACAGTATCGACACGAAGGTTCATGTTACCGTCCGAGGTACAATCGTCATGGCGTACGGCGAGTCGGTCCAACGAAGGAAAGAGGCGAGCAAAGTCTTGAGGCGTAGATGGCCGACAGGGGCGTTCGTTGGAGGTTCCGCGATAAGGTGGCAGCACTGGGGGAATATGAAGTGATTCCGGATCGGACAGGATATAATCCTTATCTGCCTCCTCTTGGCCCTCCTCCCTATCGTCTTCGTCATCGTCGTCGCCGCTTTCCTCGTCCTCTTCCTCTTCCTCTTCCTCTTCCTCCTCATCTTCAGTTTCAATTTGTGCTTCCTCTCCGCCTACAGGCAAGTCCCGACGCAAGGGTGCCATCTCAGACAGTACCGAGTCATATGTAGCGATGGAAGAAGAAGATTCAGTGTCGAATCTTCGCTCAGCAGCTGATTGTACCTTCATGGGCGCCGTCGGCTGGCGATGTTGAGATCCATCAAGGGTCTTGTTGTTTGATCCAGAAGCTGAGTGGTAGGATGTAGGTGCTGTTGATTGGGAGGCTTCTGAAAAGTAGGAGTCGCGGCGTGAATCAGAGTCTGAAGGAGCGGGGGAAGTGGTGATGACAACTTTGCGTTGCCGCCGTAACGATGAATTGGGTGTCATCGTTTGATATTTCTCAATTGAATGAGGTCCAATATTGTGCAATCCAGGTTGATGTTGGAAATGAAATATAGTTCAGGAGATGTTTAAGTGGTCTCGATACTTAGCGTCCAAAGGGGAGATTTTAAGTGATGTCGTGGCGTAGTAATGGCTTGACAGGTGGTCGAGTGATGTAGACTGTGAAGTATATAACACAGCCAGGTTCTGTCAGGTTGAGTCAGAGGGTTAAAGTCGGTGTATATCAGTGTCGTGAATGTGAAGAAAGAATCACAAGAGATATATCTTCTTAAAGTCGGGTCTGCCTTGATATGGATGGTAGACTAATAGACGTTGGTTGAAGGTGGGGAGGGGGGCTTATTTGGTACCGAGCCTGGCCTTAATACGCAACCAGTGGAGCTTAAGATGCCAGGGGTACGGTAAGACGTGTGCTGTGCTCAGGCATGGACTCGAGGCCACATCAGGAACCTGGTCGATTCTCTCAGGCGGGACGGACCACTTTGGGACCACCTGTCAACCCGGACCACGGCGGGGAGGGAAGAAACGCCTCGCCCCGGCCTCAGGCTCGACCATCTCATAATCATGCTTAGGTAGGTTAACCTTCAATAGACACCCCCCTAGTGCCTCTCGTTGCAGCCAGCGGTGACACTGTTGCAGCCTTAGCATCTCTGTAGTTTACTGTTGGATGGCAGAGTTTGAGTGAGCAATATCCAGTCGTAGAGGACAGCATTGCTACCATAACGCCGACGGTTAAAGAGACAATTGAGACACAGGCGATGCCGTGAAAGAAAAGTTGGCCATCGTTAGGGAGGCGATTTCAACGGTAACTCAGGTGGGTGACAACCCCACGCGATGCATTCCGACTTTTGACACACATCGCACACGACTATCGCAGTCGAATGTCTAATAAGAGAACATAATTGCAGTACTCGTCCGCAGAAGTATGTAGATGACTCTGTTTCGTAGCAGGGTTTGGTTTAAGTTGCAGTCTTGCAGAGGGCCCCGGATGAGATCCCTAGTGTGCGTCTGTAGCTGCTGGCCACTAAAATGAGCGTGAGGGTGCGCGTGTGAGGACGTTGTGACGGTGTACCATCCTAGGGCAGGCCACAGCTGGGGGTGCAGTGGCTGTTAGGAAGCTCATGTCAAGCTCATAGTCACACCATAGGTGGGCTGTTGCCTCGTCCCGTCGATTCGGTCTTCCTGGGGTGATGGGCGACAATCCTGTCTCAGTCAGGGTCACGGATTTCCAAGCCCGTCGATCGATGGGATCTCACTCAAGTGGTCGATCAAGTCAAGCGCGTGTTGGCGCAGTATGATTAATTACAGTACTAGAGTTGACGACTGCGGCGATGATATCGGATCAGAATTCAAGGTGGTCTCGGACCAAGACCGAACGAATACTGTAACTAACCTGCTGCTTAGCTGCTGTAACTTGAGATGCTTTGTTTTAGAGTACGAGGTTTGGGGAGGACCCTTACCAACGTTACCGTTCTCCAAGTTCCCAAAAACCCGCCAATCTTTTGTGACCACGCACAGAGTCAGAGCTGTGTTCCCTTTCTTTCCTTGCACTTTCCCCGGCGAGATCACAGTGGAGCAAAGGTGTTGAAACTCGGTTCGTCGTGCGTTGGCTCACGGCCCAGTTATTGCTCATCATCGATAAACCAAACGAATTGTAAGCCCTGTACGTCTCAGTTTCGCGAGCAAAAGAAGACTGCGGGTTTGTGGGAGATGTCCCGGCTGGTTCAATGCTGCAGTATCAGTGCAGTACAAGGCTAGGTAGGTAAAGAGGCCTTGCAAGGGTTATTGGAGGTTGTCCTGATTCATCGTGAGAGATTCCATCATCGTCTGAAGTGAGGTGAGCGATGCAGAGAATTTTGGTCAAGTCACGAGGCGTTCCAATGGATTGTATTTCCCTTTTCGTCTGGTCCATCCGTACCTTCCTCTATGAGTTTCTGTGGTGTTTTGCACGGAAGGTGCCTCACAGGCTTCCACTTTCACCTACCTGCCTTGCCTAGGTACCAAGGTGATTCTTTGCACACCTCAGGCATTACATATCGTGAGAAATACAACATCCTCAGGCTCCCCCAAATTTGGTCCTGCGCATACCTACCTACCTAGCCAAGTAGGTGCATCATGTTACGACTTCACAACTATTCAAGTTAGAGAAATTCCATGGGCTAGGCTATCATAGTCATGTCTGTGCATCCCATCCCGTCCAATCCTTGCATACCTTTCAGGATACATGTACTGTAACTCAACGTTTCCTTCACCATCCACATGGATAGTCAGCTTCCACCAACCATTCGATGGATCAACCATCCAAGTCAATTTTCACTTTGACGCTTTCCGGGTCTTTTGGCTTCTCTTCTTGATCCAGAATGTCTTGGGCCACCCCCGATGACCCCGGAATCTCTTATGCAAGGCCGATTGGATCCCACGGTATCTCACTCTTCACCTCTTTCGCCCATGGCTTGCGCAGAATCTCTCTAGTCTTAGGGACCTCTCTAAGTGTCAGATGAATTGACCCCGGGGAGCATAAGAGACGAAATAACTTCTCCATTTTAGGTCAGTTTAGACCGGCACTTAGGCTACTTTATTTCTGTAGCCTAAGTCTTAGAGGACAATTCTTCTGACATCCACCTGCGACCTAACGTTAGCTCACTGTTGTTGTTGCCGTGGCTTATCGATCATGGTGGAACGCGTCAGCCTTCTCTGTCCACCGCGTTTGCCTCATGAGTATGTTGAGCAAGAGGCAGCCTTCTGTGCTGGCAATGTCGGTGACGAGGCTGCAATGACGATTATGCTATGACTGAGCCACGGGCTTCTTGTCATCGTCAATCGAGACGGTCAGGCTGCGACAGGCCTCGACTCCGCCTTTCGCCTAACCGACTTAGTGTCGAACTGCTGCTATTTAGGGGACCTGTCATAACATGGGTCCTTTAGGCAAGCAAGCTGTCCTACATAGTACCTACACAGCAAAATCCCTCTCCACAGGCCTACAGCTTGCAACACCAGCCTCGACGATCTTTCCACTGCGCCAGATTGACAGGTTTATCAGCGTATCAAAGCTGGAATTTGGTTGACTCATTGCAACTAACTAGGCGCTGGGCCGTGCCGTGCGCAGCGGGTCAGCCAACTCAAAGCTTTGCTGGCTGTTGATATCTGGACGACGGTGGATATCGTAAGGCTGTTTGTTTGGAAACAAATGTTACAACCCAGCTGCGGTGACGTCTGTGCTAGTCTACCCTTATCTAGACATGTATAATGGGGTTTGACTGATGGCATTTCGAATTTTGCAAAAGTCGATGTTGACATCCAAGGAAAGCCCTGCTAACCAAGTGGGAACCAAACTCCTGCACTCCTGCAGCAGCATCGTGATTACGCCCGGGTGTGTAGGACACAGGACGCCATGAACTCTTTGAAGCATCTGGGTCTCATTAACACATTGATGTGAGTTGCTACACAGACACAGTCGTTCAGCAAATGCTCTACATAAACACAAGCGAGAGGGAGCATCTTCAATTTCGACCCGACCAGTGTGTCCTACCCTGCAGCTCCTCACACCTCTTCGTTTGCATCGCACGCGCTGAGGATGCGCGTTGACCACCAACATGACCGACCCATCGAGATGCAGTCCTTGTTCATGTGTTGACCGCCGATTCGCCCTCGTGAGCTCTGTCCCCTGTTCGATAGATGTTTGGACCAATCCCAAGACCTCTAGTTCTTGTCTTGATCGAACCAGCACCCTGAATATCTTGTTCGCAGTCTTTAGAATCAGTGTAATTATCAACGCATCGGCTTCTCATCTTTCTTGGCGTTGTGTGCCTGTGCCTGACCAGCATGAGGCCGCAATATCGGCCTGCAGCTCTTTTGCTAGAAGCCCGAGGAAGCGGAATCCGCTTACACTTCCACCCAACTAAATCGGAGATGGTTGTATTGCCGTTTTGGACGACCTACACGAAGCTGGAGTCGGACCATCTTGGATAAACCACTCATGGAGCTCTATGTCGTCACTGCAATATGTTTGGTAATCTTCGAATCTAGAGGTCACCGAGCTGACCTCACTTTGTCTCTGGTCTTGCCCAATCTCAGTCGACTCGACCTAAGCCGCGTTTTAGCGGAGTTGATCTGTTTCCTCGTCCAACTTTTCGCTACTGCACCTATCCGAGACCAGCAGGTCGGATTGACGCAATGCTACGGGAACTAAGCTCGCTACTGCACAGTTGCTTAATCGAGAAGTTGACAGCATCATGGCGCTTAGACGATGGGTGTCATGACAAAGGTCTCCAGTGATGCCAGATACGTAGATCAATCGATGTCAGGCCTCAGAGTCAATAGCCGCCAACAACTCTATGGTATCGACAATCAGCAAAGCCGTATACCCGATATTCAGACTAAGGGGAATATGTCGCCTCACTTTGCGCCTGAAATGCTCTATTTCCCCATGCTTCAACCACTTGCTGGATATGGGGCCACCGGCCCGTAGGTGGAACATGCGAAATATGCCACTATCAGGCTCTTGCAGAATGTGCTCCCGGCTAGAATGGCGATGCCTGGAGGATTTGGGAACGATCCGAATGGACGGGCTCCAGACCTTCCGATCCTGGATCCTTTGTTGCTACTCCCCTCAAGCAGTTGCACATTGTGCCTAACAAGTGAATGAGAATCAGCCATTTGCTGAATATGAGTTTCCCATGCTCAATATGCTGCCGCCCGAGTTGTTCTTCGTGTTTCAACCGCAGGTCTTAACCATCATCTGCCTGCCGTCACAACCACATGAGCAATCAACCATAGGTTGTTCATATGCAGCTTCCTAGTTAGGCATATCTCTTATTCACTGGGCCATAGTGCAATGCCTTATTGCCATAGAACTTCAATTCCTGTTCTCTCTGACCCCCGGAAGGTATGGTCCGATTTGTCATCTCATTTCTCACCTAGGGAATACTGGCCTAATGATATCTTATCCAAGCTCTCAAGGTGGCCAAGAACCAATGTCTGCTACTACAAGGGCGAAACTACCAGGTGGGCAACAGAAGAATTGTCTTCTCAGGCTTAAGCTACAACAATAAAGTAGCATAAGTGCTAGGATAAGCCAGCATAAAGTGACCAAAGTATTTGATCTCTTAGGATTTTGGGGTCAATTCTTCTGATACCCTGAGGACTACTAAGACCGTTTGTTCAAGCTTGAGTTGTACATGTGCTTCTGCCATTTCTGAACTTTCGATTTGATATACCTCTTTTGTTGCATAAGCGTGATAACTGTAGGAGCCTCTCGCCCAACACCACCTTTCCCATACTGGTGTTGTCTCATGCGACTTAGTTCTCTCTTCGACTTATTTGCTGAGGACCCGTGCAATAAGTTTACCTGAGTGGTCAGTGAACTTGTCATCTCTTTGGTCTGAGCTCAACCTCCGTCCGCCGTTGAAGATCTTGCCGATCAAAAACAAAGGAAGAGGCATGATGCTTGTTTGGGCTTATACAATGTAACCTCACAAAGCGCAGCCCGTAGCAGACTAGATAGATAGAAACGTGGCCGTACAACTGCTGTGTAGACGGCCGGACCGTGCCTGAAATAAAGTATATGTCTCGGATTCATGCGAGACTTGTTTGAAGCGGAGACAAGCATGGGATTTCATATGCGTAGGACACCAAAGTCAGAGGTGTCAGTGACACAAACACAGGGAAGGATCATCGGTCGATAACATAACCTTCTGAATCGAACTGCTTTACAACTAACTAAATCTTTCATGTTCCACTCGTCCCCCGTCTTGAATGTACACACCTCTTGCAGTGCTTATATCCTTCTCCTGTATCGCTCTTGGACTCTTAACCCACCACTCAACGCCTTGGGATACAGCCACGGCCCAGCGGCCAGTCTTGACTCCTTCCTGTCATTCGTCGTCGTCATCATCATAGACATCCTCTTACGAAGATACTCATCACTCTCGCTGCGTCGTTTCCAGCTGTACTAAGACTGGCTGTTCCAGCCAACCCAGCTCCGCGGCATGACGCGCCAGATCTTGACCTCTCCGCTACGCAGATCGTCAAGCTTGAAGCTTTCCACCTTGACCTTCTTGCTCTCACGGCCCTGCTCCCATGCGCGTACCTTCTTCTTGGTACCATCCCACTCGGCTACAACCGCGACGTGGTCAGGTTTGCCCACCTCAGCAGAGTACTTTGCATGCATCGGGCCGTGCTTGCCCTGGAACTTGGCGTTACGGATGGTGATGATGTCGCCAGCTCGAATCATGTCGTTCTGCTGGGTCGATGCGTTGGCCATGTTCGAGTATACAAGGGCGCCGTATGCGCGAGTACCAACGGGAGGCAGGACATCCTTGTAAGGCTTGAGGAGTTCCAAGACAAGACCTTGAGGTGTACCGTCTGCAACGACTGAATCCTTCTTAGATGCTACTGCCGTCGAGATCTGACGACCGAAGCGTTCATAGTATTCCTCCATCTGGTCCTGTCGAAGCGCACGCGGTGGGGGTTCGTGGCGCTGCTCCAACTGAACATCTGATGGGTCGTAGGGATCATAGCGGACAGTCAAGAAAGTTTGCGAGTAGTCTTGATATAGGATGGAAATTTCGCGTGTGATCGTCGTTTGTTGCCCGCCATTCGTAGATGTCGACTCCTCGGCCTCAAAGTAGATATCTTTACGGCCTTGGAGTGCAGGTGGTACCTGGTTAGATTGCTTCCACCAGCCACTCTGCATAGCCAGATCCATATCGTTAGCAATGAACCCCGACTCCATCGACATCGAAGGTCGGTGCATATCCATGGACCGTCTGTTTCCAGCAGTAGCTCTTGATATATCAAGGGACTGTCGGTTGGAGGTGCGACCAGGCACAGCTGGAGGAGGGGGTCGTCGGTCCATAGGAGAAGTTACAGATGGAGATGGAGGGAATGCAGTCTCTTCCTCGATCTTTGGTGTCCTAGGGGCATATGCGTGTCCTCCAGGGGGTACCGAGTAGTTGTATGGGTCGTAATCCTCTTCGGGACGAGGTGATTGAGGCGGCTGCGGGGGTAGGATATTAGCTGGAGGGGGAGGTGGTGCTGCGCGTGGCACGTCGACAGAAGGCCGCTTGTCGGCAGGAGGAGGGGGAGGAGCAGCGCGAGGTGTTTCCATTGACTGTCGCTTGTTCTCTGGGGGTGGTTGCGAAGGAACAGGTGGAGGTACAGCTCTAGGAGCCACTGCAGAAGGAACAGGAGGTGGTATATTGGCGGGAGCATCAGATGCGGGGGATAGGAGAGTGTTGTCTTCCAGACTCGAGTCCCGGGCGTGAGACTTCAAAGCGTCCTTATGAGGAACCGAGGAAGCAATGTCAGTATCGTAGTCGCCCTCGTATTCAGTGAGTTCCTCAGCCTCCTCCTCGCCGGCTTGAGGAGGCCCTCTGGGCTGTGCCAAGGAATCTTGGGTCGATTGTCGTCGAGGGACACCGGGTGGGGGAGGAGGTGGTGGTCGACTCTGTGTAGGAGGAGCAGGTGCAGATCCTGGAATAGGAGGCGGTAGTCGACTTAACCTGTTGCTAGCGTTGGACCCTGGAGAAATAGGACTGAAGTCTTCACGAGTTGGAGAAAGTGGTGGCGACCTTGAAGGCAAGTGAGGAGGTTGAACTGGTGGTGGCGGCATGGGAGGAGACCTTGCAACCATGGTAGGCCTTTCTCTCTCACTATCACGACCGCCAGAAAGTTCATCCCCAGACTCAGATCCGTCTGACTGGGATTTTGCGTCGGCGGGAGGTGGGGGTGGTGGTCGAGCTACGGAGACATGAGTCTAAATCGTCTTATTTAGAAGATGGTTAGTTACTTACAATCAGATGGCACAGGAGGTGGCGCTCCTCGGCTGCCAGGTACAGGAGGAGCTCCCGCGGGTTCTCTAGGAGGAACTAAGCAACATTAGTATCACGTTTGGACTGTCAATTCCAACAACGTACTTGTAGGGATGGAGTGAGGTGCTGGAGTGGCCTCACTATCTTCATCCTCGTCCGGTGTCTCGGCAGGCTGTGAAGGTACTGGAGGTGGCGGCGCACGAGCAGCTGGTTCAGGTTCCGTCTCAGGATGCGCTGGCTCTTCTGGCTTACTTGGACCGCCGAATCCAGGAAGAGGCATCATTGCAGGAACCGGCGGGGCAGCCTGGGATGTTGGTGAGGCCTCACTAATGCTGTCATCGACAGAAGACTGCTCTGGCTTCGGTGCTGGTTTCTTCTTCTTGGGTGGAGGCGCTGGCGCTGGCATAGGCGCACCAAACATACCGTGGAAACCCATACCGCCGCTCATCTTAGCCATTCTAGCCCTCAACTCTTCCTTGCGCCTGACTTCAGGGTCAACCTCCTCCTCCTCTTCTTCCTCCACTTCCTCTGCTTCGTCGCTCTCCTGCTTCTTGGGTGCTTCAGGGGGAGGACCAGCATGGATAGGTAATGCGGGCGCCTGTGGCGCAACCCTGGACGTATCATCGCTATCTTCACGTTCTGTCAGGTCGTCATTGCCTTCAGTGGTGTCACCAGCACCAGACATGTCTGCCTCGTTCCCATCATGAACAAGTTCCGCGGCGGGTCCCTTGGACGATTTACGGCGCGCAGGAGGTGGCATTCGGGTTGCTTGGGGCTCGTCTGTAGATGTTCGAGCCTCGTTATCCTGGGTGTCACTTCGCTCAAGGGGAGTTGGAGGCTCTTGAGGTGACGTCTCCGTCTCGGCTGGGGCCTCAGCATGACCGACACTCTCACGTTTCTTCTGAGGCTTTTTAGGTTTCTCCTTCTTAGCAGCAGCATCGGCATGTCGCGCAGCCTGCTCCTGCTGCTGTTTTTGAAGAAGCGCAATGCGCTCTTTTAGACTAGTAGGTTTTGGTTGATCCTCAGTTTCGCCTCCTTGGGCTTCGGTTGGCACAAGCCCCGCTCGCTCAGCTTGTCCTTGCGTCTCAGCCTCTCGTTCCTTGATTTCAGGATCCTCATCGCGCCGATAAACTTTGGCTGTTTGAGATTGCTGCGGTGGAGGTATAAAAGCGTTGCGGCTTGGAGGAGGAGCCACAAACGGCTTCTTGATAAAACCTGTACCTGTTCCAGCGAGACCACTCGGTTTGAAGGGTGCAACAGGAGGCGCCGCGGGTTTGTTAAAAGCCGCAATGCGATCCTTGAACGAGCTGGACTTGGGCTTCTCTGTCACTGGGGGTGGTCCAGAAGGCTTGGGTTTAGGTGAAGCCGCAGCTGGTGGTTGAACTGGAGCGGGGACCGGAGGCTCAGCAGCTTTAGGGACTGCCGGAGGCGGGGGAGCCGCAGCCGGAGCGGGCTCGGCGGGCTTTGGAGCAGACTCCGGGATAGCCGGGGCAGATGGTTCGGGAACGGCGTGCTGATGTATGGGCTCATGGGCTTCTTCGATCTCGGGCTCGGGCTCGGGTGCAGGCACTGGAGGAGGCGCTTGTTGAACAGGTGGCGGTGGGGGAGAAGCGATATCTTCGGCGGGTTGAGCAGTTTCGGGCTCCTTCTTGGTGCGAGTTCGAGCTGGACGAGGTGGTGCGGTTGGCTCAAACTTTTCGACAAAGTTTCGGGGGAAGATGCCCTCTTGCTTTACACCTTGGTCGTCAAGGTATTCCCCGCCATACCAGTCGGCATCCTCCTCATCGGTTACAGTGATAACTTGTCCAATACCGAAGTTGAGGTCATCCTCATGAGGGGACGAGTACTCGTAGATAGCCTTGACCTTGAATGGCGCGGCCATTTTGCTGGTAATTGATCCTCTGAAAGCTCTCTTGCAGGACAGATGCTGCCCGAGGCTCGGATCTAAGCTGCTCTGCTCGGGGCGTGTGGCTGTATGGAGTACGAAAGTACAGTACGTGATTGTTCGTAGGTCAACAACAGCTCGCTCGCTTGGTAGAGTGTGGGGCACGACAGGGGGGCGTCGTCAGCCTGTGGGATCGAGTGAGGCGGGGGAGAGTATAGTACTGGATTGCTTGGAGGCGCAGTTGAATGGTGAAGACAATTGTCCGGTTTTTAGATATGTACTGAAAATTATTATGCGCGATGTTGGGGGTCTTAATAAGAAGATGCAGGGCGATACAAGCAAGCAAGAGACAAGAGAGATGAGTTGCAGGTTGCAAGGAGGCGGCGGTGGTGTTTAGCGGAGCATAGACCAGAGCCTAAGGTAGAGCTGGGGCGTTTGTCGACGTCAGCGCTATGAGCAAGCAGAGTCGTAAAGGATGAGCCCGTCACTCCGTCTATCTCACGGCTAAAAGTGTTAGGCGCGAGGACAACGGTACCTCGGAGCTAACAGTACTGAAGTAGAGTTAGTACTACAATAACATTGAACATTGGAGAAGTTCCCAACCAAGTTGGTGCCTAGCCCCGATGATAGTCGGTCATGTTTTAACAAGATAAGGCGTCAAGAAATGTGGATGACAGTGATGCAAGACATATGATGAAGTCGGAAAACAACTGCGAGTCGAGGGATTGCATTGCGCTTTATCTCTAATTCGTGGGGTCATGAGGTAGTGGTAGTCAGTCGCTATGGCCGAGCAGTCCGGATGGCAGACATTGGATGGATCCATTAGGTTGGCATGAGAACATGGGGGCCTTGTAGAAACACTGATTTAAAACATCCGTCCAAGCGTAATACCAAGGCATAGACCATATGCTAGCAAGACTGTGAAACTTTGAAACCAGTGCCTTATACCATTCGCGTCCAATAGATGCAACCAGAGGAAAAGACGACCGTTCTTGATGCCGTGCAACAATGCATCATGGAACGATTCTTTGTTTCAATTGGTCCCCTAGGTCCTTCCAATCTCCCGAGACTACTGATTCTGGGGTCCATTCCTTGTAGGAAAAAGCAGTGAACCTTAATAGTGAGCGTTGATGTCCTTAGTAGTTTACATACACTTTATTGTCAACACGCACAGTCTAAGTCATACTCGAATCAGAAACTAGGCTTTGATTATATTAGACATATAACAGTTCAGTCACTTTTTATAACTTGGACCAATATATCAGGGCGTTTATTTCATACGTTGTAAATTTAGATCTCATGGAGGTTTTCTGCCATGGGTGATAGAGGGCTTCTACCGGGTAGTGGCACCTACAGAGCTAACTGTGGCGGCGGGGCTCTTCTGATCTTTCCGAGCTCTCGGATTTGAATGCTACAGTACGGATACACATCCTTTCCATCTTCAAGATCGCAACACTCACCCATCATGGCCTCAAGCTCTAAGCAACCACCAAAGGGTATTCTCAAGAAGCCCAAGTCCATGAAAGAGCGGGATGCCGACCCTAAAGAGATCGCCATCGCGCATGCTAAGATCATCCAGCATCGCAAGGACCTTGAAGCAGAAATCCTTGATAGCTTGGTCATCCTCTCCGAATACCCTCTTGTTCGCGAATCTCCTTACAATGCCTCGAACCCTGCTTCGTCCGACATAGCCGACTTCAAGGCTCACGTACGCCTATTCCAGCCCTCCGATTACGACGACCTCATCATCGAGCGCAATGTGAATGAGCTTTGTGGTTATACCCTCTGTGCACGACCACGCAGGAACACAGGGCCTGGCGGTCAGTGGAAGATCGCTTCCAACGGCAACATCATGAAGCGCGAGGACCTTGAAAAATGGTGTTCTCAACAATGCGCTCGCCGCGCCCTTTACGTCAAGGTTCAGCTTAATGAGACAGCTGCATGGGAACGTGCAGGTATTCCTGATATCGAGATTGATCTGCTCGACGAGGACAAGTCCAAAGAAACGGATGTTGACAGGGCTACCCGAGAGATGGGCCAACTCAAGCTGGAAGAGCAAAGGCAAGCGGCCCGTGATACTGCGGCCCTGGCTCTCGAACGAGGCGAACCTGATGCATCTCAAAGCAAGAGCAAAAAGATGAACATTACGCTCAAGGAGAAGGATGCAAAAGCACCCTCCACAACACCCGGCAAGTCCGAGGTTTACGATGCCGAACACTTACTCGTCGAAGGCTACAAAACAAAACTGAAGTTGAAGGATGACGAATAGAAGCAAGAGGAAATCAAGTGACAGTATGCATAGGATAGGCGTTAGATGGCACATGTATCACATAACAGCATAATAAGAAAAAGATACCCCTTCACGACCGTGACATCACTGCTCGGTGTTAAGGATATGAAGGACAGTCCCTCAATCCCTCGGCTCAGTCCCGGTCATGCGAACTGGCCTTGGGCAAGGTCACATTCACAGAAACAGGAGAAGTAACTTGGCGATCAAGCGTCATCTCTGGAGATATCCAGAGAATCGGCGACACCTTGGGGGGTTGTAAAGTCTTTCTTTGAGACCTATGCACTCACTGTCCTAAGACGCCTAGTGAAACCCTTGAAATTCCAGACACCCATAATCCCAAACAACATTTTTTTAGTCGCGGCGAGGGCGGTCGCCGTATCGTCGTCCACCACGCTCGGGAATCTGCTGCTGGGTGACGGGGATGACGTTGACGGGGATAGACTCGAACTGCATACACTGTTAGCATCTTGTCCAACGCTTGCTGATACCGGGAGACGTACGCCAAGGTGCTTGAGGAGATCCTTGGTCTCGCCATCGACGTCGAGCTGGCCACTCTCGGAGTTCTGGGTGAAGTCCAGAGCGGAGACCTCAGGAACGAACTGATCCTTGCGCTCACGCTCCTCCTCCTGAAGCTTGAAGGAGATACCGCGGACGGGACCACGCTGAATACGCTTCATCAAGTGGGTGGTGTAGCCGGCAATCTAAGATGCCTCAATTAGTCCATGTCTTCGGTTTTTGCTCGTTTTGAGCCGGAATTTCGAATTTCGCACCTTGTTGCGGAGGCGCTTGGAGGCGATGATAGCGATCTCATCACAGATACGCTTGTTGGTCTCAAAGTCTAATGTGAGACGAGGGTAGTACCTCTCTATCACGCTAGAATTTCCGTTAGAAACGACTCCAAACCCTTCTTTCTAGAATCTAGAAGAAAAAGGCTTTCTTTTGATATAAGACTTACACCTTGGCGGACTTCTTGACGGTCTTGGTACGAACGCGACCCATTTTGGCGGTATTGGACTGTTAGGACGTTGGGCGAGAGGTTGAAAGAAGTCACAGCTGGAAATTCCACTACAGATCGAGAATTATTTTTGGTGTTGAGAATCGAGAAGGTGGGAGCAAGGAGTGGGTCGTTCTTTCCTTGGAGCCCTGGTCACGTGCCCCGGTTTTCGGCTTTGCTACGGGAATCAAAGTGGGCTCAATTTGGCCATTGCTTAGATCTTATCTAACAGCTCAGCCATTGGCCAGGTTGGAATGGCCCTTTCAAGGCGACCTTCAGCGAATAGGTATCTGACTGACCTACGAGCCGGCGCGAGATATACAGCAAGCATTGTTATCACTAGACAGCGAATACCAATCTTGTATCAGAGTCTTTTGCAAATTTTATAAGTCAATAGGCTCTTATGCTGCATTGCTTTACAGATCATAACTATATCGATTTGGAACCTCCGTCATGCTGTGAAGTAGCTTCAGGTGAATTTTGAACAGTTTCATAATTTGCTTTAATTCTATTTGTACAATTGTTTGGTACATGTCATTCCATCTTATTAGACAAAAATCGGCACTGATATACAGAGACTGCCCTTGATCAAAGATGGCATTTATTGCCTTCCATCAAGGCCATAGTTCCTAGAGCTGCTGACAGCATTTCCCTCAGGAGCATCTGCATTCTCACCCCCGACAAGCTCATCAACAACACGGTCTGCTCGCCAAGGATCCGCTGGCGCACTCTTGGCCTGCTTAACTTGCTTTGTTGAATTGTAAACATGGCCACGTCCCTTGGCTTCCCTCGCAATGAGCTGGGCCTCGGTTCCTGCTTCCCGAAGTTGAACCACGACCTTTCCGCTGGGATCAACGGTAGCGGTCTCAGGGCTGACGTATGCTTTGGCACCACCAAAGGTTGTGGTATCAAGGTGGGAAATACCAGTGAGCATCTTTTTGTTTGTTGAGATTCTGTTGCGCGCAGGGTTTCTGTTGTTGAACTCGTTGTCTCCTGGAGGAGAGTCGGCGACGAAACCACCAACACCAAGCTTGGCAGCAGAAGGGCCTAATCTGGGGTACACCACTCGGGCAAGAGTAGGAGCTCGTTGTTTCTGAGGCCCATAAACAGGATGATTCTCCATAAATGAGTTTGTTCTCAGATAGCTGATACCAGCGGAGGGGTGGCTGGGCGGTGGTCCGGATTTGCCATAGGGACTCTCAGCGGCGGCATTCTCTCCACCGGCCAAGAATGTCTGGATAATGCCAACAGGCTGGCCCAGAGGAGCAAGATCGAGGAACTTGGAAACCAAGCCATATAGTGTAGCACGGTCGTTTCGTAAAGAGCGCACATACTCAATGTAGTCTTCACGATTGATGTCCCTACTTGTGATCTTTTGTGGTGCCTCCTTGCCCTGCTCCATGGCAGACTTAGCTCTCTCAGCATTGATAGACTCAGCGAGCTTTGCCCGGAGCAACTTTGCAAAATCGTCACGCTGTGGTCGGACCTTCTTGTCGAGGTAGGCCATGAATTCGCCCTCAGTCATCCTGGCCAGCCAAGGTCCCGTGAACTTCCATCGCTTATCGTCTTTTCGTCCTTTACGACGCTGAGTAAAGTCAAGATCCTCCTCGAAAACAGACTTGTGCCACGTATCGGTTGTGAAAGATGGGCTGTTTGTATCCTTGCCCTTGGGAATAGACATGGCAATTCGCATCTCCTGGAACTTTTCGAGCGAAAGAGCGTGGTCGGCGGCAGAAGCGAAATCGGTAACGCTCTCAATAGAGTCAACTTGCTTGACTCGAATCAATGGCGTTGAGGTTGTCAAGGTAGACTTTAGAGGAAAAGGTCGCTTGAATCCCCAATCACCCTTCTCTCGCGACGAGAGAGGAGATGTAACGGTCTGGATCTGTGGATATTGTCTCGTCATGGTAGGAGATTTATGATCGCCGATATGCAAGTTGGTTGACTGAGGTTCGCGCAATGGCTTTGGAAGCGAGAACAGTCGAGATGATCTCAACAGCGCCCCTCCGGGCGAGACTCTACTAGACACCATTTCGACTCGGATACCGTTCGGCGAGCTCAATTGGCTTGCCGTTCTGGTGTCGTCGTGATGGGCTTCGGGCGTATAGCTTGAAGTCGACGAAAATTCGCTGAACTCAAGCTTGAGCGGAATCTACCGGTGATATCCCGGAAGGCCTCATTGGCCAATCAGATAAGACATAACACCCTTCTTCGATATGCAAGCCCCACCAACCCTTGCGCTGTTCATGGCTGCAACTTCCATTTTATAAAAAAAATCCCAGTCGGCGACTAACACGATTAAGAGGGAAGGTTAACTGTCCCTTTTCATTCTTTGATAGTTAAATATTCCGGACAGAGGCAGATGCAAGCTATTAAGAGGATGGCTTCGTCATCGCCAAACATTTACAAGTCGCCCGCCTTGACGCATGAGCTTGTTGCGAAATGCTCCGTGAGTCTTACAACATGGCGATGGCTTCATTTAGCCACTGACCTTGGAGCCGAGGTTCACAAGGCTAATACATATCTTCCAAGATAGACAACTAGAGCTCGAGCATCGATTCTCACTCTTCCTCATGGAGTTGTTCAACTTCCCATATTTATGCCTGTTGCAACCCAGGCGTCTCTGAAAGGCATTACCCCAGAGCAACTCGAAGAGACTGGCTGTATGCTATGCCTAAACAACACCTACCATCTCGGTTTGAAACCCGGACAGGAAGTCTTGGATGCTATAGGTGGAGCACACAAACTTCAAGGATGGAACCGTAACATTTTGACTGACAGCGGCGGGTATGTCGTTCCGGCGCCTGTGGATGAGTAAATGAAACTAACACTTGTTGCAGGTTTCAAATGGTCAGTCTGCTCAAGCTTGCAACTATCACTGAGAAGGGTGTCGAGTTCTTGAGTCCTCATGATGGCACGCCTATGCTGCTAACTCCGGAACACTCTATGTCATTACAAAACAGTATCGGGAGTGATATCATGATGCAACTTGACGACGTCCTAGTTACAACTTCACCTGATAAAGCTCGGATGCGCGAGGCTATGGAGCGCAGTGTACGATGGCTGGATCGATGCATAGCAGCTCATAAGAAGCCTGAGACACAAAATCTCTTCTGCATTATCCAGGGTGGCCTAGATCTCGAGATGCGTCGAGAGTGCTGTCGTGAAATGCTGGCTCGTGATACACCTGGTATCGCAATTGGCGGACTGAGTGGAGGTGAAGCAAAAGCAGACTATTGCAGAGTTGTTGCGACCTGCACAGAAATGCTTCCTGACTTGAAGCCACGATACGTTATGGGTATCGGCTACCCTGAAGATTTGGTTGTGAGTGTTGCGCTGGGTGCCGACATGTTCGACTGTGTGTGGCCAACACGAACTGCTCGATTTGGAAACGCAGTCACCAAGCATGGTGTCCTGAACATGCGCAACAAGAAGTACGCTACTGATTTCGGACCTGTCGAAGAAGGCTGCAAGTGCATGGTCTGTAAGCCAGCTGCTGAAGGGGGAATGGGCGTCACCCGGGCATTTGTTCATCACAACGCTTCCAAGGAGACGGTGGCAGCGCACTTGCTGACGATCCACAATGTCTTCTACCAACTAGATCTCATGCGCCAAATACGAGAAGCGATCCTTGAGGACCGCTTTCCTGCATTTGTGCGGCAGTTCTTTGCCTGGCTATATGCCGACAAGGCAGAATATCCAGAATGGGCAGTTGGGGCATTGAAGGGTGTTGGTATAGATCTACAGTCGGAATAGACTGGGTGCACTACCCATGAAAAGAAAAGAAAGGCGTTTGTTGAAAATGGGTGATTATGAATAACAAAAATACGGAAATCTATATACTGCATGTGGTCGCTCACGCACGTGCCAATAAGGATATTGAGAAGACTGCGCATCGTCCCTCTATTACCCCGCGGTGTCTCATTCAACATTCCGGATAAGTCGTTAGAACCAACACGTCTCGAAACGAATACATTGATTAAATCCATCGCTCTTCAATTCAATTGTTGCATTGCTACATCTATAGAGCAATGGCGAGAGCAGCAAATGCAGCCAAGATGGCACCAACGCCAGCGTGAGCAGAAGTGGCATCACTGCCGGCATCGGTCTGACTGGACTGAGCAGGAGCAGTAACAGTAACAGTGGGAGGACCGTCCCTGTTGCTGGCATCGTCGTTATCGTTGTTGTCATTGTTATCACTGTCATCACTGGAAGCATCGGTCTGGCGGGAGCTGGAGCTTTCAGTTGCGGTGGCCTCGGTGGGCTCAGAATCGGATGCCTGAGTCTTGGCCCCAGCAAACTCGCAAACATTGGAGAAGCGCTCGCAGAAGGTTGCAAAGGTCTTGGCGACTGTCGTAGAGTCAGTTCTGGCACCGAGTGTTTGAAAGTAAGAAACATACCTGAGTAGGCGGTCTTGGGCTCGCCAGTGCGTGCCCAGTCAGCGCAAGTTTGGGCATGCTTGTCCATGGCATCGGTCCAGGTGAGTTCGTTACCGGAGCCTCGACAGCTTGCAGCAAGTCAGTATCGAATGTCATTCATCTATTATCTTGAGAACTTACCAGTAGCACTCGGCCTGCTCCTTGAAGGGCAGCTTTGTGAAATCGCGGTCCTGGGCTGTGCAAGAGGTGAAGATATCCAGCATATCTACACAGGCTGAAGCATATGTCTGTTGAGCAGGGCTAGTCTGGGTGGTGATGGTTGAGCGGTCATCATCGCTGTCGCCAACCGTTGCTGTAGGACGGCTTGAAGCACTGCCGCCGCTACCACTACCACTGCCACCAGTGCATTTGGCGCCACCGATTTTGCACGCGCTGTACAGAGTGCCATAAGCTGAGGATATGATATTAGAATAACCCGGGAAAGAATTGTTGATAGGGGAATCTCACCTTGGTATTGAGAGGTGTTCTCGGGGGCCTCTTCCTCGAGATAGCTGGAGCAGACTGAGTACAGAGGAGCGGCGTTCTCGCTGCCGTCACAGCAAGCGCAGGCGACGAGAGCATCAGCATCAGCAGTGGGGGCAGCGTTCAAACCACCAGCAGAGGAAACACATTTCTGAACGAGTGAGACAGCGTCCTGGCAGGTTGCGTATTCAGGATCGCTGGGGTTGATGGCAGCGTTGTGGAAGAGTCCAGGGCCGAGGCCCAGCGCACCCAAAGAGCCCAGGGTGACCTGAGCAGCGGCACCGCTGGCTAGGACAGAGAGAACAGCGGTCTTCATTGTGAGTATCGGATATTCAAAATTTGTGGAGTGGTTGGAATTCGAATGTCTTAGGACGAAGTTATGTCAGGTCAGGTCAGGTCAAGGTTGAATCGAAACAAGAAGTGACAATCACTTATACAGACAAAGGACGTGAACGGAAGAGCCAAATTCCCCAGAAACAATCTCCGGGGGGTGAAGGGCCGACAGTCGGGAATTTATTCACGAAGTCCGACCTAAGTTGAGCTGAGCTTCTCTTCCAGGGTCGGTCAATCACTTCGCTTGATTGAGCAATGAACAAACGCAGAAACAGACAGACACATAACGCTAGGAAGCTTGCGGTCAGGTTATCGAGTTAGCTCCGGGCATCAAGTAGCCACGAGGCAGAACCCCAGGTCTCTTGGGGCCAAGTGAACCAATTGGCATATGCGACATGGTGCGGCTGAGAAGCAACTAGGCACAAAGTCATGAATTGCACGCAGAAATCTGGTGGTAACGTTGGAGACGCCTCTTGGTCTCTTAGACAGAGTTGCAACGGGAGTCCACGATATGACCAGGTGCCAAGCAGGGGTGCCCTGCACTAGACTAGTGGGAGGCGATGGTTGTGGGACGAAAAGGTTACTGTCCTGTCTCTCTAAGCTAAGGTGCAAAGCTGAACAAGGCTCTGCAAAGACTTCAGGTGGCCCCGGCGAAAGACCCCAGCCAAGAAGACTCAAAGTGCGAGTGATGGACCATTGAAGAAATGAGTTTTGCCGTTTTCCGCTTGCATTGTCTGGGCAGACGTATGTATGTAAATTCAGTAGTACAGTACTGTAACAAACTCGTGTCTTGGCAAATCAAGGGTTTAGATTGTCTAGTGTTGTGCCCGATATGTGTAAGGGGCCATGGGGGCGCATTGCACAGCATCTTTGGCGTTTTCTGGAGGTTATTGTTGGACAGATCAAAGACTGCCCCTGCCGATGAGGAGATTGCACTTTGAACGACGGCATCTCTAGTTTGAATATCGCTCATCAATTGCAGAGAAGATCAGCCTTGCCTTGCCTTGCTTCGGCGGACAAAAGGTCAAAGGATCACTTTCGTGCCAACGCATACCATGGCCCCAGCAAAGAAATTCCACCGGCTCTGAGCTGGTATGGATGTACAAGACTACAAGACCTCGTGAATCACTCAGCCCTGTCTGTGATGCAAGGTAAGAAAGTTTGTTTAGGCTCATCCGCTAACTAGACGAGTCGAGTGCTTTGGCTCTTAGGCTCTGTACCAGCAACCAATGCAGATACAGAAAAGTGCCGTCAGAGAAAGCTTCTTGCGTTCTACGCCACTGATACAGTAAATTAAATTACGGTACGGCAATGAGACGGCTTTCTTCCATCTCAGACATGTCCCGAAATACTCGGTTAAGACATGACGAAAAGCGGTGGCTTCACCCGCATCAGCCGTCTATTGTTACCATGAGTCCCGCATCCTTCAAACGCCCGACTTCGCGGAAACGAAGTCATGTCAGGTCCATCAATCAGCCTAGCGACAGAGACAAGGACTGCCCACAGTGGATCAAGGGTGTCTCGGTTGCATGGGGCGTAAAGTTTAGCCATTCCTTAGTGGGAATGGGATGAAATATCAGGGGACCTCAAAACAGAACAGGGCAAATGCGAGGGGTAAAGAGCCAGTTCCAGTTGACGAGGGCCGTCACGATCATGAGCCAGGGACCATGATTGAAGAAGAAATGAAAGGCACAAGCAAAAGTGGAAAGAATCAGTTCTCGCTAGCGGTGAGCGAGAGTCCAACGTTTCGTTGATTGCTTTGCCAAGGTTGCTACTATCTTTGGCGATAGTTACCAACATGGTGCACGGTGATTGTTTTCAGCTCTGATTCTAGACTGCACAAATCATCCAATGAATGCATATGTAGTTTATGAGTTTGTCTCTCTTCGTATTCATGACTCAATATTGAAAAGACAAGGGTGGTAATGATTTGGCAGGTCATTAAGTATATTAATAGCAAGGTTTGTTTGATCCAGATCTCCAGTTAATCTATCGTCAACAAGATAATAAATTCCACGGTGCCCTCCCGACGGGAACCGGCAGCTAGACTAGGGCATCGTGTATGTACATAGTACGCTGTATGGTTAGGATATTCAGGTGTATTGTATCTGCAATGTCCTCGATATTGTAAGCGAATAATAAAGGGGAGAACCATTCTTCATACGGCCAACAAAGTTTAAAGATCATTTCTGCGAATAGGAGATTAATTATAAAAAAACTTCTGACTCTTCAAAATTTCAACTTAGAGTCGACTTATGTTATTTACTTGAGCGATCCTAATCAGGCAATCCTCAAAACACAAAAAAGCGTCATAACTGCAAACACGTGACCCAACGCGTTTCTCCAGACGCGCCCAATCTAATCTCTAGGCTACCCAAACAGGGGCAAGACGTCACCGACATCTCGATCATTGACAGAAAAAAGATAAAGTCAAAGCAGCAACGGAATCAGAGACGGAGCTATTCCAAAGGCGATTAGAGATTGAGTTAGGCCATTTGGCTGCGACTTGGCTCTTTGCGTCTCAGTCAAGTCAAGTGGACTACCGGTCAATACCCCGCCACTACTACAGCGCTGCTGTTGGTCTGGGCTTGTCTTGTCTTGTTTCGAGGTTACCGATATTCCTTCTGGGTCTGACTACTCTACGATACCAATCAGATACTCGGCCTCATGGCATCGTCATCCCGCCCTTCGCTGTCGCTTCGGCGGCAGTCTTCCACGCGGAGTCTCAGACAACCCGACCATGATGAGTTGTCACAGTCGTTGAACCAGCTCAGCATCTCCACTTCACCCGGCCGAGCTCCGTCCCGCCTTGTCTCCGAACCAGCTTCACCCTTCCGTCCCTCGGGCCGTCGTACTTCACAGTCACCGGCACCGAATTCTCGAGCGCCATCACGTAGCTCCTCCCAGGAACCTTCTTTGAGCACGCCTACCCTCCTACGGAAAGCCTCTATGAACTCGATGCGTTCATCTAATGGAATGGGGCCCGGTTCAACTTCGAGACGCTCTAGCGTGGCGCATCTCATGTCACCGACTCAAGCCAAGTCGCCATATAAAGAAAAGATCCGACCAACCGCCCGTTCCATTGCTCACAGCAACCTGAATTCTGAGCTGCGAGTGCATCATGGTTCTATCGCTACCCGCTCAACCCAAATGGTTGTCGTCTTGAACGATGCTGTCTATGGTCACCGTTTTTCTCGACCTCGGGCTTCCCGTGCTGCTCTTAGTATGATTGTTGAAAGACCGGAACGAATAAGAGCTGCGGTGCTAGGTATTTCTGCAGCCTATGTGCGCCTGGGCGGTAGACACTGCGAAGGTGAATATCCACTTCACCCAGGAAGGGAAGCAGAACATCTTCAAGGAATCCCTTTCCGGATACACAAGACAGAACGCAGTCTTTCGCTTCTTTCGCCAGTCGTGACCAACGTGCATGGAACAAAATGGATGGAGGAACTCAAGATGATGTGTGAAGCGGCCGAATCGAAGCTTGCGATGGGAGGAAAGGAGCTCCAAAGACCAGAACTAAACCGGGGATCCGATAAGCCTCCTGATAAACTCCACGAGGGAGACTTGTACCTCTGCTCAGAGTCTCTGAACGCCATGGAAGGTGCCTTGGGAGCTGTTTGTGAAGCCATTGATACTGTTTTTGGTTCGGGTCCGCGCCGTGCATTCGTGGGCGTACGACCCCCAGGTCATCATTGTTCCGATTCTTATCCTTCTGGATTTTGTTGGATCAATAATGTTCATGTTGGTATCATGCACGCAGCTCTGGAGCACGACCTTACCCATGCTGCCATTATCGATTTTGACCTTCATCACGGCGACGGATCTCAGGCTATCACTTGGCAGCACAATTCTCGAGGAAATAACGCCGCCAAGAATGCAGCGGCTTGGAAGAAATCGTCGATCGGTTACTTCAGCTTACACGACATCAACTCCTACCCGTGTGAAATGGGCGATGAAGAAAAGGTTAGGAGCGCCAGTATCTGCATCGACAATGCGCACGGACAAACGGTCTGGAACGTCCATCTCGAACCGTGGAAGTCAGAAGAGGAGTTTTGGAAACTCTATGAGACAAGATATACCGTTCTGCTGGACAAGGTGAGGAACTATCTCAGGAAGCAGGCGGAACGGTTGAGGGATTCGAAGATGCCACCAAAGGCTGCAATCTTCTTGTCTGCTGGTTTCGACGCCAGTGAGTGGGAGGGTGAGGGCATGCAACGCCACAAGGTCAACGTGCCGACGGAATTCTACGCCCGCATTGCTCAAGATGTTGTCAAACTAGCAGCTGAAGAAGGTCTTCATGTCGACGGCCGGGTCATCAGCGTGTTGGAAGGTGGCTATAGTGATCGAGCTCTTTGTTCTGGCATCATGAGCCATCTCAGTGGACTAGCTGGCGACCAGACAAGCGAACACTCGTCGGGCAACTCCAGCCGCTTAGGCGTCGAGATGGCAGAGAAGGTTGAGACACCAGAGCAGAAGCCATCATTGGATTCTATACATGCTTACGACCCGTCATGGTGGTCGACCTCGAATTTGGAAGAGCTTGAAGTTCTCATGGGCGATCCAAATGCTGCCGCCTCAAAATACCCGCAATATGTTACGCTTCCATCCTACTTTGCTCCGACACAGGCGTCAACTGCTAAGTCCTCTGACCCTATGAAGATGCAGCGTAGTCTGTCGAAGCTGGGCTCGGCCATGCCCAGGCCTCCTTCGCCGCCACCACCAGAAGTCCCCTGGGCGGTTGCGACTCATGAGTTGAGCAAACTTCTCATTCCCTCTACACGGCAAACTGGTAGCTGCAAACCCGAGGAACTGAATGCAGAAGCAAGCCGGGCCAGACGCGATCGACAGTCTATATTGATGGGTGTCGATCCCAACCCTCCGCCTGAACCTGCCCCAGCTTCTCGTCCAACATCCCGTATGTCTCTGCGCGAGAGGCGAGCTAAGCCAGCACCGGCCCCTGAGCCAACCGCCGACAAGGCGTCCAAAGGTCGCAGAAGGACGATGGGCGCCACTACTGTCGCTTCCGAAAAGGTAAGTCGCATACTATCACCCAACGGATCAAGGCTAATTTCTCCCAAGGCGGTGGCTCGCGGCGTTCCCTCACGAACCAACAGTGATGAGCCAGGAGTGAGGAGGTCTAGTAGGCGTCTTAGTGAGATCCCTATCCCCCTCACCTCCCGGCTACCTTCCAGCCCTGAGTCAGCCCTGCCTGAGGCTGCTGAACATGCCCAAACGGTTCCCAACTCGCCTATCACCACAAAGGAGGCCCCAGGCGGTACCTTGCCAGTCAAGAAGACGCGGACTTCCACAGCTTCTCGTAAAGAACCTGCACCCAAAGCACCTCGAGCTACCAAAAAAGCTACCACGACAGCTGGTCCCTCACGACCTTCTGCGGCAGCTCAGAAAGCCAAGTCGCCGGATCAAGCCCCGAAGGATGGCGCAGCTGGCGATGGCATCGACAGCATCACTTCGGGTATGAGGAAGATCCGTATCAACTTGATCACCAAGACCCAAAAGGAAGCTAAAGAACGTGCTCGCCTTGAGGCTGAAAAGGCTAAAGCCAATGCCACTGCTACTGACCCAGCCAAGCCTATTGAGGCATCCTCTACTGCCCAGCACCCATCGGAAACCAAGTCTGATGATCCAGACACGGTCGTCGTCTCTCCTGAGGCTCATAACATCTCTCCTACACAATCTCTACCAACTGACTCTACACCACCCGCGGCTACCCCCTCGAGCAGCGTTGCATCTCCTTCACAAGAACAAGCTCCTTTTCAGTCTGTCGCGCATGTGTCTCAGGTAGCGTCTCCTCCGCTAAGCTCGCCTTCTATTCCCTCAGTTTCTGTCCATCCTAGCGCGGACTCAGACGATGTCTTTATCCCTTATGAGCCCCAAGGCCCTGCGCCCAAGCCCATTGTGCAGAGCGAACCATTGAAATGGCTTCCACCTAACGTACCAACTCCTTCTACACAAACACCTGCTGCGACACCTAGTCCCGTCAAGAAGAACAATCTCTTCCAGTACACTTCTTCTGGAATCCCCTTTGCGCCTCGCCCAGGACAGTCAGCACAAGGCGCATCCACTGAGACTGCAGAGCTAGGGGTCAAGCAAGAGTCCGACATCCCTCACTCTATCGAGGAAATTCCCGAAACACCTCAACACTAGACATGACGCTGAATTTCTTTTTTCTTTGTTTTTGTTTTCCAGAATACAGAGAGCTGGTTATCTTATATGTCACAGCACTGTTTTGGAAGGTAAAATACAACAGTCGATACCCACACATTATTGTCAAGTTTCCTTCTTCCTGTATAGAACTCAATGCTTTCGCAGCCTTATCCATCGCTGGATATGTAGTCTTCCCCACGATACCCTTTTTCTTTCCAAATTCGAGCTCTACCGTCGCTCTATAGTTCTAGCTTTGTTTAATCTATGACTTTATGGCCGTCTATAAACCTGAAACTATTGTCGTAGCATTCGTCCCCTATGAGAAGTTCTTGCGGAACTCACTCAACGGCACGCTTACTTCCTCGACAGTTGCTCTCTGCGAGCCCTCAATGCCGGGATGAGTCGACCTCTTGAGAGTCCACACCTCCTTGATGCCCAGACTTTCGAGATAAGTGACTGTGCGAGCGTAGTTTGTAGCCACTTGAGCAATACCATGACTGTCGTCTGAGAAAGTGAACTTGCCGCCCATCTTGATCCATTCCTATGACAAGTTAGAATACGTTTGTGCTAAGATATGGGTTTGACGCACCTCGGCAATAATCCTGCAAGGATAGGGCTCTGCAAGGCCTTTTCGAAGTGCAGCACTGTTCACCTCAAGCCAACCATCCTGCTCCTTCGCAAGCGCTAGATTTCGCAACACGCGCTCCCAAACACCCTTCCACTGCCTGACATCCCTGTCAGGATCCTCACTCATCAGTCTGATGAGATCGAAATGTCCCACTACACGCGGCTTAAGCTCAGTGAGCATCTCATACTGCAAATCGTAGTAATCTTCATAGAGGGACTCTTCTGTTCGCCGCGTGCTTTGGCTTTGGGCAGTGAGGAACATCTCCTTCGAATAGTCAATCGGCGTGTGGTGAACGTAGTGCACTGAGCCGATGAAGTAGTCAATGATGGGATGCTCTGCTAGCTTGCGGACATGCATTGCGCAGCTAGAACGGATGAATTCGGCTTCGAATCCGATGAGGATGTGAATCTGTGAGGCGTAGTCGCGCTGTAGACGCTGTGCCTCAACAAGATAACACTCATGACGTGGTGGGAGGGCCTCCAGGGCAGCTTGAGGGTCATCGAGCTAAGAAGATATGAGATTTCTGCCATCAAAGATCAATTGAATAATTGAAAGATACCTCTTCAGGATACAGATCTCGTAGGTCATACCTAGGCATGTGCTCTGTGAAACCAATGGTTTTGTAGCCAACGGAAATTGCATGTTTTACAATCTCCTCGAGTTGGTCTTTGGCATGGCCAGGGCAGAACTCGCCCGAATGGGAGTGCATTGTGAACGCCATTGCTGTTGATATTGGTGTAGTGCTGATCACTGTTTCTTTCTTCCCCGGCGGGGTTGGGTAGAAGCAGGTTTATAAGAGAAAGGAATGAGAAGGTCGGCCCCCAGGTGACAGTTTGTAACTATGAAATATGCCGAGGTTTGAACAAGCCGAGTGGTTCACTTGCATGAGATCGATACAGCTTAAAGGCTCATCAAACTTAAGTTGAAACTTACTGGGTAGTATGGCTCTAAACTTAGTAGATAAGTTGGTTGGCTTAGTTCGTTGGTAATCACGTAGTCTTCATAGTCTCCACATTTCTAACTTGTTTTATTCCATAAGCCTTGTTTCTTGGCCATGATGATAGAAGAAATAAAAAGACATGTTTGAGATTGTATCTGAAACATTATTCAATGACAAGTACACAGTAATATTCACCTCTGATAGGTTCCCTGGATATATATAGCAAGTCCATAGTATCAAATAGATCAAATCGCTTTCTTTCCAACGCCATGCCAACCAAAATGCGACAATATAATGCAATATAAGACAGTACAAGAGTTTGTTTTCTCCTTTTAATATGATTTGATATCCCCGTATGAGTAGAGGCCAGGCGCCATGCTGATATATCGGACGTCCCCTACTTCTCCGCTGTTGTCGGTAGTCGTCTGCGATACGCCGGCTGGTCGCGCGGCTTTTCCTTCATCTTGCACGATGTAGATACCATAACTTTGGTTACCTGAGGGCCCTCTACTCCATCCAAGGTGGAAGGTTTTTCGGCGTAGGCATCGGGCCAGGTCATCGTCTTCCATCCATTCCGCACCGTCTGGGAGGCGCCACCACAAGGACGAGTCCGCAAGAAGACTTGCTTGTGCGGCGATGCTTCCGGGACTCTTTGGGAGTGTACCACGAGATGCCGTGCGAAGGGATAATAGGCCGAACAAAAGCGTGAATGCAAGTAAGCCAATGAGAACAAATGTTTGCATACTGCCTTGCGTCAAACGTGGGATAACATAGTCGACATGTGCCGGGATGATTGGTTGAGAATCATCACGAACACGCAGCTTTTTAGCCAGGGGGCGCCGTATCAACTCACTGTTAATAGCTTGCGCAGCGAGTATCCCATGCATTTGACGGATTGCCTGAGAAACGGAATTTTGTCTCTCGGGCATCACTATGCGCTCCAAAGTAGTTGACAGCCTTGAAAGGACCAAAGTACGAAAGAAGCCGTCCAGTCCATTAAACTTTTTGTCATCGGCGCCAATGTCATCAAGTGCCGCATAAACGCTTGTGGTATCTGCTTTGACATCTGACGGCTGCTCGCTTGATGCGTTCGTGATAGGAATCTCGTTCGTATTGATATACAAATCCTCAGTGCGGAATGTCGTTTGAACATCAACCTCAACAAGTGATTCGTTGCACATCATTACGGATATGAAGCCATCACTAGCACAGCTTCCCCAAACATAGTTGATCAAGTACGAAGAAGAAAGCTGTGGGCATGAGGAAGCGACGAGTGCAGTGCGAGATTGGTCTGCGCCGCATATAGGTTTCTTCTTCGTTCCACCAAAAGGAACGCATTGCCAGTCTGCGCCCTCGCCCCCTTCCAGAGATACGGTCTCGCATTTGAGTTTACCCTTGAGGCCAGAGATCTTAGCCACAAGTTCGGTGTTTGGAAGTGGCCACTCGCTGGGATGGTCCACTAGGGAAACCTCTGGAAGGGCCACGTCTTCCCAAGTCCATCTCGGGTACTTGGGGATCTCTTGTAAAAGGACCTGGTCAATGATGTCGCTGTCAATGGCGGTACTCAACGACTTGCTTGTAGAGGCAAACTTTGTCTCAGGTCGAAGCTCAAGGTTTGCCGTTTGTGCAACCTGAGAAACAGCAAACAGTCCTGCAGTAAAAATTGGCATTAACCAACCGAGCATCGCTGTACATTTTGCAAGGAAGACTGCCCAATCCTGGTTCTTCATGGCCTTGCCAGCCGTATGAAGGCCAAACTCGTTCATGTAGGACAATCCCAGAGACTCCTGAAAACGATGCTTGACAGTTGTGAGTTTCAAAAACGGTGCTAGACGTCGATTATCGATATCGATTCGAGTCCAGAATACAGCGACAGCAACGAAGATGATGGCAGGTACGCATGTCCAGACGATAAAAAGACCGTCATCAACTTCTAGGCCATCGCCATCACCCTTTAGACCAAACAGCACGCAAATTCCAGCAATTAACATGACAGACACAGCAATACCCATGATCTTGGTACGAGTGCTCTGGGTCCATGGTTGGTACGTGGCAGTTGCCTCTGGTGACACATTGGGAGGGTTCATACTGAGAGGACCGCTGCCTCCACCATGTTGCCTCAACTGAAACATTTCTTCCGGTCGGCGTCCCGGCTGCGTGAGTTCTGTTGTGTACCATGAACTTGCAAGCCTGGCGCCAACAGTCTCCATGTCGGCGTGTCCCGTACCTGATAGGCGGGTGAGAAATTGATGGCTGCTTGTTAGAAGTGTCGCAGTTCCAGCCGGTGAGGTGGGATCTCGTGGTGCTATTCCCCGGGCCGAGGGAGCATGATACAACATTGGAAGTAGAGCACCAGAGATGATGAGAAAGGTGCCAGCCATAGCGTGGAGGATACCCAAGCGAGCGCGGAGTAGCGAACTGCCATCGACATGGATCTCGGCATGAAAGACAGCCGTCGAGAGAACGATCTGAGCACGGAGGAGAAATTTGATAACGATAGATGCGACAACTAGATGGTGGCGGTTTTGGAATGCTGTCGTGAGTGCTTGGAAACTGCCAAGGCTAGGATAATCGAGTAGAACAGTCCGGTGGCCTTGTTTGCGGCGGGTTTCTTCAACAGTCGTCGGCTTTCCATCGAGAACAATCCAAGGTGTATATAGCAATGCTTGAGTTTCGACTCGGGCCCATAGCATAGCCATGATAGAAACAACTTTGATATACATGTGAGTACTTACACAACGGAAGATCGTAGTCACACATTGGCGATCACTTACCTACAACGGGCCCAAAAGTCCAAAGACCCTTGAGTCTGCTATCGATATTATTCTGAGTGAGCCACCACATTACCACCTCGCCAATTACAGCCAACATTATCGATGTACCAATGAAGGTGCTGGTAACTCTTCGGCGTAACCACCATGGCCTCCATCCATTGTTGAGCGGGATCTCAGTCGGTTCCAGGACATCGGTACTTCGAAAGCTGGTATCACCTGGAGTGCGAGGTGGAGTGTCGAAGTACGGTGTCTCAAGGACCGTATCCATCACGTAGGAGGGCTTTGTCGAGAATCGCGGGTCAGTCGCACCCGACACATGGTTCTGGTTGAATCCATCGCTGACGGGAGAGTTAAGGTACTGGCTACTTTGCGATGGAGGGTAGAAAGGACTGAGTGGAAATCCAGGACTAGAAGGACTGTTGAGAGACTGAAAGCTTCGAGGACTTGTTGGACTGCGTGGGCTGGAAGGGCCAGGCGATACCCTCGCAGCAGGCGGCGAGAGAAGAGGGTGGGAAATCAAACGAGAGGTAGAGTCTGAAGGTTGTGTTGAAGGCTGTCGAACATAACTGAAGCCAGATGAAGATGCCGTATACCTCGAATCATCGTATGGCCCAACGACGATCTTGTCATGATCGGCATCAGATGAATAGATACCCATGCTGTTCCATGGTGCTGCCATGTCTTGCCACTAAGACAAGTAATAGTGATTAAGAGATTAAAAGCGGCAGAGACAATTAGAGCAGGTCGGTTATAGCCAGAGACCTCGAGACATCGTCCACTGCATGTACTCTGTAGATGATTGTCGATAATGAATGCAATGATAAAACGAGTGAGTGTATAAAAGAATGTGCAGTTTGATTAAGATAGAGAATGGACAATGCAAAGCAGAACAGAGCAAGAGCTGCTGTACATCAACTAAAGAGAAGGAAGGAGCAAATGTCAAGGACGTCAAGTGCAGGTGTCAGACTGCTGTAGTAATAATGTACAGGAAGGAAGGTGTCGTCCCAAATCGGATGGATGGCCCACGCCACACCGGGCACTCTAGACTTAGGCAGGTAGACTCCAGATAGAATCCATAATTCTTCACTTTAATACATGACAAGCTTTTTTACGACAATAATGCATTTTCCATATTAATCTCCATCCAACCTAAGCGCCGCATTTTTGGTGCTATAGTCTGGATCAGCCCCTGAGCAACAGGAAAGAGCCCCCTCTCCCCACCAATACTACTCGGAACAGAAAACATAGCATGAACATGCCATACACAAGAGGAGCAATGCGACTCTAATCTCAGCTGTCCCTATGATTGACAATTTGGCGATACGCAAGGTTGTAAGAAAGCTGACAGACATGACAAGGTATTTCTCCACAGCTCGCTCACTTCAGTCTCACTCTCTTACTCTTCAGCTCGGCATCACCATCCTTCAACTGAGTCAACCGCCATCAACTATAGTCCACCGTTATAACCGTGTGGCAACCTGATCTAACGACGGTATCTGCACAAACTAGCAATGGATCTTGACGAGAATCACATCACACAATCGACCCTGACTTGGCCCGTGTCTGCCAGCCTGGAGCACTCTGCTAATTAGTTTAGCCCCTCCGTCCTCCATACTACAACACTGTAATACGATAGCAAGACATTGCTTTGCCGAGTCCTTCCACGTTCTAGATGGATGTGTAAATTTTCATGCCAAGACTTGAATCGGGCACTTGACTGCCTTTTTCTTACTCTTTCCCACTTAACAAGTTCACATGTCGCTCAGTTTGCCATTAATAGCTCTTCAATAGTCCCAAACGCCACGCTTCAGGATAGCCTCTGATGGACGCGACTGTGTTCCTGGCTAGGATTGATCAAGTTAGTACGGATAAAGGAGAAGGGAACAAGAAAAAAAAAGAAAACTCTCCGAGTCTGTCCACTCGCACGGGACGTGACTCGACAGGGTTATACTCCGTGAAATGTCAAAACGTTGCAAGGGCTCGAGTGGCCTCGACTCATGTTTATCTTCAATTCGACAAGCATTTGCTGTCTGAGTTCCAGGCAAGACAGACAAGAGACAAGAGGAGGTATCGAGTGTGTCCCAGAACTACATAATAAACAACCCCTGTCTTTAGCCCCCAGTCCCCGAGCGCCGCACCGTTGGCGCCGTCGCGATAGCGTGGTCTACCATCAAGGTTTAATGCAGGGGAAATTACTCTCTAAACAAGAGAATCGACCACCACTTGCGGGAAACCCCGTTGCAAATGTCTCGGCGGACAGACACAGTACTGCTAAGTTAGTACACATCAGAATAACAGTTGGTGAGCGACAGATCTACCACTGCACGCTACAATAAATAGTGTAGCCAAAAGTCACCATATCTATTACTGGAAGATCATAAAAGAGACTAGATACCATGCAGATAATCAATCGCCTCGGCCAAGCCCGCGCTCAATGCAATGAAAGTCGGCACATCAACCTTATCAAGACTCGGATGTAACCTTTCATCACACCTGTTGTGGTAGTAAGTCCGATATGGGGGAAACCGACGCATCCAGAACCTGAGAGCGATTAACAGAGAGACGCTTCGTTCACGAGTATACATTGTCTTTTTAATTGGATTTGTTTGGTTTCTAATGTCTTAAAAGTCTGAAAAAGCGCCACCACTAACCAACACTCTCCTCAAGAACGATGCGGATATACAAGTCGTAATGCGAGGCCACCAAACACGGTCCCCTAATATACAAGTGGACATGTATCCTGTCATCAAAAATCCGTTCTTCCTTCTTCTGCCCGGTCCTGCCCTGAAACGCCTGTCTAAGTAGCCAAGCTTTTCACTTTTCCCCTTGATCCCTTGCCATCTCCTCCCACCTCTTTTGACACACCAACAGTCCATTTCCTCCACGACAAGACACAATAAACAATGACAAGAGAAAAGAAAGGTTTAAAAGGCATTAGTAAAAAAGTCGAAGGCCAGGTCGCCAGGATGGAGCCGAGGGAAATAGTAAAAAGGTACGTGGGGGCTCTACCCCTTGGGAGGCGTCAGGCGTAATGGGTAAATGATGTAGGGCCGGGTCGGGCTTGGGAAACCCTTCGACCGACAAGTCTATAATGAAGAGCAAAGCGCATTTTGCATCGTCGTCTCAACATGGTGAAGAAAGAGCATGGTTAAAAGAACGTTTCGAGTTGAGGGCTCATATCGAGCGGTTTTCGTAATGGCAAGGTGATCACCGCGTCGTAGTGGTAGGCGTAGTCGTCACAATCCACCTGAAGGGTATCGAAGTTTTAAAAAGAAAAATGGTGCTAGTGAAAAGGTAGAATTTTTTTTTTGGATGGATGTTGAATGTTGGGGGAATCATCGGTTTGAATTTCGTGTTGATCAGTTCCATCCGAGTGAGTTCTCGGCAGCTACAGGAGCAGAGATGAAAGCAGTGCGAGCCGAGTTGCCCATGCCACTGCGTCCACTGCCGTGGCTGTCACGGCCACCAGGTCGAACTGGAGGGTGTTCACCCTGGGCACCATATGATGAGAAGTCACGGCTCATGAGAGCGCCGCCCATAAGAGCAGGGCTTCCGTTGCCGCCGTACTGCATCTCGGAAGATCGCTGGCTGCTGCCAATAGAGCTGGCACGGCGGTGACCCAGTTGCTTCTTGCGCTTGTATCGTCGAGCAACCAGGAACATGGCGGCACCGTACATGACACTGAGTCCGACAGCACCGACAGCAATACCGGCAGTGGTAGCCTTCTGCTTCGCAGTCTTGTCACCCTCACCACTGTTACCGAAACCATCATTGTTGCTGCTACCACCGTCATCCGAGTCACCACTGTCAGAGTTGGAGTCGTTGTCAGTGTTGCCAAAGATATCGATCTTGTTGTTGATGACAGAGGTCAGGTTGCGGACAATCTCGAGGTCGTTGTTGTAGAGCAGAGAGTTAGGAGTCATGAGATCAGCCTGGAGGCTGTCAAGCATGTTCTCGGGGTAATGGATCTTAGCCAAAGCCGTAATGTATCCCCACTGAGACTGAGTATCCATAGGAATGATCTTTTCAACCAGAATGCGGTCCTTGCTGAAACCACCAGCATCGGCAAGACCCTTGGGGAGGTACTTGAAGAGTTGGGCAGCTGCGACAGTGTTTCGGGCCAGGAACTTGTAGTTGAAGGGGAAGAGGAAACCGATCTGAATGGCCCGAGAACCTTCGGGAACAGGCTTGTTGGGGTCGTTAGGGAGAATGACTCGGGGGATATTAGCAGGGAGACCTGTGGAAGTCGATGTCTCTGTGGCCTGGGTGGGAGCAGCGGGAATAGAGGTAGGCTCAAACATGATGGTAGTAGGCAGCCAGTTGTTGGTGTTTGTGAGGGTAGCAGTGGGTCGGATACTGGTGATGGGATCAGCAGCGGTGGGAACCAGCGTAGTCGGGGCAGGCTCAGGTTGAGTCTGGGGCTGGGTCTCAGTCTCGACAGGAGGAGGCTGAGAAGTAGGCTGAACCGAAGGCTGCTCGTCAGTGAAAGTTGGGGCAGCTGCAGAGGTCTCTTCGCCATCGGTAGCAACGGGTGCACTCTCAGTCTCAACTTGGGTGGCGGGTGAGGTGGGCTCCTCTGTAGCAGTACCATTGGTCTCGGCATCAGTTTGAGTAGCAGGGAGCTCGGTGGGGACTGAGCCAGTAGCAGTGTCAATAGGCTTGGTAGCGGGCTCAGTGGCTGGCTCAGTAGCGTTTCCAGAGGGCTCTTCGGAGGAGTCACCAGTAGCCGTGGGGGCAGCAGTAGGAACCTCGGTAGGGGCCTCAGTCACGTCCTCGGTGTTGACCTCAGTGGGTTCAGGAGCACCAGTGGTCTCAGGCTCACCAGTGACGGCAGGGTCGGTCTGGGTGCCGTTGACTGGCTCACTGGTGGCCACAGGTAATTCAGTCTCGACAGGCTGGGATCCAACACCAGATGTCGCATCGGGGACAGTTACGTTGGGCGACTCAGTGGGCTCAGAGCCAGGAGTCTGAGGAAACTTGGTGTTGGGGTCCAGGAATGAAGTCAGATCGGGTGAGCCAGTTTGGGACTCCTCAGGGGCAGCGGTTGTAGGAATGACGGGAGAGACGGTGACGGGGCTAGAAGGTTCAGGCAGAGCAGATGTAACATCAGTGATATCCGTGGGAATGGGGAGAATGTCGGTCTCGTCAATTGGAAGCGTAGTGTCGGGAAGGATGCCAGTAGGGATAATATCAGGCAGGCCAGTTGTCTCAGGGTCAGTCAAAGGGGCACCAGAAACAGTTTGCTGAGCATCAGAGTCGTTGGCAGCGGCTGAGGTGGGTTGAATATCCACAGGGACACTCTCAGGAGCCGATGTCTCCTCGGGCGAGGTAGTCTTGACCTCAGAAGGCTCGTTGGGGAGCAGAGAGCTGAGAAGGGTTTCCACAGGGTCCAAGAGACCGTCCTTAGATGTTTCGACAGTGCCAGGAGCGGCAGTAGCCTCGTCGGTTGGGGGGCTCAAAGTAGGCAGAGTCTGTCCATCAGTCTGGGGCTTACTCTCCTGTCGCTGGGGCTCCTTTGTAGGGGTTTCAGTCTCCTCTGGGATAGATTCAGACTCGGTCTGGTCAGGTTGTGGGTTCTTGGTCTCGCTATCAGCGGGAACAGGAAGCACAGAGGACAGGAGGGTCTCAACGGGATCAAGAAGGCCCTCCTTAGTTGTAGGAGCAGGGTTCTCAACAGATGGGCTCTTGGTCTCGGAGTCGGAGTCGGCAGGCTGAGCACTCTGGGTCTCAACAGGAGCAGGCAGGACAGTCTCGGTTTCGATTGGAGCAGGCTGGCTCTCTTCCTTGTCGTCAGACGTGGCTGGCTCAGCCTTGGTCTCGGTGTTGACAGGCTTGGGCGCAGTGGTCTTGGACTCGGCAGGAACGGGAAGGACGGAAGACAAGAGGCTCTCGACGGGGTCAAGCAGACCCTTCTTTGAAGTAGGGACAGCTGAGGGCTGAGTCTCCTCTTGGGGTTGAGTTTCGGTCTGCACAGGGACTGGTTCCTCCGTCTTAGACTCGATCTTGGACTCAACAGGGGCAGCCTTCTCCGTCTTGGTCTCAACAGCAGGCTTCTTGGCGGGAGTGCTAGCAGGCGCCTCAGTTTCGGGTTCCTTGGTCTCAACAACGGGGGACTCTGTCTCCACCTTGGGCTGAGTCTGGACAGGAGCAGGTTGCTCAGTCTTGGACTCAACGGGCTTCTTCTCGGGGGTCTTGACGGACTCAGGCTCCTTCACAGCGGGTGCTGTTGTCGCAGCAGGCTTGGTCTCCTCCTTTGGCTGCTCGGTAGGGGCAGGGTTGGCGTCAACATCGGAGGTGACGGCGGGCCGTTCAGGCTGAGCAACAGTCTCGGACTCGACAGGAGCAGCTTCGGTTTCCTCCTTAGGCTGCGTCGCAGGGTTCTGGACAGCAGCTGCTGAGGTCTTGGCTGGCTCGGCAGATTTGACTGCGGTCTTGCTGGTGACAATGCCGCTAGGGGCAAGAAGAATACCGGTGTCGGCTTCGGTAGGAGCATCGGTGGCTTCGGCGGGTTCTGTTGTTTCGGGCTCCTCGATGGCCATGCTTGTGGTAGGTTGGAGGACGAGAGCAGGCGGGGCACTAGCACTGGGGCCAGGACGCTTGAAGCCTAGAGGGAGAGTGGGATCGAAGTTGATACCATCCTCCTTGTCTGCCGCGGCCGCCTTATTCTCATTGTTGTTGTTGAAAAGGCGATCAAGGAACGAATCCTGGGGGTCTCGCTTCTCAAGCGTGGGAACCGCCGGGTTCCCTGGTACCACGGGAGCAGGAGCATTGTTCTCGACTTCCCTCTTAACTTGTCGTGGGTAGTAGATGCGAGGTCGGTTGGCTTCGACAACAGACGAAGAGGCAAGGGCCAAAGCCAGGACGAAGGACTTGGCGTGCATTTTCGGTTTGAGTTATTAATATGTTTGGTGTATACTGAACTTGGTGTTAGTCTTATCGGATAGTCGTCGTGATCGTCGAACTCACTGTCAGGGTTAGATTGCAGCGAATGTACTTGACAAAAGTGTCAACGAGTGTAATCTGAGTCGCATTGTTAGCAGTTGTTCATGATCTTCGCGTGTTCCGGTCGCCGGCCATCAATAAATGCCCTCCTCGTCCATCAAACCAAGGCTTGATCGACAACCTCCCCATCCAGTCGTGCATGGAACCCAGACTCACATATAATTTGCGTAGAGCGTATGTATATGCGATTCAAAATCAATTCAAAAGAGTGACAGACGAAATATCGTCAAGCGATTCGAAACAGACGCGTGTCGTTCAGATAATGATCCGTGACGGCTTCCTCGATTCAAATACGGTGTCTGGACAGATGATCGAGTTGATTAACGGAGATTAAATCAATCGTTACGTCGACATTTGCTGATGAAATTGCTAGAACCTCCAGAGGTCCTACTGGCAGCCAGACTCCGAGTGAGTAAAGGAGGGTGAGTCGTAAACGGGTCTCGCGAGGGATCGGCTTTCAGACGCAGGAGCGCTGTCGAGAATCGAATAGCGGACGACGACGCCTTTGATACTTGTCGTTGGAGGTGAGGTCGGTGTGGAGAGAAACGAGAGGACGGGAAGGAGAATAAAGAGTATGTAAGTACTAGATGTAAGAAAAGGCTGGACTGGAGAAAAGAAGGGACAGCGACAGGGCCAACAGCAATGGAAGGAAGGAATGAAGGCGAATGGGAATGGGGAGATGGGAAGGGCATGGAAACACGACAGGGACAAGGGGACGGGATCAAGGGGGTGTGACCCAGGCATGGATGTTGATGTGGATGAGAGTCAAAGAGTGCCCTGAACTTGAACTGAACTGAGATGCACCTAACTCAACCTGGCTGGTGAGCGGATACACGTCCATCTGTGCAACACCTAACCTATTTTTCCAGCGCCAACATCGCTGGAGACACTGCTAGACTCAACTGGACTGGCGGCTTCGTACTACCTCCCTCCCATCTTCAGGTGGACCACCTGGAGAAACGACGGTAACGGGTGAACAAAGGAGATGGGATGGCATCCACACCACCCTTGAGCTTGAGCTTGAATGGCTGACGGCTACCCGCGATGAGGTTGATGGGTACAACCGATGCAGTCATGTTCGTCTAGCCAAGCAATGTATTCCAGAGCTTGTTTCAAAGTATTGCGCTATCAACAAGACACACGATGATTCTGTCGGCTGGGTGAAGGTAGTGTCCGGTGCAGCGTCACTTCGGGGAATGCTCAACGCCTTCATCAACCATTGTTGCAATTTCTCGGGAACAACCGTGCTCCAAACTGTATTCCTCATTGAGGCTGCGTTCATGGCCGTTGATCGCACCCGTTGAAATGCTTCGAGACGGCAACGGCCAGCGGCGCCAAAAAGACAGAACCCCTCTCAAGCCCCAGGGTTTCCAAGGTCATCAGGGAGAATTGTCCAGGCTACTAGCGGTAGTGGTGGGCTATCTAACTCAATTTAGTAGCACGGAGAACGAGCTGCCAGCACAACCGCCAGAACTGAAATTGCGCACCTAAGTGAAGGGGGGTTGCGTTGCGTCCGTCCATGGACTAAGAGCCAGGGTGTGGCTGAGATTGCTTTGTTACAGCGATACCTATCCATACACCCTCTGTAGAAAATGGTCTCGATGCCAGGGCACGGCACAGTCAATCAATAGTTGAATAAGTAATTCTTGAATAAGCGGCAGTTTGTCTGTCAGTCTCTTTCTCTGCCTCACCCGACAATGCGACGTATGCGCATTCTTGGTAGTATGTAGCACTGGGGTGAACCGGTATGCTGGTGAGCCATGCCATGGTGCGGCATCATGGTAACGGAAACAGCGTCAGTCAGGGACCTGGCATACCATGCCTTGCCTGGAGCTGGAGGCTGTGCTGTAGGCCAGCGGCGTTGGTGGAAATCAACGGACCGGGTCGTAGCGTTGAGTCCCAAACACTGGTTGTGTCTCTCCTGTGCCGGGGGAGCTTGTGGAATGTCAATCCAATCCATTATGCTGTGGTGAGGAGAAGACGAGTTGTGCGTTGTGCGAGTTATGAAGGGCTGTGAGAACAAGACACAAAGCTTGTGCCGAAGTTCATGGGGCTGCGATCTGCAAGGGGGGCCCGCTGGAGATAACGTGACACGATTGGACAGCATGGGTTCTTAACGCTCACTAAGGCCTAGCTTCGTCTTGAACAGCTCACATCTCCATAAGCTTACACGTCCTCGCTCACCTTTATCCATCTTGCATATCTCCATTATGAAAGCAGCTTGCGTGTGCACGTTTTACAACTCCAGAGTTTTTTGCTTCTCCCTTTTTTGTAACCGGGGAAGTCCCGACCTGGAGAGAGCCAGCGGGAAGCTGCCCCGAGTGTAAAAGTCAAATTATAAGTTATAGCAAAAGCCTCTATTATCCAGTATGTACTAATTATCAATTATGCCCTTCAAAGGGGTCAATGTGACCATGGCGATGAGATGGATAGACGACAGTTCAAGATGCTTTCGCTTACCACTTACACGCCGTATCGACCGTCTTCGGCAATTCATACCTACATGAATTAAGAACAAGGACCGACTCGTTCAACTGGAGATCTCATGCGTGGCTGGTGTGCAACAATATTTGACAGTGGCTTTCCCTGTTGAACCAACGAAAAACTTTTGGTCATGAATACATAACAACGCGTGGGAAAGGTGATGCAACCGCCCAGAACAGTTTCACACGCGACTGGTAGATTGAGGCGATACAAGCTTGTCTCTTGAGCGATACCCTCTGATTGCGTCAGTCTCTCGTGGAAAATAAGGTACCGCGTAATGACTGATCGAGTATCGAACTGCTAACCACAATCAGCAGCCTCCCGACTGCCAGCACCTTGGCAAAGTTCCCTGGCCTAGTGCCTTAGTGCCTGTCCAAGGGCCACCCCATGGCATGGATAGCGCCGTGATCCAGGAACCGAACTGCAAATGGAGACAAGCACAGAAAAACACCAATTGCGCCTTAGAGACATGATGGAAAAGACCCGCTGGAAAAGTCTTAGCAACGCTTAGCTTGGCCTAGGCGGCGCCACTTGAACTCCAACCTTTGATTGTCATGACCCTGTTCCTGGCCGGTCCGTGGCATGCGAGACTAGGAGACTACCGGTTCCTGGACAAGTATCCCTTGTTTGCTGCGGGTCCTACTCGGCAGGAATCATGTTGATGAGAAGATGCTTGACGATCACGGCATCAACTGAAGAAAAAGGAAGCATATGTACGAGGTTGATCTGATAGATGACAGCTCGGTACGCCATGTCTTTCGCTTCCGAAGCCTTTGGACCGAAGCGAGATGATATCGCAACAAAGTACGATTGTGGCTTGACAGGGCTCTCGATGAGTAAGACAGTATGACGAGCGAAATAATAATTGCTCTCGACAGTCAACAAGGCAAACAGAGCAGTCCGGGATGTGGCTCACTGACTGCAGGGCAGCGAATTCTCTAACTCCACGTGGGCGCTTGAAAATGCAAAGAAATGCAGCGCTTCGGTTGGTTGTGCGTCCCCGAGATTGCGCGTCACTCACTATCGTGTTTAATACTAGGTACAAAAACCTAAAATGTCTCAATTAATATCTTCTGCACATGGTTTTCTCGTGTCGTTGCAGCGATGTATAAGAATGATTCCACTATAGGGTTTGGTCTGGCTTGGTCTGACCATGACCATGACCATAACCATGGATTTCATCTCAACTGGCCTGTCACCATTAACGATCTACAGATGACTCCGAGATCCGTCCTTGGTTCTTGCTGATGGGACTGTGGATCTTGAGGGTATCACGGGGGTTGCTTGCTATGTACTCTAGCAGTCAAATAAATTCTACTCGCCTTGGTCCTTATCAACACATACTACCATTTCTGCTGTACTTGACTCTACTCACTCACATGTACGCACTTGTCACCTGATTCAATCTTACTTGCATTGCATATCATTGTCACTGTAATGTTGATTTTATATTTTGCTTCTGTTTCTCGATGTTACCGTCACATTTTCCTCCTTCCTAAGTGCTACTCGGCTGTTGGTCTTCCCTCGACCCGCATCAGCGTCTGTGTGATACTCTATACATAGAAAATAATAGATGCAATACTAAGGAGTTCGATATTATGAATGCATTGTACTATTCCATGATCCGCCATTCTAAGGTCTGTGCATAACAAACGGAGATTGTTTCCAAACACATTCTTTCCGCCCTGATACTATTCCCATAACGCACAGCCACTCGCTCTTCCATCGTGTGTTTCGCTCTAAAATCTCGTGAATCGCGCGTGGCCTTACATTCCATTCCCCTCTACTCACCTGAAGCAACCATCGTCAATAGTGGTCGTTCTGGCTTGATCAAAATGTAGTGACCGATTTTAGGTTCTTCCAGGGCCAAGATCCTAATAAAAGAAAAAGCGGCCCAGGGTCTCACCAGATTGGGATGCCCATAGCCTAATTTGGTTCTAATCTAACAGGCCCTCCCCTGTCGACCGTCAGAGCAGCTACCATAATGGTAGTTTGATTATTCGACGCCATCCGAACTCCAGTGATTCACCCATTATCTCGTGAAAAACATCCGCTTCGTTTGTTTCTACCGTTTCTTCCTACCCGTCTTCGGCAAGGTTCGCTTCGGTTGATCGCGATGGCTTCGCTGCCAAGAGCCTCCTAAGGCGCATTTAATCTCAGCACATCTCCGCAGGACCTTGATCATCACAGGTAATTCAGTAGTCAGAGTGGTCCAGTGAAAACTTCTCCGTCTCGTCATAGTTTCTCCTATCGAATCGCTTGTGCAAGCGGCGGCTACTCTATCATCAAAGACGTCCGTGTACCTCCGCCATCACCACTACCGTCCTGGCCATTCCGTGCCGCTATTGTCCTACCGCTTCTTGGATACGGGTCCAAAGCGGCGGTTTCTGGCTTGTTTTTGGTGAACTTCTCCCTACTTGACCTGGCGTCTTTCTACCCATGTCGTGAGCTGACTCTGCCTGAAACGAAACGGGTGGCCCTTCGAGAAACATTTGAGAGAAATGTGACTCGGGTCCATTTCCCGGCAGAGATCCCTCCGACTCGGCTGACCTAATGGCTAGAGGAATTTCAGAGTCCCCTGAGACGAGGCTGCCAGCGGCTCGTCGCGCTTGAACCGGTGAGCTGTTGCCTTTCTAAATGACGGAGTTGTGTTTTGGACTTGATCAATGACTTTAGTTAAGAATCTAGCATTCTAGATCAGTCACGTAGGCTTCAGTCACCACTCGTTCAGATCTTAGCATATCAGGAACGCGGCTTTGAAGAGTTTCTATACTTAGTAATAGTCTTGTTTGGTCATACTGAGAAATGTGACCACCTATCCGCATTATTTTACGTTAAGCTACGATCGTGGCGCTTTCTTTGTTGTCGGTCGTGATTGTCGTCTCCTAAGGCTGGTCCATGTAATAAGGTCAAGGTCTCAGCCTTCCAGTATGGCCTTGTCTTGTCTCACTTTTTGTAAACACTAATACTGCGAGGGGTTTGTTGTTTTAATATTCAGTCATCACATTCTCCGGTTTCTGAAATCTCATGCAGTTAACCATGCGGTTGGCATGCCAAATATCACTGTCTTCCTCATGTTCGTCTCGATTTGAATCAGTGACTGTTTAATCATATTAACAAATCCTACATCTTGATCGGGAATTCAATAGTTACCCCGCAGGCCAAGCCATGCCATCCTTTGTTCCTCCTTGGCTTGGTGAATGAATAAGCCGTCTCACGGTACGTCCGAATGTCCTCTGAATACAGGAGTCAAAGTTGTTGTCTGCTGTGAATGGCTATGACTAAAATATTGATTCATAACCATGAGGCGGTTTGCAATGCGATTATGTTACATCCATTAGTGATATCGTTGGGGATAGGGGTGGTATTGGTGTTGAGATGTATCCCTTTGTCTCTCGTGTCAACAACGCCGAACATGGGAAGACGGGGAAAACATGGCTCGGTGATGACGATGATGCTGAGGTTTTCTGTTCCTTGCGTCATTGCCCTTCTGTTTTTGTTCTTGCCTGTATGTGGGCATTTGGATGTTTTCCCTTTTATCTGTCAATCGACTTGATTGTTGCCATACAAGCTGACCTCGACACTTGTGAACGATGTCGTCGGCATGCATGCTTTCAATCACGAACTACTAGCGAAAAAATATACTCCGTAGAACTTCTGAATAGCTAATCAAGTTCGTCATATTTCAGCGCTTGTGGAAGTACTGCGCCTTGATCAAAGAGTTCTATTGTGTTAGCGAACTCTTCCTGTATCTCCCAACGCATGACCTGGGGAGAAAACTAGGTACTTCGCCATGTATCTTGGTATGAGAGCAATTCTAGCTCTGTAGCACTAGCCAGCATGTTTGCCTATGAATAGAGTAATAGTGGTGTGATGATTGTTCAAAATTGTTACTTATCCCTCAGATAGGTAGGTTGTCGACGTTGTGTCTGACTTGATGCATACCAACCTCCACATCTGAAGAAGCCCTGAACTAGTAGTCTAACCGACCATTTCATCGATAAGCGAATGTAGATAAAGGTCTTCAAAAAAGTTGTTGGCATGTATACTATGAAATCCTGACCTCGACACAATGTGTAGGGTAGCTTTATATCATGGACAGTATTCTTACCCTACTCCCTGTAAATCTTCTTGGTATTGAGCGCTTGATAGGTCCCCCTGATTTGTTAGACATTTAGGTGTTCACCGTACTCTACCCGTTAATAAAGACAGCCGAGTTCTCTTAAAAACAACTCATGTGTAGAGGTTGCTTCAAACTTGGTGCATTAATTGGGCACTGACGATTCTTTCCGTGAGATTGATTATTACCAGTGACATGCAGCACTAGCTACATACTCATATGGTTAAGCTCGCTCCACCAGTAAGCCCAATTAAAATGTCAAGCTGAAGAATAAACGTACGAACTCACTTACATGATACTTGATGCTTAAACGTCAGATGCCCCGAGACCCACTTCTATCAGCGGGCTTCGGATCCGGAAACGGCCGGCCCCACCTCATGCCACTCTATTTGCATTCTCGCATGTGATTCGTGTGAATTCAATAATCCCCCGCTGCGTCAGGACACGCAGGGTCCTCTGCTGAAAGTGGTTAGTGGATTTCTACGTTAGAAGCTCGTTCGATACCAGGTCCAGGCCGGAATTTATCTACTCTTATCATGAGCCATCAACCACAAACGGAGGACTGACCTCCATTTCACACTCTTTTGTAACTTAACGCTACAATCATGGCTCGCCGACAGCATCTGACCCTGACTTTCGTCTTGGTTCTCGGTATCTTCTTCACCTTGTCCTATTTCTTCTCTGGTCCCTCGCGCAGTGTACTTCTTCCCAAGCTTCACAATGATGTTGAATTGCCCCTGAAGGACGCCCCTCGATCTGAGTTCGTGGCCGACCTCAGCGCCATGCCCGCGGGTCTCCTCGAGGGCGAATCGATTGCGCCTAAGCTTGAGAATGCGACGTTAAAGTATGTTATTTGAGTTCCAAATCTCCGATGCAACGTGCCACTGACACACCTTTCACCAGGGCTGAGCTTGGCCACGCAACGTGGAAGTTTCTTCACACAATGATGGCACGATTCCCCGATAAGCCGACAAAGGAGGATCGCATGGCTCTCGAGACTTTCATGCACCTTTTTGCCCGACTCTACCCTTGCGGCCAGTGTGCGGCGCATTTCCGAAAGCTGCTTGCCCAATATCCTCCCCAGACGAGCAGTCGCAACGCAGCCGCTGGATGGTTGTGCTTCGCCCACAACATCGTCAACGAGAGAGTACACAAGCCTTTGTTCGACTGTGAGAACATCGGTGATTTCTACGATTGTGGATGTGGCGACAAGGACAAGAAGGAGGGCGCAGAGGGTGTAGAGGGCGTCAAGGGCGAGGGACCTGATCAAGAGCTACATAAGCATTAGTTTGCTTTGCGTATCTCCAGGGTTTAATGCACGGTAATTCAAGGCTGTAAAGAAATCCGCATGTGTTGGCCCCGGCTGGACCGGTCTGCTCATACCGACTACATAACGAAGACTGCAATTTTTCGCACCATTTATCTTGGAGGAATGCATATGTACAAAGAAATATATTTAAAGCCTGCAATAATGAATCGGTTTAACAGCAGTAGTTAACTTAGTTCCGTTATTCAAATACCTTCCCAGCCATTGTAACTACCTACCTGTTCTATCTCGAGATGAGGTCACGTGTACAATCACGTGGCGATAACCGTTTCGCGGCTGCGCGTTCAGAGCTGCCTTGCCCGAGCTTCTAGAGCTCCTGCCCTCCCAAGCAACGACCAACGACAACGAAACATTACGACTCACGACTCCTACCTGGCCGATCGCTCAATTTCTTACATCTTCGACAAAATCATCCAAAATCGTCACAATGGAGTTTGGCAACGCTGGAGTGCTGAATGAGGGTGCGTTGGGAACTCTTTCGTCATAGCTTCGCCTTGTCGATATTGAAGCTTACAATATCGCCAGATGGTATCCATGTAGATATGGACCGCCTCAAGAAGGGAGAGGTCAAGTAAGTATTGATTTGGATCCTCTGTTGTCTTGCGCAGCTTACTAACAAGCCTATAGCCTCGGAACCTCTATGTATGTGATTATCTGATGATGCAAACGATCTTGCCTAACGGTTTATTAGCATGGCGGTTACCTTCAAGGACGGTGTTATTCTGGGTATGCATCATTGTTTTCAATAGCGACGCAAATACTGACTGTTATTCTCTAGGTGCGGATTCACGAACAACGACCGGCTCCTACATCGCAAACCGAGTGACAGACAAGTTGACAAGAGTGCACGACACCATCTGGTGCTGTCGATCCGGCTCAGCTGCCGATACCCAGGCTGTTGCCGACATCGTTCAATACCAACTTGGACTGTTCGCCATGACAAATGGCAAGCCTCCCATGACACAGACCGCTGCGTCAATCTTCCAGGAGATTTGCTACGCCAACAAAGACCGTCTATCGTACGTCCTTGACTGATCAATCCATCCCCTATATCTATTGGAGCTAACCGCCGTATGCAGTGCCGGTCTGATTATTGCTGGTTGGGATGAGCGATTCGGCGGCCAAGTCTACTCCATCCCCCTGGGCGGTTCCCTCCACAAGCAATCCTATGCCATCGGTGGTTCTGGATCGACTTACATCTACGGTTACTGTGATGCCAACTGGCGAGAGGGTATGGAGAAGGATGACGCTGTCAACTTCGTCAAGGGGGCTCTGAGGGAGGCTATCAAGTGGGACGGAAGCTCCGGTGGTGTCATTCGTATGGTCGTCCTTACCAAGGAAGGAGCAGACCGACACCTGTACCTGCCTGATACCGACTACGCTGTGCGACATGAGTAATGGGATAGAGGAAGAAGAGTACCTTAATGACCACTAGATAATGGGATAAAGAAAGTCAATGCCTTATCAGTCTCCCTAATAGTCTAAAATGGAACCTAAAGTAGCCTAAGTATTGGTCTAAGCCAACATAAGGCGACCAAATTCTTTCGTCTCTTATGGTCAATTCTTTTGACACACTGACGGGCGGCTATCTGAAAAGTTCACCGCTTTTCTAGAACGAGGCCGAGAAAGACGATTAAAACTGTGTTTTAGACTTGCAGTGGAGTGGACTCTGAGCAACAAATGAGAGGCTCACGAGACCTGCGTGGTAGGTACCTGGTGATACATAATATGGAGTTTAGACAAAAAGTACCATGTGCTCGGAAATAAATGCTCTGTGGTCAAAGACTAGTGATTTAAGGAACCGTGCTTTGTCTATTGACTCAATTTCCGGCAGATCTTTGGCTATCACGGCGAGGCCTTGTGATATTTTGTGGTTTCCTATTTGCCTGGAGTAATACCGCCAGGAACAAAAAGGTTGATGAAGCACGTGTACATGCATGAGAGGGGAGGAAGATCGTCGCCGGCTTCGTCCAATTCCACAGATAAGATATCCCCTGCATAGCCGCAATCGTGAGTTTACAACTGCCGCGGCAAATATACTGCACCCGATGTCGGTCTTTTGCCAGCAAGAAATCACGCAGAGGATGAAATATAGTAGGCAGGTCTATCCCCGATGAGTGATACAGGGACCGTCTTTTAGTATAAACCGCGCACTTTGTGATGAGTTGTGCATATCGTAGGTGGCATGCCGACCTGCAGATAATCGGTGGTTATTATCTCGTGCAACAAGTGTGCAAGAGCTCTAGTACCAGACAGACAGGTGTATTGACCTCTGTAAAACCGGTGCTGGAGTTGACACGCACTTTGAGTACACATAAACGGCCATGGAACTACTTCAGACTCGACAGAGCCCGTTTGAGAGATTCTATAAACAGAGCGTTTTGGATATCAAGGTTCGAGGCAGCATAGAGTTTTGCATTTAAATAGATCACTTGAGCCTTGCTGTTTCGTATTCGTCGCCAGAGTGTCAAAAGATTTAGTCTTTGAGAGCCTAAGAGACGAAATAATTCGGCCACCTTATGCCAGCTCTTAGTACCTTTTATTTTGACATCCTGAGCCTTAGAAGACAGCTTTATCCTATCTTCTAACTTCTATTCAGATATAAAAGTTTACTCATCTCTACTGAATCAGTTTGTCGCGGTCTTTCTCTTAGAAAAACGTGCCCACGTGCTTTGAACCATTGGCTCGGGGAACATTTCGGAGTCGGGGAGGGGCCGGGTTTGACTAACAAGAGGGTTTGGTTGGCTATCAGGAATTTTTCTAGTTTCATAGGAGAAAGTCCGACGACAGTTGAATCCAATCCTATGGCCCAGTAGCTACCAAGGTATCTAGATGGGCGACATAGGTAACTCGAAAGGAATCTGTCACTCCCTTCTTTTTAGGAAGCCTGCTGATATCTGGTGGTTGCCATACATAACCCCTGATCTACAAACAACTAGAATCTGTTTGGGAAGGTGTGGCCCAAACAGATGACCCAGGAGAACATAGCAATCGTAAGCGAGGCAGTTGACACAGGAAGGAAACAAACGATGAGATCCTTCCCTGACACTTTGATATACCAGACCTCTAGCGAGGGGTGACCCAACAGTTCCTTCCCATCGGGGTCTATTAAAAGCAACACCCCTATTTTCCCCGGCTTCTCCATCAGTCGAGCATATGAAAGATCTCCACGCAGTCGACCTGTCTTTCTTTCTTTTCATAAAGAAATTCACTAAGCCTTACGTACCTTGAGCTGTTAAATCCTACATGATTACGCTGTTGATCAACTCGATCCCCATCTCAACCCCACTCCACAGAGCTCGAGCCCACTATCGGACAGCCACTCGCCTGACTTTACCTGGCTCTGGCAGGCCTGGAGAGACCCTTGCGCTAGATTCAGATCCAGAACAGCCCCAGTGAACGGACCTTACGATTATCTAGGCCAAACTATTTTGGTCGACCGAGCCCAAACATCACTCAGAGCCGTGTCATTCAATTCGCTGTCGTAACTTCCTTCCCCTGGGCTCGACTCAACTTGGCTGCGTTTGGGCCAAGATTTGCAGTTGCGTTCGTCGAAACTCCAGGCGCTCGCTTGCGCGTCTTTTCTGTTGGATCGGAGTTTACGACTTTTCTAGGCCGCTGCTATTGCCCGCTATTTCCTTCTGGCATGTCCAATGTCAATCTGGTCACAGAGCCCAACGTAACCGAGTGCCTACACTCTGTTAGGTTCCCGATGTGTTTTGGAACCTCGAGCCATTCTTAGCATCTTGCACCTAAAGAGCGCAGAATTACCTGCAGCATACAACTGCAGTTTCTACACTCTTCAGATATCAGACGATCTTGCGGTTGCTATCCAAAAGCGCTGATCAGGTGAACAAACCTTCGACTTATCCTCAACCAGTTCGCTCCGCTCCGTTGGCCGCTACTCGCCGTCTCCGTCGCCTTCGCCGGAATACGCGCAACTTTGTTGATTCTCAATCGTGCATCACGCTTCAGTATTACATACCTAATGCAGCCAATCATCCTACCCGCTGCTAGTCGTTACCTTTAACTCAACCTCTTCTACCTACTTCAACTCCGAAGAGGCTCTTGACGAGTATCTTACGCTCATGAATCAGACCATATCCTTCTTATCTTAGGTAATCTACCTCAACTCGCGTGTAGTCCTTTTTACGTCGTTGCATCCTCTGTCTTCGCGCTGTCATCGCTTCGTCTTCTTAAACGAACCTGCTTTTCAAATACCCAAATCTCGGTAAGTGCACGATTTGTTTGCTTCACTTTCTATATGTTTCATGTGCCTGGTTTCATGTTTGCCCTAATATCCAACTTGCGTTTGTGTATCGCACGTCGTCACCATTCAACACACGAGCGTGGAATTCAGTCCGTGAAACCTGAGTGAAACCAGAGGATAGAATGGAACTGCTGCAACGAAGCGGACGGCAGGCGATGAAGTCTCAAGGACCAGACCAGCCATCCAAAGAGCTTTGAGTCTGGATGGCTGCACAATGCACATGTTGGCAGGGGTGGTGACGTCGTCGGCCTGTGCTCTTATCAGGATGGATGCGAATTTACTACGCCACATCAGTTACCATGACCGACAGTGTAACGCATCAGGTCGTGCGTTCAACGATCCAGTACTTGATGGGGCAATCGATATCCATATGGATCGCTTTGGCTACATCTTCAAACGTCAACGCATTGGGGTTTGCAACGTACATCCGCGCAAACCATGTTTCCTGTGTCGAATGACGAAAAGTGAAGATGAACCCTTTTCCGCATCTTCTTGACAGGAGATGATCGACGACGGATGACACCGCACCCCACCCAACAGGAATTCCCCTGTGTCGACAGATTCAAAAAATGAGCTTCAGACCACAGATCGTATTGGGACACTCTCGAAGAGTCGAGAAAAAAAAAAGAGGGCAAAAAAACACTCAAGACCCTGACTTGATGCACAACTGTGCGCCAATCAGGCCCGAGAGATGCATCACTGAGTCGGTTCCGAGATTTTGTCGGGGAGAATGAATCGGCGCAGCGCGGACTTGACCCCACCATCCATCCGGTCGCCAGCCGCCTCGACCACCACACGGTATACCAAGGGTACCCGCTGGCTTGCCCACGAGGGCTGGTGAGGGGCGAGTCTTGCAATGTCACAGCTGGAGCCCAGCCCAGCCCAGCCCAGCCCAGTCCAGTGGACGACGCACCAGTTGCTAGTCAGTCAGCCTGACCTTGACTCCCCTCAGTGGCTCCAGTGACTGCTCACTCAGCCTCTAAAATCTCCAGCATCTGTCGGGCTTGTCCTTGTTCTGGTCTCCCAGCCCAGGCGTCCCCACCGGCCCGATCCTCTCCCCCTCCTCTACCTTACTCTGTCCCCTCCATTTGACTTGATTCTTTTCGACTTCCTCAACTTGCTTGTCTTGGCTATCGACATCGTCATCGCTTCCATTTTGCCCTGCTCAGACCCTTTTTACGCATTTCATCTGCCCTGCCAAGCGATATCATTTGCCTGCCTGCCTGCAACATTATTATCCATCTGTGATCTTGACGACTAATAATTTGTTTTTGTCTTGTCCCGCAGTATACCTGCCCGCCTGCTTACGATATTGCTCTACGTTACCCTTTACGAGACCAGCGACAACACACGATACCCTTCCGTTCAAATTAATAATAGCATACTCCCGAGCTTTCGCCCGATAGCGATGTTATGGCAGCTGTGATCGGCGACTTCATTTCAGACACCACCTCATATCCTCATAACATGATTGCCAACCCCTCCCTGCAACACCACCACTCACACGATTCTTCTTCGTCCTATCGATCTGGTAGCCGTTCACGACACTCCACCACTCCTCGAGCCCAGCGCACAGCAGAACTCGCCGACTTCAGCAGTAACCAAACCACTACCACGTGGTCACCTGCGACAGTAACAGCAGCAACTGCATCGACTTCAGACTCTACACCTACTCCAGCGTCTGCGGGTCACGAAACCGCCCACGTGTCGGCCACTGGCGGAGCCTCACGCTTCCCTTCCCCGCCTCCATCTTCATCACCTGCTGCTGCTACCGGCCCAGCTTACGCCGATGATGCAAAGAGCTCGTCTATGGCATCCGACGCGAGGGACTCTGGTCCCCTAGGCCACGCTTCGCGGTCCGGCACCACATCACACCCCTCTACTGCTCAACAACCATCTCCTGCCTCCGACGACTTTCAAATACCCAACCCTACTTATTCTCTCTCTGGTGCACCCTCACAGCAGCCAGAGCAGACAGTTATACATATTCGCGATCTAGCACACATTCAGAGTTTGGCCAGCGCCGATCTACTATCTGGCAATGGCGGATCTGGCATCCTTAACGACCCCCCTCTTCAGCAAATGAAGTATGAAATCAGTGGCATGCCTATAGGGGATATTATCGAAATGGTAGCCGCGTTATTAACAAAAATCACCACCACAAACGATTTGCAACACGATGCGATGCAGCGCAATGTCGCTCACCAGCAACAGGCTAGTCAGTCTGGCGATACGAGTGGCAGCTCGATCTCATCCTTGAATCATTCTGTTCTCGCTTTCCATGGCAAGAATGTTCCCGCTATTACTATCCTCAGCTACCTGTCGAGAATACATAAATATTGCCCCACCACTTACGAAGTATTTCTCAGTCTTCTAGTATACTTTGATCGTATGACAGAGCGCGTCAACGATATGGTTACAAAGAACGAAGAGGCTCGAAGGCAGACACAGTCGCGGCAGACAAACACAAACACTCCACAGGACACCCCCATGCGCGGCGAGGTTGTGGGCGATGCAGATGAGAGCGATTCAGATCTTGCGGACGATGATGATGAAGATATGGCCGATTCGACTGGACAAGGCCGTTCAAGTAGCAATAAAGGAGCTGCCACTCCTACAGAACACCCCGCCATTGCTGCTGCAACATACTTCGTTGTTGATAGCTTCAACATTCATCGTCTGATCATTTCTGGTGTGACGTGTGCGAGCAAGTTCTTCTCGGATGTTTTTTACACTAACTCGAGATATGCCAAGGTACGAATTTTTGTTTGGTAACCTCTTTCTGACTGGACGGAAGACTGACATTAGGTGCAGGTTGGTGGATTGCCACTGGTTGAATTGAATCATCTTGAGCTCCAATTTCTCCTCCTCAACGATTTTCGACTCGCAGTTCCAGTGGAAGATCTGGAAGCGTATGCGACTATGCTGGTTGAGTTTTATGCCCGAGAGGTGGTAGCTAAGCAGGCGGCAACTGGAAGCACCGAATGAATGAAATCATGAAGTCTGCACCAGACAAGACCAATGTCTTGCAAGCTGTCATTCGCGACAACAAGCATTGACCGCCTGTGCCATTGCGTTGTCTCGGGTCAATCCTCATTGCCACGACAACCGAGGACGTCCACGCATTGCGACGCATGCGGAGGGCGATCTTCCGAGGAACAAATGGCCTTGCTACATATCGCTGGTATATGAAGGTCAAGACACAGCAATACGATATAAATTGATCGGCCAATTTTCTATCCTGGGATTCACCAATAGTTATGAAAAGGTGTGCCGATCAATGTAACAAACACCAGAAGGGGATGACAAAGATGGGGAACCTCACGAAGCATGCCTGGGGCTGGCTTGAAGAGGCTACTTTATGTACGAGTGCATTGGACACGTTTAATGACTTGATGTACGGATCGTGACGGCGAGCAGGCTTAGTGGATCTGTGTTTCTTGCGTAGACTGGGGGTTCTTACACGGATACGGAGAGCCAACAGAGGCAACCTGTTGGGTCGTGAGATTGGGGCTGTGATTCATTGTTTTCTGGCTCGTGTTGGAGCTGAAGGTGTTCTGGCAAAGAGGCATTTGCTTACTTATATATTACCGATATCATTCTACTACGACCAGTCCTGTACCTCTCGAAACTAGCTGTCCCAGGATAAGCAACGTGCCTGTTACCTACTCTAGTGAAGGCAATAGCCTGGCGCTTCCCACAGGCTACTGAAGCTCACAATCTCGACCTGCAAGCTTCCCAGGTCTCTGGAACGTCAAACTTGATAACCGAATCTTGCATCTTGAACCCGAACTGCCACTTGGACCAACCAGGCCAGAAATTCTCGAATGCACCGGTCACATTCCCCTCTTCGTCACGATGCTGTTCAATGTCAAACCAGCCTACCTTACACTTGGAGCTCGACTGCTGTGGAATAACGGAGCACCAACGATCGGTACCAGGGAGCTCGCCTTGGCTTCCAGTGCCTTGGGGGAGCGGAGGAAAGACAAGGGTGGTGTCAAAGCCAAAGTAATTCAGCCACGAGGTCCGGAATGGGAATGAAGGTGTGTATTGAATGGACTTGAAGGTTGCTTGGAAGAATGGAGTGGAAGCTGGCACAGCCGATTCAGTGAAGCCCGAGTTTGAGTCTGTGGGAGCTGTATCGTTAGGATATACTTTAACGGTTGTCGAACCGTCTGAGTTGTCGGTCCAGATGAACTCGGCGAGATGCTTGGGAACATTCCAGTCTAAACGTGAGGATTAGCAGAAAGAACTGCAGAAATGCCCAGGCGCTTCAACATACTCTTCCGCCCATTATAGCAGGTATGCTTCTGCGAAACATAAATCCTCGTAATCTTGACACCCTTCCCTTTCACTCTCCTCCCGCTCTCATCTTCCTTCTCGTAGCCAAAAGTTCCCGGTGCCAGGATGAGTTCGTCATATGGCCCAACAGGAGAATCCGTGTATCGAATGATCTGGATCATACCTAGTCCTCCGATCGCTTTCTGCTCTTTGGCGAAGTCCGAGTTTGCCTCGAGAGGCGAATATGCCATGTCGGGAAGGTTGCCCGCTTGAGCGCGAGAAATCCAGAAGACAAAGGCGTAGATATCGCCCTTGAGAGTCCATGGCGGAGGAACAGATGGGATATCTGAGTCTGACATTGCCGCTACGATTGAAATGACGAAAACTTAAGATACAAGCGATGGCTTGGGTATTTGACTCTGGATTGATCCTGATGTTCAGATGAAAGAGTGATGTTCTTCTACCAAGATCGATAAAACAACCCCTCGTCAGTGTATCCTAAGAAGTAAAACGCCAAGAGCCTAAGGGATAAAATAATTTGATCATCTTGTGCCAGTTTAGTCTAGCACTTAGACTACTTTATTTTAGCAACACTAGCAAGATACCTAAAAGGAAGAGGCAAAGACTATGCCTGGGTAGGCCGGTTGTGTCTTACCTCGGATGGCGGAGTCATTATCGGAGTCTGAAATAATAACAAGGACGCAATAAGTAGAAGGTTTTTGATTGGCCCAAGTTAACCGTTCTTGAATTTGGAGGTTGGATTGGGGTTGGCGTGGCACATGTTCATCTCATGTTGGCAGTGTAACATCGAACTCGACCATCGTCCTTAAAACGTTATATGCATTGTTTTTATCCCTGATGACCAACCTTAACACAAACTGTACTTGGATACATACTTTGATTTTATACAGTTCGTTGAAACAGACATCCAACCCGTTGTAAGAAAATAAGAAGCTGGATAGATAGGCAGATAGATGAGAAAGAACGTAATAAGCATGAAGAGATGGGACTTCTGTGACCGAGCAGGGCCGTGGTCACAGTAAGAAACATCCTAGGATCCTCAACGGCGATCTACGCCTTGATTTTCTATACATCTCGATCCTAGACTGCCGATAAAATCAAAATCTAAAGAACGCACAAGTTCAGCGCCTAGGCTCCAAGTTTGAAGATTGTTTCTACCAACATTCTATCGTGCTCAGAATATATGATGTCCTAACTGGCTGGTAATCTGGTTACTAGATCCTATGATTGCAAACTATACTCCCAGAGACTCAAAAGTATGGACAACCTGCAACAAAATTGTGTGAGACAGGGCTGGAGAGCAATTAATCAAAGCATCCGTTGACATTCATTCATCATAGACTTAAGGTGAGGATTACAGCATTGTCATTCAGCTCATTATCCAGCTCATATTTCTACCCCGATTTGCTGTTGTCTTTATTGCTTTCTCAACATCGACCAGTAAATTCAAATAACTTTCTGGCATGCCGCCTGCACTTGGACTACAGAATTTGGAAACAATGTGTCTTACCTACCTAAGTATATCAGTACTAGGCAATAAATGAAACTGGTAGCTGTGCATATCGAGCTCTTTGATATCAATAATTCCTAGTCCTAAACCAGATATCCCTTATACATGAGTCTTTGTGCACCTAGGAGATCGTTGATAATACCATGGCTCCAAGATAATAACAATGCCCTGATCCTTTTTGTGGCTTTGATTGTGTCGGACGTGAAATATGACCTGGCATAATATCCATCTGATAGATATGACACAGACATTCGGTTTCTTCATAAACAAAGGGCGCCCACAAGGGTCTCTAGGCTATATAGTAACGAAATCAAGAACATAGCTCGTATAATAATCTGTCTATTACATTGCTATGGTATATTTACGTTATGTACTCCGGCTGGTGGCTGCCAGTGGCAGCAGCTGTGATGCAACTGCCACACAACTGCCACACAACTGCCAAACAACTACCAAATAACTACCAAACAACTGCCAAACAACTGATGGGATAAATAATAATTTGGTATGAAAATTTCTTCTTGAGATTATTCTTACAATTCTTCTCACGATTCTTCTCACGTCCTCACGATTCTTCACCTTACGATTAGTGATCTACAGACTCCTTTGCAGTCTCTACAACCTCGACAGACAGCTCTACAGATCCTATTGTTCTCCTGCTATTCTTTTTAACACATGTAAAGCTCACTATTACGACAACATGGTGGTTTTACGGTCTAACAGAAGCTACACGCTGAGCACTGAGACGAAACAAGAAGACAGTCCGATAAGCAATTACAATAAAGACGAAAAAAGCCCTGTTGAGGATGAAGAGGAAGAGGAAGAAGAAGAGGAAGAAGAG